GAGACGTCAAGCAGCAGCATCCATTATCCTGTATAAAAAAGCACTTCTTAATTGTTCATATAATGCAAACCTACTTTGTATATAAACCCTAAAGTTGTCGTTCCCTTCTTCATTGCAAGCGCAGTGCTGCCGCGATTGGGAGGAGCCGGCGGCCCCATATGCAGAGAGAAAGGAGAAGGAAGAGTTTTATGGTTGCATGCAAACAGTTGAGACGCAAAGCGAGCCGGCTGCATGCACAGTAGACAGTGCATACATGCATAGATACATAGATACATACATACATACATGCATGCATACATACATTCATACATGCGTATTCATCTATGCAGACATGCAGAAGATACTGCGAAGAGAAGAAATGTATAGGAAACAGTGTGTATACAAACAAGCACACTGAACGAAGTCACTGTCTGTGCCTCTCACGTGCGGAATCGGAGCGAGCGCGAAGCTTCCGGGTGTCAATTCAAAATTAATTTCTTCTTGCATTTCTTTTTCTGCAAAATTTGCAGTGCTTGCGGTGTCCCAGCAGCTTAAATCCGCGACGTACGCCATTTTCAGAGGAGATAGGAGAAATTAGATGTGAAAATGCAAGAAAAGGTAAGGAGAATAAACTCTAAAAAAGAGGAAACCGCAGGAAAGATGAACTGAGGTGTACGTACACCTCAGAAAGAAAAGAGAGTTGCAAGTTGTACAACCCGTGCTGATCTTCCCAGCAGCGGAAAGAAGGGTAATTTGAAGAACTGACAGCCCCTTGTTATTTGAATTCTTCGAAAATAACTCCTTTAATGCAAAAGGAAACAAACCATAGAAAATAATACCAAGTTTCCTCCTCTGTTTGAAACACCGAAGAGGGAGGGGGGGCAGCGGTGCTGATTTATACAGCGGAAAGCAGCTTCACATGAAGCTCTTGAGGTATTTCAGACATTTCTAAATTGAATTTCAACAGTTATACACCAGAAAATGGAAGATTTCCCGCTTTTTTCGGTCTTTTTCCCTGCATGCAAGGCGGTAAGCAGAAGCTGCAGCCAACTCCTGCGCTGCAGCCCAGAGCTTACAGATTGCAGCCGACCAGTTGTATGAGTTTTCCTCTCTATATTTATTTTTAGTTTCTTGAATGTGTTTCCTTTAACATGCTTTATTATTACTTATTTCCTTCCATCCATGAATACAATATTCAACTCCGGCCTCGTTGTTCGGGTGTATCTCCAGCAGTGTTGGTCAGCTGCAGCTTTGCAGTCGTTTGCTGATCTTCTATTTATTTTTTTGTTTTCCTGCTGTATACTGCATGCAACACACTCTTCCATCCGTTTTACTTTAGCTAACTCCCTTCGCTTCTATCCAGGCTATCTGAAACCCCTAGCAACTACACTCTGTAGAACGAACAAACATAGAAAGAAGAAATACCAGCAAATATGACTGCTCTTGTGAGACAACAAACTCTGTTGAGTGCTCCTTTAACAATAAACCCTAAACCCTAAAAGATAAACCCCCGCGAGAAGGAGCATCCCTTTCTCCCGGGTTTTTGCAATCACTTTTGTTTGTTTTTGTTTTTCTTGTCTTTTTTGCCTTTGATTGTTTTTGTTTTTGCTTGTATTTCTCCTTCATTTGGGTGTTTCTGAGTTGCTTAGTTTGTTTGTTTATTTTCCACTTTGTGTATTTGTTTGTTTGCTTGTTTGTCTGTCTCTTCATTTATTTATTTATCTATTTGCGTATTTATTTAATTATGTTTATTTATTTGTTTGTTTGCTCTGTTTGTTTGTCTCTTTATATCCGGTTTGGGTTATCTGTTCAGGTTTTTTGTTTGTTTGTTTTTTGTTTGCTTTGCCTTCTTCTTTTTTTTGCTTAGTTCATTCTTCTTTTATGCTGTCTGGTGGCTGTATATTTATTGTCTTTGTTTCTCTTTGTTTTATTTACTTCTTTCCCTTTGTTTGTATCTTTATATAATGCATATTTTTAATGTTTTGTTTGTGTTTGTTTAAGTTGTTTTGTCTTTGTTTCTTCTCGCTTCGATTTGTTTGTTTTATATATTTTTTTAATTTATTTTACTTTGTTTTTGTTTGTCTGCCGCAGAAGAAATATATTCTTCACGCTGAGGCTCCTTTCTTTTCTTTTTCTTTTTCTTCTTTTCTTAAGTACGTATTTTCTGTCTGTCTTTTTTCTACTGCATATTGACTTTTCTGCTTTTGTTTGTTTTCTTCTTTCAATGTTATTTTATATATAATCGCTGACTCATTTTCTTCTTTCTTGCCACTTCTCCTTCTCTCTCTCTGTTCTTTCTCTTTAAATCCAGCTAGCAAGCTAGCTAGCTAGCTAGTTTGCTAGCTAGCTAGCTAGCTAGCTGGGTAACCAGCTGGTTAGCTGCCTGGCTAGCTGGGTGGCTAGCTGGCTAGCCATGCTTTACAACTAGGGAACTAGCTAGCTATCTGCATGTTGTGCGGCTTGACAGCTAGCTGTGTAGCAGCGCGGTCTAGCTAGCTAGCACGCTAGCTGCTTATTGAGTTAGCTAGCTAGCTAGATAGCTAGCTAACGCAATATGCAGCTAGCTAGCTAGCTGCGATTTGGTTTATCTGACTACGTATCTAGGAGATTATCAGTTCTTTTATTTATTGCTTTATTTCTTAATCTTTTCAATTTACCTTCTCTTTATCTGCATGCAGCTTCTTCTCTCTCTCCAACTGTACAGCCATAGACTTCCGCTTAACCCGCTTTGCTGATAAAATTATCCTCGCCGCCGTTCTTCTACTGCCAGAGGTCAGCTTCTCCCCCACTGCTGCATCGCTAGCTAGCTAGCTAGCTAGCTCGCTTTCTACATGGATAGCTAGCTATTTACGTGGTTTTTTAGCTAGCTAGCTATCTACATGCCTAGCTAGCTAGCTAGCTGCATGGCCAGCTAACTAGCCATCTACGCTGCTAGCTAGCTTGCTATGTACGTCGCTAGCTAGCTAGCTATCTACTTGGCTAGCTATCTAACTAGCCAGGTAGCTGGCCTGGCTGGCAAGCTAGTAGCCTACGTAGCTAGCTAGCTAGCTAGTTAGTTAGCTAGCAACAGGCCTTGCCAGCCAGCTACAGATCCCATCAGCTAGCCGCAAACCTAGCTAGCTAGCTAGCACTACAGGCGCACCTGCTCAGCTAGCTATACAGACGTACCTAGCCGCCCAGCTAGCCAGCTAGCTGCCTTTGTGTAGGACCTCCAGGTTGCTGTTTGAGTTGCATGCAAACAGCAACATCTACACCTCCCTCTTGAAGTAGTTTGCTGCTGTTTCCTTCTTCTTTTCTGCTGCTGCTGCAGAACACCCTGGGGTCGCTGCAGCAGCTGCTGCAGCAGAAGCCTGACTGGCAAGTGCTTCTCAGCGCCTGCCCCGACGAAACCAGCAGCAGCAGCAACAGCAGCAGCAGCAGCACCATTATCAACAGCAGCAGCTTTTTAGACGACGATGAGGGCTTTATTCTCTCCGTTTTGCTGCCTGGCAGTTTGCTGCACTCTTCTCTGCTGCAGCAAATACTCCACCTCCTTGATATGCACAAATGCTGCGTACAGAGGTCCGTCGCAGCAGCAACAGCAGCAGCGGCAGTAACAGCAGCAACAGCAGCAACAGCTGCTGCTGCTGCTGCTGTGTTTGCTGCTTCTAATCGGTCTCTGCTGGGGCTCCTGCCGCAGCTTGTTTGAGGTTGCAGCTGCTCTTCAGTAGCTGTGTCTGTTGCTGCTGCTGCTCCCATAGATTGTCTCTGCTGCTGCTGCTGCTGCTGCTGGCGTTGCTGCTGGTACATGGTGTTTGCTGCGGCGTGCCCTTTGCAGCAGCTTAAAATTCACATTCGACGTCTGTGTCTCCTACTGATGCTGCTGCTGCTGCTGCTGTTGCTGCTGCTGCTGTTATTGCTGCTGCTGCTGCTGCTGCTGCAGCGTAGAGACAGAGCTGCAGTTTCCTCTGCTTGAGGGCAGCCGCAGCCCCCGTTTGCTGCTGAATATAATTTTTGCTGCCTCTTCTGCTGCTCCCCCTCCGAGGTGTGTAATCTTTTTAATGCATTTCTTTTTTTATTTTGTTTGTTTTTTATCTTTTAAAGGGCTGTGGTTGGCTGTGTTTGCATGCGGGCTCGCTTATCTCCTTTATTTATTTTTTAATTTGCTTGCTTGCTTGTTTATTTATTTGTTCGTCTGTTTGCTAGTTTATTTATTTATTTATTTATTTATATTTATTTATTTATTTATTTAATTGTTTATTTATTTGTTATTTTTCTGTCTTTGTTTGGTCGTTTCTGTGTTTGTCGATTGTTCATTTGTTTTGTTTGTTTGCTAATTTATTTGTTAATTAATTAATTAATTAATTAATTAATTAATTAATTAATTAATTAATTAATTTATTTATTTATTTATTTGTACATTTGTTTATTCCTCTGCTTGTTTGTTTATTTGTTTCTTTCTTCAAGAATTATTTATTTATTATTTTACCACTAATTAATTAATTAATTTATTTATTATTTATTTATTTATTTATTATTTATTAATTTATTTATATTTTTGTTGTTTGTTTGCTGCAGATCAAAGCTGCCTCAGGGCCTTCTGCGGTCTTTAAAATTTTCTCTGTCTCCTCGCTATCTTTTCAGTCTCCGCATGCATTCATTTGTGCGTCTTATTATTTTTATGTTATTTTATGTTATGTTATTTTATTTTATTTGCTTTGATTTTTTTTGTTTTGTTTTGTTTGCCTTTGTTGTTTTATTGTCTTATTTTATTTAATTTATCATTTACACTCAGTCTCTCTCTTCCTCTTTTTATTTATTATTTTATTATTTTGTTTGTCTTTATATTTTTATTTACTTAATTATTTTATTATTCGACTTGGGTGTGAGATTGTTTGAAGGATACAAACAGCAAACTCAAGACGTCGTTGCTGCTGCACTTGCTGCAACCTGCAGCAGCAGCAGCAGGAGAAGAAGAAGAGAAGACAGAATCTGCAGCACCTGCAGCAGCAGCAGCAACGGTGAGACGTTCTCCTAGAATCATGAGCAAACTAGGTGCTATCAGCAGCAGCAGCAGCAACAGCAACAGCAGTAGCAGCAGCAGCAGCACCAACAGCAGCAACACCAATAGCAGCAGCAGCAACAGCAGCAGCAGCAGCAGCAGCAGTAGCAGTTGCGGTTGCATGCGTTTGCATGTACAGGACGGCGAGCCTAAAGAAAATTTCTGCGCGCCCCTCGCCTTCCTCCTCTACTGCCTGCAGCGCCAGGGGTATGCAGCAGCAGCAGCAGCAACAGCAGCAACAGCAGCAGCAGCAGCAGCAGCAGCAACAAGTTCGAACAGAAGCATTTGAGAAAATAAACAAATGGAGGTGCACCCTGTGGAAGAGCCTGCTGGGAGACAGTCTCCTCATGGTGCTGCTGCCGTTGCTGCTGCTGCTGTTTCTGCTGCTTCTGCTGCTGCTGCTGCTGCTTGTGCTGCAGCTATCGGGTGTCTCTCCAGACAGAGACAGCGGTGACGGCAGCAGCAGCAAGCGAAGCAGGCGAATGCATTGCCGTAGTTTCCCCTGTGAGACAACTGCCACATCGTTGTTGTTGTTGCTGCTGCTGCTTCTGCTGCTGCTGCTGCTGCTTCTGCTGCTGCTCCTTCTAGCGTTGCTTCTCCGTCTGCTGCTGTTGTTGCTGTTGTTGCTAGTACTGAAGCAGCAGTACAGACCGCACGCAAAACAGTTAGGGTGCACCGAAGACCCGCTGCTGCTGCTGCTGCTACTGCTGCTGCTGCTGCTGCTGCTGCTGTCCCTACGGCTGCTGCTGCTGATGCTGTTGCTGATGCTGCTGCTGTTAGGTGCTGCCGGAGTTGCAGTGCGCTTTGTACGCTGTCTCCCCTCCTCTGGATGAAGCTGACGCTCTGCTGCCTCTCTTGGGTTTGTCTCAACGACTTGCTGCTGCTGCTGCTGCGGCTGCGGCTGTCCGTGCTGCTGTCAAGGCTGCTGGCGCTTCTGCTGCTCTGCTGCTGCTGTTGCTGCTTGTCAATCCCTTCTGATTAACAGCTGCATTATAAAATATGCAGCAGCAGCAGCTCCTGCTGCTACTACCGCTGCTGATGCTGGTGATGATGCTGCAGCTGAGGGTTTGCTGCTGCTTTGCACACGCAGGGCTTCGGCGTTGGCAGGTCAGGGGTTTTGCTTCCGCTTGCCCGTTTCATTCTTTTAAGAAACGAAATGCAGATAGAAGTGCTGAAGGAAGCAGCAGCAGCAGCAGCAGCAGCAGCAGCAGCAGCGACGAAGAAGCAGCAGCAAGCTGCACGCGCAGAACCGCTTTGAAGGAGACATTTATGTCTGTGCCTCTTGCTGTTGCCTGCTGCAGCAGCAGCAACGGAAGCAGTGAGAGCAGCAGCAACGGCAGCAGCAACAGCAGCAGCAACGGTAGGAGCCACAGAAACGGCAGCAACAGAAATGGCAGCACCAGCACCAACGGCAGCAGCAGCAGCAGCAACAGCAGCAGCAGCAACGGCAGCAGCAGCAACGGCAGCAGCAGCAACGGCAACAGCAGCAACAGCAGCAGCAGCAACGGCAGCAGCAGCAACGGCAGCAGCAGCAACGGCAGTAGCGACGGAAGCAACAACAGCCTTGAAGGAGATAAAAGCAGCATGATAAACCCTTTCCACTTGTACGGATTTCTGCTTTCAAATTAGGGTTTAGGGTTTGGGGTTAAAAAGGGTTTAGGGTTTAGGGTTTGGGGTTAACAAAGGTCTAGGGTTTAGGGTTTACGGTTTCGGTGAACGGTTTGGGGTTTAAAAGGGTTTAGGGTTTGGAGTTTATGAGGGTTTAGGGTTTAGGGGTAGATTGATGTGGTGGTTTGTGAATTAGGGTCCTGAAGTCTGCAGCAGGTGAGAATTTGGCTGAGGGTTTAGGGTTTAGGGTTTAGGATGTAGGGTTTAGGGTTTACGGTTTTGAGCCGAGAAGGAAAGGCTTACAGCCAGTAGGGCCTCGTCGTTAGGGTTTAGGGTTTGAGGAGTTAGGGTTTAGGGCCCATTCGTCAGGGTTTGTGGTTTAGGGTTTAGGGTTTAGGGTTTAGGGTTTAGGGTTTCTTCAGGCGACTGCTATGCAAGCTTAAAAGCAGAGGCCTTCCGGGCGCGCTTTTGTGCTGCCTTTCGTCTTGCTGGCAGGTGACCCTAAACCCTAAACCCTAAACCCTAAACCCTAAGCCCTAAACCCTAACCAGTTAGCGCTATGCATCTAGACATGGAGAGTGGTTGACGACAGGCAGCTGACGGAGGGTTTTAGGGTTTGGCTTCAAGGGTTTAGGGTTTAGGGTTTAGGGTTTAGGGTTTGCTTCTGGGCTCCCCTTCAGGAGACCCACAGCCTCACAGATGGAAGGAGCTGCAGCAGCACCAGCAGCTGCTGCTGCAGCAGCACCAGCACCAGCAGAACTACGAGCAGCAGCACCGGCAACAGGAGAAGCAGCAGCCGCAGCAGAAGCTGCTGCAGCAGCAGAGAGAGCCGCAGATGATGAAGCTGTCGGAGGAATAGATGCCAGCAGCAGCAGCCGCAGCAGCAGACGCAGCAGGAGAAGCACTTTCGAGCTCTTGCTGGTGCAGCAGCCTCGGCTGACGCTGCAGTTTCTTGCTGCAGCTGCTGCAGCAGCAGAAGCAGCAGGGGGTTTATTTTGCGGTCCGACCCCCCCCACTATGAGGCTGCTGCTGCTGTTGCTGCTGCTACTATTGTGGCTGCTGTTGCTATTGCTGCTGCTGCTATTGTTGTTGCCGCTGGCATTGGTGCCGCTATTGCTGCTGCTGCTGCTGCTGTTGCTGTTGCTGCCGCTGCTGTTGCTGCTGCTGATATTGCTGCCACTGCTGTTGCTGCTGTAGCTCCTGTTGGTATTGCTGCTGCTTCCATGGGTGGCGTTGGTGCTGATACTACTATTGCTGCTGCTGCTGCAATTAGTGTTGCTGCAGCTATAGATGCTGCTACTTCTATGGCTGCTGCTGCTGCTGCTGCCGCCGCTGCAGATATGCTGCTACGATTGTTGCTGTTGCTGCTGCTGCTGCTGCTGCTGCTGCTGCAGAGGGGCAGCGTGTGTCTCCTTTAGGGGAATTTGTTGCAATGCGATTATATCTGCTGCTGCCGAGCGAATCTTCTGCTGCAGCACGCAGCACGCTGCAGCGGGTAGCAGCAGGTGAGACGTACGCTGCTACTGCTGGCTTTGCTGCTGCTGCAGGTGCCTCTGTTGCTGCTGCTGCGTCTATTGCTGCTGCTGCTGCTGTAGGTGATGTCTGTGCTGCTTGCTGCTGCTGCTGCTGCTGCTGTCAGAGGCTGGAGGAGATTTTATGCTGCGCCCGCGGAGCTTGGCGCCTTTGTGTCTTCAGTTGGTTTGTTTCGACATGGTACTGCTGCTGTTGCTGCTGCTGCTGCTGCTGCTGTTGCTGCTGCTGTTGCTGTTGGTAGTGCTGCTGCTGCTGCTGTCACTGCTGCTGCTGCTGTTGCTCCTGCTGTTCCTGTTGGTGCTGCTGTTGCTTCTTCAATTGGTTTGCTTCGATACGGTACTGCTGCTGTCGCTGCTGTTGCTGATGCTGTTGCTGCTGCTGTTACCGCTGCTGTTGCTGTTGCTGGCGCTGTTGCCGTTGCTGTTGCTGTTGGTGTTGCTTTTGCTGCTGGTGCTGCTGTTTCTGAAGCAGAAAAGCAGCAGTTGTAGCAGCAACAAGAGCAGCAGCAAGAGCAGCAGAAAGAGCAGCAGCAAGAGCAGCAGCAGCAACAAATCATTGTGCTACTGCTGCTGCTGCTGCTGCTGCTATTTCAGGACTCGACTTTAATAGAAGAAGAGGTTATTGATGAACTCGCCGCTCAGATAGGTGGGCGTCTTCAAACCCTAAACCCTAAACCCTAGGCTGTAAACCCTAAACCCTAGGCTCTAAACCTCAAGCCCTGACCCTGTCAATATAAACCCTAACCCCTAAATCTAAACCCTACACTCTAAACCCTAGAGTCTAAACCCTAAACCCTCAGCACTTTCTTGCGCCGTTGCTCCCTTGCAGCGTAGCTTTGAGGGTGTAGTACTAAGGGTATAGGGTTTAGGGTTTAGGGTTTAGGGTTTAGGGCTAAGGGTTTAGGGTGTAGGGTTCAGGATTTGGGTTTTAGTGTTGAGCTTTAAAGGCTTAGGGAAGATGTCTAAGTGTTTAGGGTTTAGGGTGTAGGCTGTATGGGCTAGGCTTTAGGGTTTAGGGCTTAGGGTTTAGGGTTTAGGGTTTAGGGTTTGTTGGCAGGCAAAGAAGAAGAAGTATCTGCAATTACGCTGGCAGCAATGCGAGGAAGCATACCTTTTGCTGAGAGTCTCGCCCTGCGTCTTAAACTCTTAAAGGGTTTAGACAGGTCACCCTTGCTGCTGCTGCTGCTGCTGCTGCTGCTGCTGCTGCTGCTGCTGCGACAGATGATGCTGCTGCTAGTGCAGCGAGAGATACTGCCGCAGTTGCAGTTGCAATTGTTGTTGCTGCTGCTGCTGCATTTACTGCTGCTGCACCTGTCGTTCTAGCTGCAACAGCGGTTGCGGTTGCTGTGCTTTCTGCTGCTGCTACTGTTGCTACAACTGTTTCTGCTGCTCATGCTGCTTCTCTTGCTGCCATTGCTGCTCCTGCTGCTGCTGCTGCTGCTGCTACTGTTCTTTCTGAATCTTACTGCTGCTGTTGCTACTGCTGCTGCTTCTCTTGCTGCCATTGCTGCTCCTATTGCTGCTCCTACTGCTGCTCCTATTGCTGGTTCTGCTGCTGCTATTGCTGCTGCTGCTGCTGCTGCAGGTCTTGCTTAGCAGAAGTCTTTAAGCGTTTGCATTTAAGCGAAGGGGCGACGGCGTTGTCGCGTCTGCTGAATTTTCGGGGTTTGTTCATGGCAGTGTTGAGCGGAGGGTTTGATGAGTTATCTAAAAGGATTAAAAATATACTTTGCATGCAGTTTGCTGCAGCAAATAAACTTCTCTTCGAGCAAAACGGTAAACACCATACCCTGCTACTGCTGCTGCTGTTGCTGCTGCTGCTGCTGCAGCTGCTGCTGCTCCAGAAACAGCAAAAGCAACAGTGGAAAGAGCAGGGGAAGCAGCAGCAGCAGCAGCAGTTGAAGCAGTAGCAACAGCAGCAACAACCGCAGCGACAGTAGCAGCAGCAGCAGCAGCCCTAGTAGAAACTGCAGCAGCAACAGCGGTGGTATGCAGTAGCAGCAGCAGCAGCAGCCCACACTTTGCTGCATGCGTTCAGGCAGACTAACGGGAGCAGCAGCAGAACCGATTATGACCCCACAACTGAAGGCCTCCACTCTTAAACAGCTTGCCCAGCAGCAGCAGCAGCAGGTGGTGCAGCAGCAGCAGCAGCAGCAACAGCGACATGACCAGCAGCAGCAGGAAGAACAAGAGCAGCAGCAGCAACAAGAACAACAGCAGCAGCAACAGCAGCAGCAGCGAATGGCAGCTACTCCCTGTACTACCGCGGCGGCCTTGAGGTCTTCCTTTGCAGCAGCAGAAGCAGCAGCAGCAGCTGCTGCTGCTGCTGCAGCAGCAGCAGGTTTAAATGCAGCAGCTGTCGGAGACGGCAGCAACGATATTCCAATGCTGCGAGCAGCAGCAACAGGAATTGCGTTTTGTGCGAAAGACAAAGTGAAGGCTGAGGTGCCTGTACACCTCAACCACAGGGATCTCTTTCTTATCGCTTACTTCCTAGGGATCAACTACCCTGTACTTCTGCTGCTACTGCTGCTGCTGTTGCTGCTGCTGCTGCTCCTGCTCCTGCTGCTCTGTTGCTGCTGTTGTTGCTCTGTTGCTGCTGCTGTTGCTCTGTTGTTGCTGCTGCTGCCTTTGTGCCTTGCGGATAGTCGTACTGTTCTTGCTGGTGTTGCTGCTAGTTGTGCTGCTGCTGCTCTTCGTCTTGCTGCTGCTACGCTGAGGGGTTGCACCGACAAGTGCTGCTGCTACGCATGCAGGAAAGGAAAGGTATGAATGAGGCCTTACACTCTGCCTAAGGCCCTGCAGGAGCTGCAGCAGTGACAGCAGCAGCAGCAGTTGCAGCAGCTCCAGCACCTGCAGTTATAGCAGCAGCTGGAGTTACAGCAGCAGGAGTAGTAGCAGCAGCAGCAGCAGGAGTTGTAGCAGCCGCATTTGCAACAGCAGGAGTTGTTGCAGCAGCCTCATTTGCAGCAGCTGCTGCAGCTGCTGCAGCTGCTGCACAAGTTTTTTTGTGTCTTCCTCCCGTATAATATAACCGCAGCAAACAAACCTAAACAAACGACTGGCTGCTAACTCGCATGCTGCTATCACTGTCTCCGCTGCTGCTGTCTCTGCTGCTGCTTGTGTCTGCCTATGTCTTTGCTGCCGCAGCAGCCAAAGCAACTGCAGTTGCTGCGTGTGGGGTGCTGCAGCAAGGGCTTTTGCAGCTGCTGCTTTTGTTGCTGTGCTTTCTGCTGCTACTGCTGCTGTTTCTGCTGCTGCTGCTGCTGCTGCTGCTCCTGCTTGAGACTGGCTGCTAAGCTGTATGCTCCTATGCCATAGATGCATACGGTAAAGGGTTTAGGGTTTGGGGTTTCAGTGTCTGCTGCTGCTGTGTGCTGCTGCTGCTTGTGTCTGCCTGTGTCTCTGCTGCTCATCAGCAGCAGCAGCAGCAGCAGCAGCAGGTATACCACTGCAGCGCCACGCATGAAGAGACAAACAGCGAAAACAAACAAACCCTAAACGGCTGCGGGCTTGCAATTGCTGCAGCAGCATCTGCTGCATCTCTGTTCGTATATAAGCATCAAGCACCAGCAAAAGCTGCTGTTGCTGCTGCTTCTGCTGCTGCCGCTGCTGCTGCTGCTAAGCCTGCTGCTGCAGCAAAGCCTACTGCTGCTGCTGCTATAGTAGTTCTGCTGCTCCTGCAGCAAATGCTCCTGCTGTTGAAACTGCTGCTGGTACTGCTACTGCTGCTGCTGCTGCTCTCTCATTGCAGCAGCTCTCCCTCTCGCCTGCTCAGGGGCAGTGCTGCTCACACTGCTGCTGCTGCTGCTGCTGCCATTCCTGCTGCAGACAGAGGCTGCTTCTGCAGCAGCAGCAGCGGTTGCTGTTCTTGTTGCTGCTGCTGCTGCTGAGTGCCAGCAGCTACGGAGCTGTGGCTAAGAATGGTGTCAATACTTCATAGGCTATTATTAGCAACTCATTACCTTTGCTGCTGCTGTTGCAGCAAACGCTGCAGCAACTGCTGCAGCAAGTCCTCTAACAGAACGGCAGCAAAGGCAGCTGCTGCTGTTGCTGCAGCAACTGCTGCAGCAACTCTTGCAGCTGCCTCGACACCACCGAGAATCCAACAGCTGCTGCTGCTGCTGCACCAGCAGCAGCTGCTACTGCAGCAGCTGCTGCTGATGCTTCAAACCGTACTAGGGACCCGCCCCTAGCAGAGTCATCTATCTTCACTAATCACAAGCCCCTGCTGCTGCTGGTGCTGCAATTCATGCTGCTGCAGCTGCTGCTGCTGCTGCTGCCGACCCTCCTGCTGCTTCAGTTCGTCGAGGTGTGCAACTGCAGCCTGCTGCAGCAGCTGCTGTTGCTGTTGCAGCAGCAGATGCTGCTGCTGCTGCTGCTGCTGTTCCAGACTCAGCTGCGCCTGCTGCGGTTTCCCGTTGAAGGCCACGCCGCCAATCGATGCAGCCTCCTGCTGCTGCTGCTGCTGCTTCTCCTGATGCTGCTGCAGCATGCTTGCTGCTGTAGCGCTAAAATGAAGCTGCTGCGACTCTGTTGTGGCGGCAGCAGCAGCAGCTGCTGCTGCTGCTGCTGCTGCTTCCGGTTCTGTTGCAGCGGCTGGTTGCGGAGAGAGCTGGTGTAACGCATGTGCTGGTGCATGCAGCTGCTGCTGCGCTGCAGCATCACCCCAAAGCATGTCGCTGCTTTGGTTGTAGTTAATGCTGCTGCTGTTGCTCTTCCTGCTGCTCTCTTCCGGCGTGAGGTGCTGCTGCTGCTTCTGCTGCTGCTGAACTGCAGCTTTGATTGTCGCCTTCTTTGTCGCAGCGCCACGGGTAGCGCCAGCAGGAGCAGCAGCAGTAGCAGCAGCAGCAGCAGCAGCAAGAGCGTCGGCTAGCTCTCTGGCACGGAGCTGCAGCTCAGTAAAGTCCCGTTCAATTGCCTGCTGCTGCTGCTGCTCATTTCGCATTTGCTGCTGCAGTGTTGCTGTCTGGGCCTCCACTTCTTGTGGGGTGAGATGCAGCTGCTGCTGCAGCGTCGACAGCTGCCGCTGCGTCAGGAGCATTCTTCTCTCTACGTTCTCTCGCTGCTGCTGCAGCAGCAGCAGCTGCTGCTGGTAATTCTCCAGTCGCAGCCTCTGGCCCTCAAGTGCTGCTGCAGCTGTGCTGCTGTCTACTGCTGCTAGCTGCAGATCACCGCTGCCCAGTTGCTGCTGCTGTTGCTGCTGCTGCTGCTGCTGCTGCTGGCGCGTTCTGCTGCGGCTGCTGCCGTCGGTTCTCTTTTCTGACCTTCTTGAACGAGAAGCACTTGCTGCAGCAGGAGAATGCTGCTGCTTCTGCTGCTGCTGCTGCTGCTGCTGCAGTTGCTGCTGCTGCGTCTCGTCCTCTTCAGGCAGCTGCTGCTGCAGCGCCTCCTGCTGCTCCGCTTCCGCCTCCGAGACCTGCATCAGCAGCAGCAGCGAAACAGGAAACGCAGCAGCAAACACCCATTGTAAGCACGAGATGCAGCACCAGCTTCTGCAGCAGCGGTAGCAGAGCAGCAGATCGCTGCTTCATTGCCTCAACACGAACTGGCTGTCTAGCTAGCTAGCTGTCTGGCTAGCTAGCTAGCTTAGCTGCTGCTGCAGAGGCTTGCCTTCCGCTCCAGTCTTGCTCGCCAGCGCTCCTCCCGGGTGGCTGCAGTGTTGACGGGTTTGCTGCTGCTGCTGCTGCTGCTGCTTTCGATTTCTCCCTCAATCACCTCCAAGTAGTTCACAGGCTTCCGCTCACGACGCCCTGCAGCAGCAGCAACAGAAACAGCAGCAGCATAGTATCAGCAGCGAATGCAGCAGCAGCGGCTGCAATGGCAGCGCATATACGCGCCAGCAAGACCTACAGAAAGTAAGTTCACTGCAGCAGCAGCAACAGAAGCAGCAGCAGCAGTAAGAGATATAGCTACAACAGCAGCAACAGCCGCAGCACCAACAGCAGCAGGAGCAACAGCAGCAGCAACAACAACAGCAGCGCGACGGACCTGTAGTGACTCCCCACTGGGCTGTCTCCAGTTGTCTCTCAACAGCCTTTCGTCTCCTCTCTTCTCTACTGCGTTGCCGCTGCTGCTGCAGCAGCTGTTGGTACTGCTGCAGCAGCTGCTCCGACAAGTCTGCCATACCCTCCTCCTGAGGGAGCAGCAGCAGCAGCAGAAGCAGCAAAAACAGAAACAGCAGCAACAAACTGTAGCAGCAGCAACAACAGATACCAGCAGCAACAGCAGCAGCAAGCCAGCAACAGCAGCAGCCTGCTGCTGCAGCTTCTACAGCAGCCTGAGCAACAAACGCGTCAGCAGCATCTGCAACAACAGAGCTGCCAAAATTCACAGCAGCAGTATCAGCAGCAGCAGCTGCTACAGCAACAATAATTACAGGAGCAGCAGCAGCTACAGCAACAGCAGCAGCTACAGCAGCAGCAGCTACAGCAACAGCAGCGGCTACAGCAGCAGCAGCAGCAGCAGCAGCAGCTCACAGCCTCTAGGCTAGTGGCAATGGTCTCCAGAGAGGGGAGATCTTCGCTAAGGAGTTCAAAGCGCCGCCGCACCCGATCCTCCTACAAACACAAACAACCATCAAACACCCACAGCTAGCTAACTAGCTAGCTAGCTAGCTAGCTAGATGGCTAGCTAGCTAGCTAGCTAGCTAGATGGCTAGCTAGCCTGCTAGCTAGCTAGCTACTAGAAAGAGCAGGCCAAGCAGAAACAACACTTACAGAAACAGAAACAAACGCAGCAGCAGCTGCAGGAGAACATGCGCGCCCAGGAGCAAATGCAGCAGCAGCAAATGCAACAGCAGCAGCAGCTACAGCAACAGCAGCAACAGCAGCAGCATTACCCTGTATAGTTTGAAGGCCGTTGGGTCTCCCTGTTGCGTCAGCAGCCAATAGAGATGACCCGCAGCATCTTCCCCAACCAGCTGCTCGCTGTCAAAGGAAGTATCTGCTGGAGCGTCTCCTAAGTGCTGCAGCAGTAGCAGCAGCAGCAGCAGCAGCACAAACAGCAGCAGCAGAGCAATGAGATTCAGCACGCGAGGCACCGGCGGGCTAGCTAGCCAGCAGATTACTACCTTCGTAGCTAGCTAGCTAGCTATATAGCTAGCTAGCTAGCCAGACAGCTGCCTGTGGAGTCGCCTTACTCGCGCAACTTGCGGACTCTCCGATAAAACGAGAGATATCATCGCCCGCAGCAAACGAAGACGCTGCAGCAGCATCAGCACAAACAGCAGCAGCAGCGCTTACGAGTTGTACTAGACCCATGAAGACAGCTGCAGCTGCAGCGGCACCGAGCTCAACAAACCGCAGAAATAGCAGCAGTAGCAGCAGCACTAGCAGAAGCAGCAGCACTAGCATCAGCAGCAGCAGCAGCAGCTTTACCTGGAGGGGTTTAAGATGAGCCCAGTCTGTGGCTGCGTCCGAGAGGGATGAGAAGGGTTTAAGTGGCAGCAGCAAATCTGCTTCTCCTCTGTCTTGCAGCAGACGCCTGACTGCTCTTGCTGCTTTAAACGGAGGCCCTGCCTTGCGCCCTAGCAGCACCAGCAGCCGCTGCAGCAAACGCTGCATCGGGTCTGCTGCTGCTGCTGCTGCTGCTGATCCTGCTGCTCCGCCAGCAGAATAATCTTCCTCGCCGCCGATCTCCTCCCACTCCCAAAACGCAGCAGTACCGCATGCCTCAGCTGCAGCAGCAGCAGCAGCAGCTGCTGCTGCTGCTGCTGCGGCCGTGGAGGGGGCGTTGCCGCTGCTGCTGCAGGCAGGCAAGGAGCTTGCTGCAGCAGCAGCTGCTGCAGTGTGCGACAGGTCCGCACAAAACTGAAGAAAGCCTTGGCTACGGCGAATCGTACCCGAACCAGAACCAGCCCCTTGCTGCTGCTGCTGCTGCTGCTGCTGCTGCTGCTGTGAGTCGAGCGCCGTCTGGGTCTCTTCTTCCTGGTGCTGCTGCTGCGAATCAAATGTTGCAGTTGGAGTCTGAGGGTTGCTTTGATCAGGGGTTCCTGGGGGGTCTTGTGCTGCATCCTGCTGCTGTTGCTGCTGTTGCTGCTGCTGCTGCTGCTGGCGCTGCTGCTGCGCCCTCTTTTTCGGGCGCCTGCCTCCCTGCTGGCCTGCAGCAGCACGTTGCTGCTGCTGCTGCTGCTGCTGCTGATAGATTCGTCTTGCAGTGTTTGGTGGGTTGGGCTCTGGGGGTGTTGTAAAGGCTTGCGCAGCAGCAGCAGCAGCATCAGCTAGGATCTGTTGCTGCTGCTGCTCGTCGGCAGCAAGATCAGCATCAATCTGCTGCAGCACCGGGAGAAAGTCAAAAGAAAATGAAGCTAAAGACAGCAAATGTGCGCACAGCAGCACATCAGCAGGAGGAGACACTGCAGCAAGAGACTGCAGCAAACCCTCAAACCTCCATGAAATATTCACCACCGTGCTGCAGCGGTTTAAAAACCTGCAGCAGCAGCAACAGCAACAGCAGCAGCAGCAGCAAGTGCCATGACGCAACCTCCCCCCAGCAGCAAAACAAACAATACGAAGAAAAACAAACAGCAAGCACAAAGCAAACAAACAAATAAATAAGTAAACAAACAAGCATCAAACATAAACGAACAAAGAGATAAAGATAACGCAGCAAACAAAAACACCAGGAGAAAAGAAGAAGCACTTGCATGCAAATAAACAAACAAAACAAAAATAAGTACATCCGGGGTAAATGAATAAATAATAAATGTTCAATAAAAAACAAATAAATCTATTAATTATATTGTTATTAATTAATTAACTATATTATACTGTTATTAATTAAGTATATTATATTATATTGTTATTAATTAATTTACTATATTATACTGTTATTAATTAAGTATATTATATTATATTGTTATTAATTAATTAACTATATTATATTGTTATTAATTAATTAATTGATTATATTATATTGTTGTTAATTAATTATATCACACTGTTATTAATTAATTAATTAATATTAATTAATTGTTTTATGCATTACCTTATTAAATAAACGAAGTGAGGAGACTCAAGAACTTCTCTCTCGACTTCCTGCTGCTGCAGCTCAAAGCCGCGTAAAAACAAACATAAATCATCGCCCCACAGCTGCTGCTGCTGCTGCTCCTCCTCCTGGTCCTCTTCCTCATCCTGCTGCTGCTGCTGCTGCTGCCGCTGCTGCGGTTGCTGCTGCTGTTGCTGCTGCTGCTGCCGCGGTTGCTGCGGTGGTTGCTGCTGCGCTTGCTGCTGCTGCTGCGCTTGCTGCTCCTGCTGCTGGGGTTGTTGTTGCTCCTGCTGCTGCGGTTGCTGTTGCTGCTGCTGCTGCGGCTGCTTGTCGTCTGCCTGCCGCAGCTCTTCAGGAACTTCTCCGCCCTGTTGTTGCTGCTGTTGTTCCTGTTGCTGCTGCTGATCTGCTACATCATTTTCTGTCTTGGTGTCTGGGGTCTGCTGCACTTGTTGCTCGCCCGTCCCGCTGCTGTTGCTGCTGCTGTTGCTGCTGCTGCTGCTGCTGGGGTCATCGGCCTCATTTTTTGTGGTCTTATCATCTGTTGCTGATGTTTGCTGCTGCTTGTCGTTTTCTTCCTTTTCCTGTTTCTCCTTCTGCTGCTGGTCTTGGAGCTTCTGTTGCTGCTGCTGTCTGTGCTGCTGCAGCAGCAGCAGTAGCGCCTCTACATCGTAGTGACCGTGCTGCAGCATACCTGGCAGCAGCAGCAGCTTCTTGAGTGCTGTTATAAGCGTTGGATCCTTCCTGAGCATCTCTTCTATCTTTTTTTGCTGCTGCATCAGAGAGACTTGCTGCTGCTGCTGCTGCTTCTTTTTCTTCTGCTGCTCCTTCTTTCGCTGCTGCTGCTGCGGCAGCAACAGCAGCGTCACCAGCGGTCGCAGCTCCCGAGTTGCTGCAGCAGCATGCCGCAGCGCAGCAGCAGATAGATCTGTAGGGGGCCCTCCAAAGGGCCCTCCAGCAGCAGCGCCTGTAAAGCCTTGAGAGTAAAGCAGCAGCTCAAGCACCTCTTCATAGACAAATAAGAAGAAGCGCCGCAGCCACAAGCTAACAGAAAGCTGCTGCAAATCGTACAAACCCTTTAGCCGCTGCCCTGCTGCTGCTGCTGCTGCTGCTGCTGCAGGAGACGGGGGCAGCAAATGCAAAAGGGAACATGCCAGCTGCAGCACATCCTGCTGCTGCTCCTGTTGATGCTGCGGCTGCTGCACTTGTTGATGCTGCTGGTCGTCTTCCTTCTTGAGTGCATCTGCTGCTGCTGCATCAGCAGGAACAGCAGCAGCAGCAGCGGGAGCAGGAGACGCAGCCGCACCAGCAGCAGGAGAATTAGCAGCAGCAGCGGCAAGTCTGTCTCGTAGTTGCTGCAGCGCAGCAATGGCGCTGCTGCAGAAAGCCTCAAACAATGCCTCTAGCCTTCGGTCAGCTGCGTCCCTGTGCTGCTGCTGCTGCCACAGACACCGCAGTTTGCTGCTGCTCTCTTCTCTTAGGTCGCCTGCTGTTGGCGGCCAAGGCTGCAGCTGCAGCAGCTCCTCTGCACTGTCTTCATCCTGCTGCTCCTCGTGCTGGCTGCTGCTTCTGCTGCTACTGCTGCTCACGCTCTTGCTGCGCTCCGCCCTGCGTGAATCAGCACGGGCCTTGGCTGCTGCTGCTGAGCTGCTGCTGCTGCTGCTACTGCTGCTGCTGCTGCTTGATGATGCAACCCTGCGCCTCTTTTTGGTGCTCAGGTGTGTCAGCCGCTTTCTCTTCTTCTTTGCCGACACATTGGCGCCGCTGCTGCTGCTGCTGCTGCTGCTGCTGCTGTTGCTGCTGCTGCTGCTGCTGCTGCTGCTGCGGCCGCTGCTGCCATTCGACGAGGCTTCAGCTTTTGTTTGACTGCTTTTGTGGGTTTCTTGTTGTGCTGCTGTTTCTGCAGGAGTCTCTTTGCGGGAGTTGTTGCTGTTCTTCTTTTTGCTGCTGCTGCTGCTGCTGTTGCTGCTGCTGCTAGCGTCATTGGTGCCGCTGCTGCCCTTAGATGAGGGCCGCTGCGGGGTTTCCCTCTGCATGGATTTACGCTGAACCATTCCTTCACTGCTGCTGCAGTTGCTGTCGCCGCCGACTGTCTAGCAGCGGCTGCTGCTGCCGCTGCTGCTGCTATTGCTACTGCTGCTGCTGCTGCTGCTGCAGCTTCTGCTGGTGTGGGGTCCCTCAATGACTGCCAAGGGAAAAAACAAAATGCGCAGCAACATAAAACTGGAGGAGAAGAGGATCCCCCCTTGCTGTTGCGGTTGCTACTGCTGCTTGCTGCTGCTGTTGCTGCTGCTAGTGCTGCTGCTGCGGGAAATACTGCAGGCGAACCACAGTAAGACCCACACCAAAGCCAAAATTGGTGCTGCTTCTGTTGCTGCTAGTGCTGCTGCTGCTGCTGCAGCTGCAGCTGAAGATGCTCTCGAGTCCGAGGAAGTGACAATAGGGCTGAAGGCAGCTGCTGCTGCAGTTTGCTGCTCCTGCTTGTTTTGTTGCCCCTGCTGCTGCTCCGCTGTAGGCAGCAGCAGGGGTTTCCAGCTATTGCTGCTGCTTGGTCTCTGGTTTTCTTCTGCAGCAGCTGCAGCACTTGCTGGTGCTTCTCCTTCGTCCGCGCACAGCGCCCTGCTGCTGCTGCTGCTGCTGCTGCTGCTACTGCTACTGCTGCTGCTGCAGACAGGCGCAGAAAGAGGCAGAAGACTCACTAGAAAGAGCAACGGATGCAAACGGCCAACAACAACAGCTGCTGCTGCTACATCTCCCTGGGGGTCGGTGGGGCTGGCTCTGCTGCGAGTGCTGCTGCTGCTGCTGCTGCTGCGGCTGCGGCTGCTGCTGCAGACGCTGCTGCCGCCGCCGCTGCAGCAGCGCATTGCCTCTACAAAGTGACAGGTGGTAATAAAGGTGAAATTAACTTGAGAAGCATTAGATAACACTCAACTGTGCTTCACTTGCTGCAGCTGTTGCTGCTGCTTCAGTGATTGCTCCTTGCTGCTGCTGCTGCCGCTGCTGTTGCTGCCTACATTGCTAGCGTCGGCAGGGCGCAAGACGCAGCAGGCAGGCTTTCTGCTGCAGCAATTTCGAATATGAGTCCCGGGAGTCTCTGCGTATTTTAGTGTTCTGGCGCTTAACAACCAAAGCAGCAGCGGCAGCAGGAGCAGCAGCAGCAGCTGCTGCTGCTGCTGCAGCCACAGCTGCAGCAAACACTCCTACCATTCCTCCCTTGAAGGCAACGCATGCCTGTCTGATGTGTGTGGCGGGCTGTCTTGCCGCTAGGTGTGGAGCAGCATCGCTCAGCGCTCTGCAGCAGCAGCAGCAGCAGCCGCTGCAGCAGCCGCTGCTGCTGCTGCTGCTGCTACTCTTGAGTTGGCAGCCGACAACAGCCGCTGCTGCTGTCACAACGGCAGCAAGGGGCACAGGAGGTGCTGCTCATGAATCAGCAGCTGCATCAGCAGCAGCAACAAGGCCGCTGCAGCAGCAGAGGACGCTGCTGCTGGCGCTCCAGTCAGCAGCACGCGAGGCAACTTGCAGCAGCAGCAGCAGCAGCAGCAGCACGAAATGGATGGCGGCAGCAGCACAGGCTGCAGCAGCAGCATTAGCAGCGGCTACGACTCGTCCAGTGATACGGATGAGGGTGATTTCAGCAGCAGGGGCTTGGCAACTGCAGCAGCAGCAGCAGCTTTCCCTCAGCAGCAGCAGTTAGCGCAACAGGAGGATTTACAGCAGCGAAATTTGGAACATCACCAGCAGCAGAATCTGGAGAGGCAGCCGCAGCAACAGCAGCAGCAGCAACAGCAGCCTAGGCAAGGTTTCTGGGCCGGTCTTGTGAGTAGCGGCAGCCTTCCTTTTAGCTTATCAACTGCTGCTGTTTCTGCTGCTGCACGCTCTGCACCACCGCCCGCAACAGCAGCAGCAGAAGCAGTTCCTGGAGCAGGTGCAGCAGCAACAGCAGCACCCGCAGCAGCGCCTGCAGCAGGAGCAGCATCACCCGCAGCAGCAGCAGCAACAGCAGAGGCAGCAAGCCGAGCATCCAGAACAGCAGCAAAGACTGTCCCCACCTCCACGGTTGAGATGCTCTCAACTTTGCTGCGGCGATCGCAGCTGCTGCAGCAAAAGCAGCAGCAGCTGAAGAAGCTGCAGCAGCAGCGTTTAGAATTAGAGAAGCAGCTGGAGTTACAGCTGAGCGCTGCTGCTGCCTCACGCGCCAGCTGCAGGACCCCGACAGCAGCAGCAGCAGCTGCTGCTGCCACGCAGTACATTACTGTCCAAGCCGACAAAACAGCAGCAGCAGCAACAGCAGCAGCTGCTGCTGCTGTTGCTGCTGCTGCTGCTGCTTCGCCCGAGCGAGAAGGCTGTGAGGGCGACGAGAAGAGGAATCAGACAATCAGCAGCAGCAGCAGCACTAGCAGCAGCAGCAGCACTATCAGCTGCAGCAGCCCTACCAACAGCAGCGGCCATGCCATCACCAGCAGCAGCAGCAGCAGCAGCAGCAGCAGTAAGGTGGGGAGTATGAACGAGAACGGGGCGCCCTGCAGCGTGGAGTTGTTGCTGCTGGATGGTTTGAGTTGTGTATGCAGCATGTGGCGGCAGCAGCTGCAGCATCTGAGCAAGAAGGTGCAGAGTTTGCTGCTGCGGTACCGCAGCAGCAAAGGCCGTCTGGTGGGTGCAGCAGCAGAGCTGCAGCAGCAGCAGCAGGGAGTATATTGTTTGCGTGTGCGGAAGCTGCAGGAGGTGGCGCGTCTGCTGCCCATAGAAAACACAGCAGCAGGGCGTACAATTCTTTCGCTTTCTTTACCTCCTGTCTCTTCTTTAATGGAGGAGCTTCAAGAGAAATCCTTTAAAGCCGAAGTGCTGCGCTCCATCTCTGCTGCTGCGGGGTTTGCTGCGCTGCTGCTGCTGCTCATCTCGCGGCTAACAGCAACTCCGCTGCTGCACCGCGTCGTTGCAAGGGGTGCGCGTTCAACTGTATGTACACCTCAAGGAGAACTGCCCCTGTATATACGCGAAGGAGACCCGCAGGCGGCGCTGCAGCAGCTGCAGCAGGGGCTGCTGTTGCTGCTGCATGCCATAGACGGTGTTGCTGCAGAAAGGGAGCACCCCCTCAAACATTTCCCAGACAAGGATGTCTTGCAGAGGCTGGAGGCGCTCCTCTACAACGAACTATGGGGATTTCAAGCTGCCCTCTGATATCTCGCTAGCTAGCTAGCTGGATAGCTAGCCAACGAGCTAGCTAGCTAGCTAGCTAGCCACCTGTCGCCCCACAGCCCAGCTGCCCACCAGAACAGCTATTCAGCTAGCCTCCGGCACAACTAGAAAGAGCAGAATGTGTGTCGCTAGCTAGCTAGCGAGCTTATATAGCCCAGCCAGCTAGCCAGCCAGCTAGCTAGCTAACCAGCTAGCCAGATTTCCAGCTAGCTAGCCAGACAGCCGGCTAGCTAACCAACCAGCCAGCTAGCCAGCCCTAGCGCGTGTATAGCCGGATGTTTTGTTTTTTTTAAGCGGAAGAACCCTCAGGTTGCAGAGGGGTAGGGAAACCTTCACAGTGCAGAACGCCACCCCCAACGCGTCAACCCAATTTCAATATTACCTTCTCTTGAAACTCTAATGAGGCTCTCTAATGCGAGCAAATTTCCTATATACATGCAGGCGGAGTTGTATGGATATGCTTTATATATATATATATATATATAATATCTGCGCATATGTGTACGTATTATAAAATAAATATATTTCCGAAAAAATATAGATTTTATATGCATGTTTGCATCCAGTTGAAGCGCATGCGGAGTATCGCAGCATTTGTTGAGGTGTACGTTGAGTTTTCCGGAGTGTTCGTGAAAATATAAATTCCCCTCGTTAGCACTGAAAGCGCAGTGGGCAGCCAATAGGCAGCTGGCTAGTTGGTGGCTAGCTACAGCTAGCTGGCGGCTTGGAGCAGCTAGCCAGCGGCTAGCCACTGGACGCTCCTCAGGGGTAGGGCCTAGGGTTTAGAGCAAGGGATTTGTGTTTGAGCTTTCCAGAGAAGAAGACAAATGCCATACACTACAAGAACTTATCAGCACCCGCATCAGCTGATCCCTCGCCGTTCGGCGCATCTGCACATACACCCAGAAGAAGCAGCAGTAGCTACCTAAGAAGCAGCAGCAGCACGAACGGCAGCAACGCCAGCAGAAGCAACAGTAGTACCAGCAGCAGCCGCAACAGCAGCAACAGTAACGACGCCAGAATGCGCTGACACCTGCGTTGTTGAATGCTGCAGCAGCAGCAGAAGCAACAGCAACAGCAGTGGAAGAAGCGACAGCCACAGTAGCAGCAGCAGAAAAGGCAGCAGCCACAGAAGCAGCTTAACTAATTTGATTCGTGTGCGTCTTGCTGCATGCAACGCGATGGGCATGCGATGTGTATGCCATACCACATTAGAACAGCACAATTAATTAAATATATTTCTGCATATTTATAACGTATTCATCTTTATATATTTGTATGTAGCTGTATCTACAACAGTACTTGATATGCTCACCGCATGCAGGAGGCGGAACCTCTGCTGGCTGCAGCCAACCAGCAGCAACAGCCGTTAACTGAAAACATTGCAGAAGCAACAGCAGCAGCAGCAGGAGCAACAGCATCAACAGCAGCAGCAGATGTAATGCACTTCTTTACAACGAAGCGTAGCAACGTGCTGTTCCAGCGGCCTCGCCATCAGCAGCAGCAGCTTGCGCAACAGCACCAACAGGAGAAGCACGGACTGCGTCGCCAGCAGCAGCAGCAGCAACAACAGCAGCAGCACCAACAGCAAGAGCAGCGCAAAGCATCTCACTGAGCTGAGGCTCTCTCTGGCCTTGTCAAGTACGCTACCCCCTTCTGCTGCGCCGGGGCTGTTGCTGTTGCTGCTGCCGCTACGAACAACTTGAGTAACATTTGAGATGGAGCGGCGCGTCAGCTCGCGCACAGACTGCAGCACTCCGCTGCTGCCGCGCTGTGGGTCTTCTTGCTGCTGCTGCTGCTGCTGCTCTGCAGAGGGAGAGGAAGAAGGGCTGCTGCTGCTGCTGTTCGCGTCGCCGCCCGCTGCAAACAGAAGAAAGAGAAAACGCCCAGACGCGATGCGCACCGGCAACCACACAGCAGCACGCACAGCACCAGCAGCAGCAGCAACAACAACAACAGCAGTAACAGCAACAACAATGGCCAAAGGCGGCCGCACTGAAAGTTGTGGAGATTTTCCTCGATTGCTGCGCAATCCACTCGCTGCCCTGCAGGTCAAGCGCAAGCACAATCACAAGCTCCAATCTAAATATGCATATATATAATATGCATATATATAATTCATATAAATTTGTGTATGTATGCAGTAGCAGTAATACGAGGAGCAGCAGCAGCAGTAGTTGCACCAGAAGCAGCAGCAGTTGCAGCACTAGCAGCAGTTGCAGCACTAGCAGCGCCATCTGGCACAGCAGAGTCTACGCGGAAGCGCCCGCTCATTGCCAAACATGCCAGCAAACTGCTTTCTCTTCTGATGCTGCTGTTGCTGCTGCTGCTGCTGTTGCTGTTGCTGCTGTTGTTGCTGCTGCTGGTGCTGAGGGTTACGTACAGTCTGGAATCCGCCTTTAGCCTTTTCAATAATGCCGGATTCCCCTGCAGCTTCAATGGTTTTCGTAGTGTATTCTTTTGCGCCTGATACGAAGGAAGAGACACTCTGGAGAGCCGTATCTATAGCTGCTCCCCCTGTGCTGCTGACTGTTGCAGCAGCAGCTGCTGCTGCAGCAGAAGCAGCGGCTGCCTGCTGCTGCAGGGAAGCAATGAAGCCGTCCTCCTCCCTGGCGGCATCCTGCTGCTGCTGCTGCTGATCTAGAGGACGAGACCCCAGAGAACGGATAGAAGACAGGGAGGAGTAAGGAGGAGAAGCAGCTGCTGCTGCATCGGGTTCTGCTGCTGCTTCGCGGTCCAATGGCGGCGGCGCAGGAACAGACGGCTCTGCAGCGGAGCGCAGCAGAGCCCTGTAATAAGCCGCTGCCTTCGTTGCATATCGCTCTTTAAGAGGCATATCCCAAACTCCCTGCAACAAAAAAGGAGTGTCTTCCGTTCCATATTAGCAGCAACAGCAGCAGCAGCGGAAACGGCAACAGAAGCAGCAACAGAAGCAGCAGCACAGCAGAGCGAGCACGACCCGCAAACGAAACAGCAGCAAAACAATAGCGGAGCCGAAAGGAGCAGACATTGAACTGGAGGCAAAGGGGAGACGGGAGAGTCTTAAACACGCAAAGCACCGGAAACAACAATGATAGTGACTCGGGAGGCAGCAGCAGCAGGTAGAGCAGTGCAGCAAGCTGTACAGTATCCAGTGTGCAGCAAAGAAGGTACTGTGAGGATCTGAGGAGCCGTACATATTCAATAAAGAAGTTCTTGCATTTAGCATTGCCGCCGCACTCCATCAGCTTTAGCTGCTGCGGCTGCCACGCGTCCATTGTGCTACTCCGCACAAAACTCAAATGAACGCCCAGGCCTCTGCAACAGCCGCAAAAGTAGTACAAGCAACAGCAGCAGTGCATGCAGCAGCAGCAGCAGCAATACAAGCAGAAACAGCAGCAATACAACAAACGCAACAGGAGGAACCGCCGCTCCCCTCAGAGCAACCCTCCCATATATATTGCAAGTAGAGGCCTGTGCGGCCCTAGTTGTGTGTAGCATTCGGGTGTCTGCCTTTGTGTTAAGCCTATTGTGTCAATCAAAAGTCAAAAACGAGATAGTAAGCTACATATAGAAGTGAAACGAGCACGTGCTACTCGCCTGTGCAGGCCGGAACAGTGGAGGCAGACGAAAGCGCCATAGGAAAGTGCGCACCACTGGGGCTCTGGTGAATCTGCAGCAGAGGAAATACAGCAAAAACAGCGGAAAGAAGTCAAAAGTCTACTTTCCTAAGGAACCGTTAGTTCGACGTCGGCAGCGGCGGCAGCCGCTAGAGCGAGAAAAAGAGTAAAGAAAAAGGGAAACATAGCTACAGTAGATAACAGAGCCGCGCAGAGAAATATATTCAAACAAAGTCAACGACTCACCGCACTCCAGGCAGCGCCTATTACTCGGATCCTCTTCTTTCAAACGCTGAAACACGGCGGCAGTGTCGGGGTCCATTGTGGGCAGAACAGGGGCTCTTTATGAACAAAAAGTAGTTTTCTCCTTTATTAAGTACAGCTTAATCAATTTAAAGTACTTTATTTCAGAGGAAATATCCGCGCTGCCTTCGCATTCGGAGTTACCAGGCAGCCAGTGCTCGGGAACCACTCGAAATGCAAAAACGCCGCCGTGCGCGATCTCTGCTTCTAGGAGCAGCCAGAGTCCTCAAACAGCGGCTAAATATATGAAAATGAAGCACTAAGGGCGAAAATGCTGCAAACAAGGATGCAATGCACGCCTCAGTGTGTTTGCATGCAGCAGAGCAGTCCGTCGTCGCTGCTGGCTCGGCAGGTGAGCAGTGAACCGTTCTACGACTCCTCCAAGGGGTAACAAAATAGAGAACTTCTATTTCAGAACAAACAAAGAGCAAACAAGAAAGCACAAGCAAGCTGCATGTGCCTTTGTTGCTTAGAAGAAAATCTGTGCAGATCAGCTAAGGTTACACTCTGATGCAGAGCGTGACTGGATTCGTGTGCCGCCGCGTGGGAGAGCCTATGGGCGTTAAGGAACTGCGGCGAAGACGAAGCATAGTGGAAGCAGCACTATATTTGAGGCCGGTTCAGCAACAACGCGCTCGGAACGCCAGTACCTGTTGCGCAGCCAAAGCACGTTCCTCATCTCTCTCCTACGTATTCACTAGGACACCTGTGCCCTAAGCGCTAGTTACGCCCCTGGAACGGAAAGCTCGCATTTATCTACTGACTATTGTTTGCAGTTTCTGCGTTTTGTGAGCAAAACACGAAAACTGGCGCAACCCGTTTAGGGGTGTTCAGCCCCTAGACGGCCGAGGCGAGAAGAGGAAGGTTCGAGCTTGAGGGGAGGCTCAGCGAATTCTGTCTTTACCGAGTGTAACTGCAAGAGATCCGCTTAGCTTCCTAATGAGGAGCAAGCAGAACGCATCGGAGGGCGCCACTATAGCGGAGAGACCTTAGAACGACAAACTAGAAAGCATTCGCAAGCCGTTGTTATGTTCCCCTGCAATATTTGGCTTTGTAAGGAGCACAGAAACACTATCTAAAAAGTAGTGCAGTAGAGGATTTGTTAGTTTTGCTTGGACGGATGCAGTTATTGCAAGTTGAGCACTTTCAAACTTAGGCATTTTGCTCAGTAAAGACCGGTTGAGAGGTGCCAAGGATGGGCACGTGTTAATAATGCGTTTGCCGCTGCCTATATTTTAATTTTCAAAGTCCGAGAACTCGAAGAAGGTCCCGTCTGGTTTTCTCAAGGGCAGATCAAGAGGTCTGATGCAGTGCGACTGAGCTGTTTCTTGCTGGCAGCAGCTCGCCGCAGCAAGAGTATCAGCAGAAGAAAGCGATAGGAGGTCTTCTCCGAAGGCGTGAGCAAAAGGAGGACAGGTTTCTTCTTCATCTTGCAGCTGCAGTGAGGTGGCGCTTTGAGGGGACTTTTCTGCGTGTTCTTCTCTTTCTTTTTCAGTCTCTGTCTCAGTAGTAGCTGCCTTGGCAAGCTCGCGTGCCATATCCTCCGCAGTTGTCTCCTTGAATCGAGTCAGGCGCTGTGCATTCAGCAGCACCAGCAAGCAGCTGCAGGCCATGGCTGCCGCTGCTGCAGCAGGATGTAGAGACACCGTAGGGTACGCCACTCCAGCAGCAAGCGGCACCGAAACCAGGTTAAAAACACAGGCCCACAGAAGATTCCTGTAAAGAAGGACACAAGCACAAGGGGCGTCTTCTGCTGCATGCAGCAACGGCAGCAAAGGAGAGTCCTTTGCTGAAGTTTGCTTCAATTCCCATACCCCAAACGCCGTAAGGTTGCCTAACTTGGTGGCTGCACTATGAGGGAGTCCTTTTACAGCTCACGAAGCAGCCCTCCAGCACTAAACCCTAAACCCTGAAGCCTTCTTACCACCAAATGATGTTGCGTGTCTGCCGCGCTATGCGGAAAAGATCAACGAGCTCCGTCCAGCTGCGTCCCCCTACCGCCACTGCAGCAGCTGCCAGCGGCAGCGCATTGCCCACTCCAAAGGCCACCCCTAAGGCAGCCTCGGCTAAAGCGGGAGAATCATTCAACCCGTCCCCCACCATGCAGCAGACTGGTGGTTCCTCCCTCTCCCTCCTAAGCAGCGCAGTCGTGCTGCTGCTGTTGCCGCTGGTGACGGTAGGGCTGGTGGCAATCTGTGGGGTGTCTGTCTTCGCTAGAGAACGGAGAAAGCGCACTTTGTCCTCTGGTGTCTGCTGAGACACGACGCACTCCTCGGGGATGTTGAGCGCAGCCCCCACGCGGGAGGCTGTCCTTGGGTTGTCGCCAGTGCACATGAAGATAGAGAAACCGAGGCATTTACGCAGGTACTGTACTGCAAGTTTTGTCTCCTCTTTAATTTCATCCTGGAGAGCCACCGACCCCAACCACACCCATCCCGTCCCCAAAGAAACCCCGCAACTCTCGCCATCAGCAGCCACATACGCATGCAAGTGGACCACTGGTCCGCAGTGAAGCTCGTGCCAAGTGGTCCACTCCTGGCGCACACAACACAGTGCAGCAGTCCTTGCACGCATGCTTCCGATAACAGACTTGCTAAAGAGGGTGTTACGCTGTCTGTGTCTCTCTGTGCTGTGAGTCGCTTCTCCTCATTGAAGATAGACACAGGCGTAAAGCCGCTACGAAATAAGAACACAAATAAACCTTCCAACCAAGAAGGAACCAGAGCCAAGCGGCAAGCATTGTCCACACAGGCAATAGGATAGAGAGAGGGCGTAAAACACGAGACGCCTTTCAAATGTCTGTAGGTATATGTATATATATATATATATATATATAGGCAGGAGCGCGCATACTCCAACACGCATTCAGAAAGTGTGTATGCATTTACATTTATGCATAAGCGTTGCAAGAATGTTGTGGCATATGTACTGCCTAAGCAATTGATTTGAAGCATATGCAGCTGCCGGAAGCTGTAGCTCGTTGCTCGGGTGTACCTGCAGCTGTAGTGTTTCTTCTGCCCCAAGTTTTTCTTTTTGTGGAGAGGTATCATCGTTGTTGTTTCGTTTCTCTGCAGCACGTGCGCAACAAAGACAGACACCAAAAGGCAGCCTCTGCCTGGTGGAGGCCTCGACTGGACACTCCTCTCCCTTTGCCTGCACTCCAGGCGGATTCAGGCAGCAGCAAGAAAAAACAAAAATTTAAACACAACACACCGTCTTCTGGTGAAGTTGCAGAGACGCGCAGACGCAGGCGGAGGTTATCTCTTGTTTGGATATACCCCTCAATACCCCGAGACAGCAGCTGAGGCTGTTCACAAGACTGAGGCGGCGGCAGGCACCGCACAGCAGCAGTTGCTGCCCAGACACCCAAACCCTCGCGGCTCTCAGAGGCATTCACAACAGCCCGCTGCTGATGCAGCCGCCGCCACCTGTCGTACGCTTGCACCAGGGCCTCCCCTACCGAGTGGCTGCTTCCCTGCTCCAGAGAGCTCAAAGCCCAAAGGAAGCAGCCCGTTGCAGCAGACGCCACAGACTCCCCTCGCAAGTCCTCAGCTTCGTACACACCCGCACTGCTGCTGCTGTTGCTGCTGTTGTTGTGCCAGGTGGAACACTTGGGAGAGCTCTCACGCTCCAAATTCGCATGCGCAGACCCGTTGCTGCTGCAGGAGGTGCTGCTGCTGCAGGGGATGGTGCTACTGCTGGAGGTGCTGCTGCAGCAGCTGCTACTGCTGTTTTCTTCTGGCGCCTCCCAAAGTGCATCGAGTCTGCAAAAGGCAAGGGGAGCACCACAGTTCCTCTCAAGACTGCCGCTACTGCCTTGAGGTTGCCTTCTGCAGCAAGGAGGGGGGGAGAATCTGTCTTCTCCAGCTGCAACGGTGTCGGCTGAAGGAGGAGCGGCGACTTCAAGACTGATGATGGACTCGGAGGCCACAGAGCCGCTGATGCTGTCGGAAGGTGATGGTAAGCTTTCGCTGGTCCTTGTGTTGCTGCTGCGGGGAGTGCTTGTGCTGCTGCTGCTTCTGCAGCACACGGCTCTCTTGATATCGTTAGTGGCCCCACTGGCGCTACTCGCGCTCCCGCAGGTGTCGCTGTTTGTCTTGCAATGGGGTACGAAAGCCTTGAGGGCGTTGGTGCTCCTCTCCATTGCCGGCAGCAGAAGCTGCTCCAGATGTTTAATGTGCAACACGCATGCAGCCGCCTGCTCGCAGACGCATAAGCAACAAGGCGAGGTGACAGTAAGGCGATGAGGGTTCATCTGCAATGTTTAGGGGAGCCCTCAAGGTAGCTGCAGCCTCGGCCGCAGCGGGGCCACAGCAGCGGTGACTACGACTTGGCTTGGTAGCTAGCTCGCTTGGTGGCTAGCTGGTGCGGCAGGTAGCTGGCTTGGTAGATAGGTAGATTTGCAGTCATCTAGCTGCCTGCTAGCTGGATAGAAAGTGCGCTAGTTGCTGGCTAGCTATGCTGGTACTCAGTTAGTTGTTGGCTAGCTAGATTGCTTGTCAGCTGGTTGCTGGCTAGCCGTAGCTAGCCAGTCCAGTTGGCCGCCCCTGCCGCGGGCCTTGCCAGTCGCACTCACTCGCAGGTCGCCGGTGGTGAGGGTTCCTGTCTTATCAACGACGAGACAGTTCACGTTTGCTGCGGCTTCGAGGGCTTTTCCGGTTTTAAAGAAGACTCCTCGTGCTGCTGCTGCCGCAGTGGCGGCCGCCACAGCAGCAGGAGCAGCGAGCCCGATAGCGCACGGGCAGGCAGCACAGCAGACGGCCACACCGAAACGCAAAGCAAACAACAGGCTGTCCCAAGTCAACACCCAATTGGAGAGGCGGCATGCAGCAGCAGCTGCAGCTGCTGCGTGCGAAGAGACAGGAGGGGCCTCTACAGGTGAGGAGGTGGGGGCGGAGCGCAGTGGACCAGCTGCTGTTAAGAAATTCCCGTGGGATTCGAAATGCTGCTGCTGCTGCAGCTGTTGCTGCAACTGCTGCTGCACCTGGCTGCCTGATAAGCCCTCCCTGAGTTCCAGTTCCAGCAAGCGCTGCCGTATCTGCTGCAGGGGAGACAGCGGAAGCGTGTCTGCTGTAGCGAAGACTCTCACGGCCCAAACAATTGCTGCTGTAGCAGTGATGCACAACACGATAGGGATGAAGTAAGCAGCAAACTTCTCGGCAGCCTTCTGCAGCGGCTGTTGCTGCTGCTGCCCCGTCTGCACTAGTCGCAGCAACGTCTGCAGTACGGAAGCATCGCCGACCTGCATCCACGGCAGCACCAGAAGAAGCAGCAGCAACAGAAGGTATTTTCCTGCGTGCTCCCTCTTTGAGTCTCGTCCTAAGGTCATTTGGAAACTCCGCATGAACCTCTGAGGGCCCTGTTGAGATGGAGGGGCCCCTCATTTGCCGTACTGCTGCTGTGTTTGTTAAGGCCTTGGGTTAAAGTGGTTTGTTTCGCGGATTTGAACTGAAGACGAACCACCTGCACTTGAATGAAGGCATCTGCATGCGAGGCGTTCCTGCTGCCCCCAATGACTCGCTGTCCTGCCAGCTTGCAGATCCCTCGTCCCTCTCCTGAAACTAGGCGTTCGTCAACGTGGAGTACCTGGGGAGCCTGCATGCAGCAGCTGATAGAGAAACACCTTTGTGCCTCCCTCCTGTTGTCTGTCTTCGTGTATACATGAGCCTACTCTGTCTCTGTCTCCCACTCTGTCTTCGTTTATGCACTTCTCTCCTCTGTCTGTCTGTCTCTGGCTGTCTGTCTTCGTGAAGATAAGTGTCTCTACGGTCTCTCTGTCTCTTGTCGTCTGTCTTCGTGTTGTCACGCATCTCCTCTGTCTATCTGTGTCCTGCTATCTCTCCCTTTGTGCATATGTCTCCCATGATGGAGAGAAAAACAACAAGCAGAATCCTGAAGATTCAAACTGTCAGTACAGAGAAAAACCAACAAAAAAACTTGAGACGCACGAAGGGCAGGCAGGATCTATAAGGGCCAAATGAAAAATACGCAGTATTTATAAGAGGCAAACGAACAGTAAGTGACAGGCAAGCGGGTTTGATGAGGGACACAAAAGGCTAGCGCGAGAGGCAGAAGACAAGCAAAAGACACACCCCACAAATACATCGCAACGGAAACTGTGACTGTACAGTGCAAGCGAAGGGCAAACACGGTGCCACAGGAGACAAAAAGCAGCAGCACACGTGCAGGTGCTGCCTTTTAGCTGGGCTTTAAGCTGTCTTCATATTCATTGAAAGCAACGGAGGGCAGCGCGACTGCAAGCCTTCAGCACCTACTGGCATTTAAACCAGCTTAGGGTCTAGGGTTTACGGTCTTCGGTCTATGGCTTCCCGATTTCTGCCTTAAAGTTTCTGCCTTAGGGTCTTTAGTTTAGGGTTTAGGGTTTGGAGGTGTATTACCAGTAGAATTCCGTCAGCTGGCAACACTTCCTGGGGCGGGACCCTCACCACGTCCCCCGCTTGCAGCAACTCTGCGCTGATGATGACTTCATCCGCAGTCTTCCTCGCTGCGTCTTCTGCTTTTGATGCTTCTGCTATTTTCTTTCGTTGTAAGAGATCTGCCCTTTTGCTGCAGCAGGAGGAGGGCTTCCGGCCGTCTGCGGTCTCGTCTCCTTCGTCTCCAAGACTGCAAGAAGCGGGTTGAGTGAGCGGGTTGTAAGCATTTAAATATCTTCCTGCCTGCATTCCACAGGCAGCTGCCACCTTCTGCCACCACCGCAAAGGTGGGGGGGGAGGGCTCAGAACATCGTCCGACGAGTCGGCGGCAAAAAGGGTTGCTAGTTCCAGCAAGCCACTGGGCCCCGAGCAGTGGTTGTTGTTCCTGTTGTTATTGCTGTTGTTCTTGTTCGTGTTCTTGTTCTTGTTGCTATTGTTGTTGCAGCTGGTGCTTCTGCCCCCCTCTTCCTCTCTTTTTGCACAAGAAGACTGCGGAGAAGACTGTTGCAGGCAACGCGCAACTGCAGCGTCTGGAGAGCGCAGCACCAAATGCACCGTGCGGGCCTGCAGGCGGTGGAGGCTGCACAGTCAAGAAACAGCAGAGCCGGTGCATAAACGCCTTGCAATAAATGCAAGTAACAACTTCTCATTTCATCAGTTCCCACCAAATCACGCAATACACCTACCTGTGGAGCTGCTCCAGAATCCGCTCCTTTGCTCGCAGCTGCAGCAACTGCAGCGTAAATACCGCACGAGTGCATACGCATGCATGCACATGCGTGGATAACCCCGAACCGATTCGAAATACCTCCAGGTAGAATGAACAAACATGCTGGCAAGCTTCCTCTGCATCAGAAAGTACGTCGTTTAGGTTTTCTTCACAACACGCGAGACTGAAGGGAGCTACCACTTGAAGTGCGTTGCTCCTGCATAACCAGATGCCCTCCAGAAACATGGAGGGGCTGCTTCGCTTCACGGAGCCTACCTTGCCGAGGAGGACGACGCAGATAAGCATTACACAGGTATCTAAGAAAACCTGAGGCTCTGCCCTCTCAAAGAGTTCATAAAATTGGCTTGTTTTGTGGCTGGCGGGGCCATGGGCTCCAGCGCTTGCTGCTGCTGCTGCTGCAACGTCCACTGCAGACAGCAGGGGCCGGCACCACACGCTCGTTGCTGCTGACTGCATGCACGAGAGGGCGGAGTAGAAAAAGGCCAAGTTGCTCCCGAGAGACACGAGGAATTCCATGCTGAACTGTCGATGCCGCAGGCCCTGCAGCGAGCAGCCCGCACCTTTTGCGCCCGCATGTTCTGCCTGCTGCAGTGGGTAGCTGCAAACCTCCACAAGTGTTTGTATATGCGTGCTTGCACCTCCAAGGGAGGAAAAGTAGTTGAACTACAGGAATCTTTACCTTCAAAGCCGCTCTGTGGAAGCTGCGACCCCCGTAGAACTGGACAGGGGTCGCCAGCAGCAGCAGCAGGAGGGTCGACAAGCGCATCCCTGGGAAGCATTCGCGTCTTTAGCAGCAGCAGAGAGAAGCAAAGACAGTAAGCAGTTTGTATTCTAGCGCATGCGCATGTGCAAACAGCAACCCCAACGATGGAACAGCACGGTGGCCACTGCGTTGTTTGCCCTGGAAGCAGCTTCTTTCTCTCTGTCTGTGTCTGTGTCTGTGTCCGTGTCTGTATATGTGTCTGTGTCTGTGTCTCTGTCTGTGTCTGTGTCTGTGTCTCTGTCTCTCTCTCTCTCTCTCTCTCTCTCTCTCTCTCTCTCTCTCTCTCTCTTTCTCTCTCTCTGTCTGTCTGTCTCCCTCTCTCTCTCTCCCCCATATGTGTGCGTTTGTGTGTGTGTGTGTGTGTGTGTGTGTGTGTGTGTGTGTGTGTGTGTGCCGGCGTGTCTGTGTATGTGCGTGTTCGCAGCTTGTCGAGTAGCTGAAGTCCTTCTTCAGAAAAAATAGTTCATTGATATGGAACGAAATCCATTTGTGGGAAATCGCTAGTGTCGCCCGTATCTGCATGCTTTTCAAACTGCGCACAGTTCAAGTTGGCTGGGCAGAGACCTGTAATCAGAGCTTACACAAGAGGAGGCGGGAGATGGTGACTCCTGGCCATTACAGAGAGGCACACAACAGCGAGGGCCGGCAAAAGGGAGAGCAACAGCGATCTGAGGATATCCCTTCGGTTCCCTAGAACAGCTTCCTTCTGCAGCACAAAGAAACTGAAGCAGAGCCACTTCCATCACCGCACGGATGCATGACTGCTGTCATCGTTTCTTCGAGAACGTCTGCAGTTTGCAAGTCGAACGAGAGGGAATACCGAGCGGCGGTGGGCATTCTCGCCTGCTTCTCAAGGGGGTCTTCAGAGAGGATGAACGGACTAAAGCCTTGAGCAACTAACATAAGGAGCAGCTCGCGAGCCCCCACCACTTGGGGTTTATAAGTCAGCATCAGCTGCTTTGCACAATGCGCTTCGACACCTCTGAACGAGGTGACTGCACAGCCCAGCACTCCCTTGATGGTTCTCAATGTGCTACAGGCGGACTCGGCAGATAGACCTTGACGATCTGCTATTGCAAGGCGGAGAGTGGCTTTTGACATGGCCCAAAGCTCACTGAAATCCTGTGCTTGCTTCGCTGGCTCTTGGCACTGTGGGAGCCGCAGCTCCGCCTTCTCCTCTTGGCATGCATCTGCTTGCGGTCCCTTAGAGAGTTGCCTTTTCAAAGTCTCCCTCCGCTCATCGTTGGGAGTGGTAGGCTCTGCAGTGCGTGCTGTGGTTTCCTCGCTGCTTTCATCTGACGGGTTGGCGTTGCTAGCCACGAATATCTGTAGGACTTGTGATTGGAAACCCAGGTTCTCGACTGCCTGGCAGAGTTCAGCGGGGGTGATCATCTCGCTATTGTAGGCAACGCGTGCAGTTTCCCTTAAAAGGTCCACTTGGACTTGGAAGACTCCGGGGCATTTGATCAAACTGCCTTGAACTGCTCCCGTGCAAGCAGCACAGGTCATGCCGCCCACCAGCAACTCGCATACAGCCACAGGGGGCATTCTCGTACTTACCGGCTGGGGAAAACAAACAGAATTTAACCGTTCACGCCTTGGGGGCACGTACAGGCAAAAGGAATGGTGTTCTAAACGAGCGATTTGCGAGCACCTCAAGATGGCAGCGCAGTCCAGAAAAACGCCGGATTCGCCGAAATCGTCTAATTAAATACATAGATCAACTTCAGAAATTTTTATTTCAGCTGAAGGGTAACAGATTATTGAAGAATAGGCTTCGAACATGACCGACGGTGAGTGACCCAGGCATGTTGGGGAGCACGTGGCGAAGGAGCGCCCCCGTGGGCCTATTGCCTTTCCTACCCCCCCGTGTAATAAATTTTATTACATTATAAAAACTAAAATGCGCATTTTCGCTTACTTCCTGGAGAGAGAAGCAGTGCATGCGGTGTTCCTGGTACCTAGCTAACTGGGAGGCGTGGGGGGACCGACCACTCGTCGAAGCCGCTGCAGCCTAACCAGTCCTACGGACCGTGGTTTTGCAGGTAATGAAGCACTCAGAATCTTATTATATTGGTTTCCGGGAATGCGAGATGATAAACAGATGCTATCTACCCACGTATGCGAGCGCTTTGTCCTGCCAGTTACACTCTGCCAGAGGGGCCAGCGGGAGTCCGCGCAATGCGAATGAATGCCAAATTGGGAGAAGAGCTTAATTTTATAAATCTTTCGGCTCTTTTTTGCAGTGCCGGCAAAACTCTGCGAAGGGGAACAGATAGATGGAAAGGCCGCATCCACAATTGGGATTACTCTGCTTGCGGCAACCTTGGACAATACCCAGTCGGATGCCCCCAAAAGATTCAGTGGGAAAAGGAAACCTCAAAGCACTGAGACGGTCAAAAACAAATTATTCCACGGTTTCAAAGTACACGTAAGAGCTAGTGCAACACTCCACTTTTCGACAAGAGCAATGGATGGATGTACTTCACTACCGCAAATATGGATGTGCCTTGCCCATTACTGACTACAGCGCAGCTTCCTGAAGCACGCAGTAAAGGATGTTGCCGCCCACTACCCCATCCATCCATGGAAGAAGGTTAATGGCATCAGCCTTTGCTATCGCTCCCACGAAGCTCAATCTTCTTTGTTATGGGAAGCCCTTGTTCTAGAACCATGTCCACAGTGAATAAGTAATTCCAAGTATTAATTTTGATTTAGAAAACAAATTGAAAAGGTGTAAGAAGAACAAGATTGAAAAACCTGCACTCTATGGCGCTCAGTCAAATCAAACGCAGTCAGGTGGAAACTGGGTCAGAGCAGAAATAAAGCGCGTGCCGTGCACCTCATTTTTCCCTGTAACACTGTACGAACTATCTTTAATATAATAATAATACTTAATGATACCTGCACTTAAGAACCACGCGTATATAACGGTCAAGGTCATGGTAAGTTTGGAGATGCAAGCGAGGCTAACACTGGTGAATAGGTGGCAAAAATGAAGAACTACACGGGATGCGGCTCAAATGAGTTACGTGAGGTAAAACGAACAATGGACGAGAAGTAATTTTAGACAGATTTCATTTAATTTTGCTTGTTCGGCACGTAGACGCAAGCTGAATTCTCCCAGAACTGCGTTGGGGCCTCCCGTTAGAACATTGGGAGGACTAAGCTGTTGAAAATTTACCCCCTTAAGGAATTCGTTTGTTTACATAATTATATGGTTGCGAACGCAGCTGTTGCCAAACATAATCTAAAATTTACTGACTAGGCTCCGGTCCAGTGCGTTTTGACGCGCACAGTCCTGCAATTTTGAAGGGAGTGTTTGCATGCTCGAGCAGCGAACCCCCACCCCGAGTATGTCTATTAACAAACTAAGGCATACCTCATGTTCCCCTCGTGTACGAATGCGCCCAAGGATGCTCGCCAGATATGGTGGATGCGAAACAGAGGGAAGGCCCGCCCGTACGTTCTGTGGCGAGAAGATGGGTGGTGAAAGACAGAAAAGTTAAAATAGTTGAGTTTAGCTTAATATAAATCTAAGGAAGGGCAGAGTAAAGTGGCTAGAACTGCTTGAGAAACTGTACCAGCAATTGAATCTATTTCCTTCCGACTCTTTCCACGTGTCTGTTCGGCAGTTCCAGCAGCAGGAACAAGTGCGTACTCCTTTCGAAAAGGAAATAAGGAACCAGAACTAGATAAGCTGCTTTCCGCCTCAATGCTGACTGGATTGCGTGCTTAGTTGGCGGATAAGTCTGCAACTCGTTGGCGCGTTGCGTCGTGTACACTATCAACGTCAGCCTGCCGGTTTGCTCTAGCGTTTTCCTTCGAAGGGTATTAAAATGTAGTGAAGCGGATTCTTCTGCGTCCAAGAAGGAAAATTGGGCAGGCGCTAGTATTCATTAACATCAATAGAGCAAGGCCAGGGCCATACCAGTGGAGCGATCACGCAGTTGACACAAGACGGGGTCTGTAACGAAGTCCTGCAAGGGCGAAGCTTTCTCTAAGATGAATTCAGTGTTTTTTGGCTTTTTAAATAATATGTGAACATTGTTTAAACGGTAGAAGATCGCAACGTGAACATCTGCAGCAACTCGTAGCTTCTTAGATCCAAGACCTGCAACCACCGGTCCTGCGGCCCTGTTCGGCCCGTACCCATGAGTCGTTCCGCGTTTTGTGACGATGGGGTGTTCAACTGCTGAAGGGAATCCTGCACGAAGATAACAACTGCATGTCTTTCGCCCTTTACTTCGGGATGGGAAAGCTGGGGCAGGCATGATCTGCCGGTAGCCAGTGGGACTTGCTCCCTGTCCTGTTCACTGCTGGACTAACCGAGTCCGGCTCTAAAACGTCTGTTGGTCAATTCCTCCGTCTTCTGCTCTTGTTTGCATTCTACGGAATATTCCAGTCCTTGAGTTAGTCGTGCTCGTGTTGCTTCAGCTCGCCGCCACTCTCATTGTGACTGCCCTGGGCTCCTCTCGGCCGTTTTGGGTTTGCAGCGAGGTTTCCTGTAACTTACAAGCGCACGTTCCTTTTTGCCGCATTCCAGCCTTTGCACTGGTCACGGAGTATTCCTACTGAAACGAAGCCTACGAACCATGGGCTAGGCTTCCTCTGTTGCCCTTTCGATGGCCGTTCTCTCATACCGTCGAAAGGATTTCGTGTTCGTTTTCACGCCCTCAACAAGACAGCGATGGAATTTTGGACTTCAATCTGCATATACGAATATGCCGAGTAGAGATTCAAGGCCGCTCCTGTGGCGGGGAGCTGTGCAGTGCGCCTTTTTCTTTTTCTTAACATTGGTTGTCTTCCAGGCAACGGAGCCCTCAGCTACTGTATTGGGATACATAGATACACCAAAATCGCATCAGCTGCCCGATGCGCATCTTCTTCAAGGGAGGCTTGCAGATGGCTCGCTTCGCTTACCTACCACAGTTGCTGCGCAGTTCCAGTCGCAACAATCTGCTCCTCCTTCTGGAACCCTTCAAGGCAGAATCGGTTCAGCAAGCGCTGCAGGCACGAATCCTACTGTGCTGCAATCTGCTGAGCAGGAGAAGCAAACTTCAACAGAAGATGTGGAGACCGTCTGCTTCTCGCGAAATCTTTATGGAATCTTAGACCCGAAAACGGGAGTGGTGAGCCATACGCAGTTTCACTTCAAGTAACTTAGGGCATTCACTATTTGATGGGGCATTATTCACAGGCAGGTAGTTCATTGCCAACTTGCCAGTGCCAGCGGTAGCTCGTTGGGCATTACTTGTCTTTCTTTCTCGTAGGGCCAACTTTTGCTGCTGTGCTGGATACAATGCGTTTTATTTGAACACTTTTGGCCACTAAGTGTGACTGACGGAAGACAATGTCGGTGACGTGCGTTCTTAAGATGGAGAGCCTTTTGTGTTTTCCGGTGGCTGTATGCTCTGCAGTTCATAGATCAGGGGCGAACGGCTGAGGAGGTTTTGGCAGAGATGAAGGCGAAGAGCTCTGGAGCTGAACGTGAAGCAGCTATGGATGCTTTTGCATCAATGGTAGAAGACGGAGAATTCAACTCTTCGCTGATTGCCAAGCTCTTCCCCACCTCGGCCTTGGTGTTTCTGGTTATTGCTGCTCTCATCTTCTTGCTCTTACTCTTCTTTATGGGACCTTTGATTTGCTGTAGGTGTTGCCGTTTATGCTGCTGCTGTGTTCGCCGGAGGGCCCACAGCAAGACCGGCCGAATTCCATGTTACTTAATGTTCGGCCTGACATTGGCGGCATTCGCTGTAGCAATGGCAATCGCAGCATATCGAGTTGACAGGAAAGCCCTGGATGAAGCAACTGCAGTGGTCTGTGCAGGAGGGCGGTCTGTAGATGCTGTCTTGTACGGAACACGCACTGAAATGGAAGGAACAGTAGAGGGAAGGGGCGTGAGCTTTGCGGGTATTAAAAATCTACTGGCCGGCTCCCGCAAGTTGGCAGACGCTGCAGATGGAAGTAATCCAAACAACTTTGTTGACCAAGTGAAGGAGGAGATATTGGAGGCTGTAAACTTAGATCGTGAGAAGAACTATTTCAAGAATGCAAAGGCTGCTACATCGGGAAACCTAAAAGTAGCCCACGATATTACAGACAAGGCGTCTCACACCAACATCTTTGTGATTGAGAATTCTGTGTCCCTTACTCAAGCGTTGGACTTAATTGAAAGGCAGCTAGGCGCCATCAATATCACTCAACCGATGCTTGACATTTTCCGTGATATTTCCCTTCCTCCAATAGATCTCAGCGGATTTGATGCTGCCGACGAGGTGATGGATATGCTGTCAAACACGGTGGATCACGTTGGCAGTGCTTCACTTTCAGCTGAGCAAGTGGTAGATACTTTAGATTTCGCTCTTTTTTTCGTCAGCGCGATCTCGGGGGCGCTGGCGATTATGACTGTGCTTTTCCTTATCTGGCAGTTACTCAGGCCGAATAAATGCGCCAGAAGAACTTTGGGAGTTCTGGCAATCCTGATGGCCATCCTTTCAGTGATCGTTTGTATCACTGTGGCGGTGGTATCTCTTCTACACAAAATTGCAATTCCCGTTTGCGACTATGCCGCTGTACGCTTTATGGATGTAAACAGCGATCACCCACTTGCAAAAATGTATGGGAAAGATAGTGCAGTATTCCAAGCTTTCAGCGTCTGTTTTTCGGAAACAGGCAGCGGAGACTTCCTGGAGGCAGAGGACGGCACGAGTCGAATCGATGGTGCTTTGGAAGCAATAGACGACGCAACAAAGTCTATATGCGACCAAATTCCTTCCCCACCCTCGGTTGATTTCCTCGGTACGGTTGCGCCTTTCCTTCGTTTGCCGAAGGGACACTGCGGTTTGGGGCATTTATGGGATAATGCGTCGCAACGCCCCAGGGGAGTGATACACAGTGATTTTCGTTCTGCCTTTTTCCGTCTGCGGCGTTCAGATATGCAGGATTTTGACAATGATGCAAGATTGCAAAGTTGGGCCGTAGTTCTGAAAGACCCCTTGAGTTTTCAAACGTTCCCAAAAGTGCAATACGTACGCCTTCGCGTTCTTTTCATACACAGAAACAGTACAGCTCAGGGAATCACGTGGTTCTGGAGTGACCAGAGACATGCTTGTGTTAGTGTAAATTCGGCCCAAGCATGCCTGCAGGCGACTGCCATATTAGAAGCGTAGTTAGTAGGGATGATTTTCTTCTCTCTGCAGTTTAGGTGGAACTGCTTGTGCGTACAGAGCGGTATTCAACAGGTGGATTCTCATGTGCCGGTACGCCAAAGAACCATGACAGTCTATGGTATGAAAACTGTCAAGGAGTTGGTCCAGCCATGGAAAGTTGTCATTAGCGACGTGGCCAGTCCTGGAGACCTGATGGTCACGAGCAAAGCGCCATCACAAGAAAGCCTTGACCAGTGGTTCCAACAATGCCTGCAGAACGTACGACGGGTATTTGCGCTCCATCAAAAGTAGACGACCCAATAAAAAAGCCCAAATCCCTTTACTTAAAATAATAGAAACACTTTAGCGAAAGCAGACACGCCGGTAACTCCTTTTTCATGTGCCACAGAAAGTGACAAACTGTCTAGAAATAAAGAACGCGGTCTTGGCTTTAAAAATGAAGATTGCGCTGATGGTATCTAAAGCGACATGCTACCGGAGTGATTCTGGCTCCGAAGGGAGGCCTTGTTCGGTTACAGAGCTGATGGGAGGTTCTGGTGGATCGCCCGTGCCGCAGAATGCTCTTGACAGATCAGTTAGCGATGTTGTTGACGCAGGTTAGGTGGAAAGGTTCTTCCCTTTGTGTCATAGGACGACCACTCGACATTGCAGCGTTGGGACTGAACAAATCGATCGTTTGCTCCTGCATTGCTGAGCGATTGTGCTGTGTGTTGACTTCAGTGAAGCAGTTGAAAGCGAAGGTCGAAGGCAGCCGCGATGTAGCGTGTGAGTATCTGCTGTCTTCCTCTGTCCCTTTCTACCTCTACGCCTTCGCTATTGTTCAAGGGGCTAGCTTTCTGTAAAGATTCGCTTGACTGCAAACTCTGTGCTGCGAAACAGGCAATCTTGCACAGAATAAGATCTCTTATATCAAGGACCAAGTTCTGAAGCTCAAAGAGGGTAGCAACTGTAAATTTGCGCGGGATCGGGTTATCCGACTAACAAGCCACCTCTGTTACGGTGCCATCGATGGCTTGGGTACTGTAGGTTCAATGTTCTCTTATGCACTCCAGTAGACCATCTTGGCTCTCCACTTGCCAAACAAACTCCAGCTGTAGGCGTCCGGTAGCTGATACCATTGCAGCTGCCTACGGTACTACTTTAGTTAGATTAGCCCTAAGCCGAACTGAACTCATATACGAAATCTGTATTGACTGTGTCCTCAGGGCTTCTCTTTGTACTTTCTATTGGCCATTGCGATGTTATTGTTCTCGCTGCTCTTGCTCATCCTTATTATTGAAGACCGCGACAACGATCGCTATCGAGACACGCAATATACAGCTGCAGCAGGGGACGCAGCTGAACCTGCTGACGGAGCACCTGACGCTGTTGTTGTCGCTTCACCAGAGGAGGGGAAGGGAGTGGAAAACAGCAGCAGCCTACCATCTCCCGATGGTAAGTCAACCGGGTGCTCCAGCGTGCCCAAGACGTGTGTTGCAGCGCATTTTTGAACTCGCCCTCCCACTTTCGGTGCGCAGTCTGTGGCGAAACCTGTTGGCGAAGGTGCCTATGGCGCGCCACGTTATGTTTCACCCTGCAGGAAACGGCGGTATCCAGGGGAAAGCTCCAGAGATACCACAGGAAGATGCATCAGTTGACGGTGTAGATATAAAGCCTTCATCGCATAGCGATGGTGGGCTTCGAGTGGCGGCATCTCATGGAATTGCTCCCCGTATGGCCTCGATTCCTTGAGGAATATGACGGTGGGTCTACAATCTCTTGCAGACAACTAGAAACTGCAACGAAGTGTTTGACCAACTGCGCACTAGAAAATACAGAGACGGAAGACCGTAGGCGAGTCTTGGCTGAAGTGGAATGAAAATTCAAATGTTTGGTCCATCAATGCATTTCTTGCATCCTAGACAGCGCAACATATCAATGATTTAGCATATTTCTGTCATCGCTGGATATTCAGTGCACCACGCCTCCTTAGGCAACCTTGGTGCTGCCCCCACCTTCATTTTACTTGTGCCTGGTGGATTGTGGGGCTTCGTTGTGAATGCATACAATGACTTTTCTGTAGTTTTTAATCTAGCATGAGCCTGTGGCTGTTGCATCACGTGAACCTAGAGTGCCTTTCTCGCAAATTCTGGTCCTAGCCGATTTACTGGCTGTTGCCATTGGGGTTATGCAGACGCAGGGGCTTGAATGGCCATTACGTTGTTTTGAGAGTGTGTCAGCATTATTGCTTGCACTGTTGAAGAGCCTTGAGCTACACGGTCTCCTCGACTGAAAGCTCATTTGTGTTGTACACTTTCTTCACCAGCTATTATGTTTAAATGGAGCTAGTCATTGACAGGTAGTCCTACGGAATGGTAAAATGCCCAGTGCAAACTTCGAGAGAATAGTTACAGACCCGCCTGGCTTTGTCTGGAAGTACGGCCTAAAGTAGCACGCTTTAGTGAGCTGACCCTCTGCAGGGTCTACTTGATACAGATGCATCACTCTTCACACCATACAGAGAGTTGTTTCACGTAGCCTCAATAGTCATCTTGTCAACGCAGTAGCCTCTGCTGCTCTTCAACAATGGAATCCCAATTTTGAAGAATGGGCAGCACGAGGAGGTGTTGGACTACGTGATAATTGCCAGCAGTAACATGCGAGACGAGTAAGACTTTTCACCTTAACGTCTTTTTCCGCCAGCGTAAATATGTCGTCACTTGCTGCTAGAACCGATAGGTAGAACCGAGCATGGTACGGAAGGCCAGCCAGCAGTTATTAGCCGTTGCTTCCAGCCCTGTCGAATGATAGAGACGGATGGGTGTGCAAAGCATATTTAATTTCCAGAGTAGCTTCAATGATATAAATATAAAGGGACTGAACAACTGCATGGCAGGTTGAGGATCTACTGTTCACCCGAACACAAACCTTAGCGCCGCCTACGTTTCGTAGAATTCCCACGAATGCAGCTGAATCGAAGGTGTCCTTCGTAGCCATCGGCGCACATTTCACAAACAATGCGTTAAAACATTATCGGCATCAATGCAAAAACTACACCGCTTCTTACTGGTCACGTGGGGGCCCTCTTGGGGGCCCCCACGCCGAGCCCGCCATGACTGAATTGCAAGGTCTCGACTGTGCATAGCGGGGAAACCCCATTCCGTGCACCTTTCCCTAATGCTGTCTTTGTAATGAGGCAGCATAATTGGGTTTTGAACTCTTCGTACAAAGGCTGGTCTTGAAGTCGTGGGTGTAGCGCCTGGCAACTTCAGTAGCGCCTGTATCGATTTGAAGAGGTTCCGCCCTACACTATCGCCCGCCAACACGAAACTCAATGGAGGAGTATCTACTTGCTTGAAAATACTGTTGTCGCAGGTTTGGAAGGCAGTCGGCAGCCAACTCCACCATCATATTACTTGTACTGTCCCCATTTCACTGCTTTCCCCTGGAGGAAATTTGAGTAGATGGCGCTCGTGTAAGCAGCATAGCCTTTGAATTGCTTATCGATCGATGATGATAGCTGGAACCACCCCGTACAACGAAAATGCAGATGAAAAGCGATGGGGCTCGCTACCGGCTGGAAAAAATAATTGCTGCTTGTAATGCGGTTCCCGGCTAATGAGGGCATGAATTTCTATTAGGAGTTGCCTGCGTTCTGTCGATATGGTATTTTTGGAGCCATGCAGCACCTTTTGCGACAGTTTCAACGGGCCGTCTTCCATAGGCGCCCCATGTCCTGCGAGGGCTGCCTGCATCCTTTCCCACAGTACCCAATACCGTGCAGCTGGTGGTGGTTCGCAGGTTCCCCTCCGATTTCAGAAGCTGTAGGGAGGGTTTCCTCCACAACCCAGTGTGTCCTTGGAAGCTGCCAACCTGCAGCGCTCTCAACCTGTGCAAGCTTAGCTTCTTCGGTATTTGTTAAAAGTGGTGGAAGATGTTCGATTACTGGCCTCTCAGCTGCTAAAGTGTCTGCTCTCCCCATATCCCCGGACTTGCAAGACGGGCTGCAGCGCTTGGGTATTCGGAGACTTGCGGAGGTCCAGCGAATATGTCTCCTGCGTGCATTGGGGGGGACAAGTCTCGTTGTTGCTGCAAATCCAGGGTCTGGGAAGACGCTGGCCTACCTCCTTCCTGTCCTGCAGCGCTTCGTGGCTGAAGACGGGCGGCAGACGTTGGATATCTCAGACGGGTCGCCCCCATCTCCTTTTGCTCTTATTCTAGTTCCTTCTCGTGAGCTAGCAAGGCAAGTGGCGAAAGTTGCAATGGCCTTGCTGCCTCACGCGCCCGTGCTGCTGTTAGACCCTGCATCTTCCTTACGGCACCATCAACAACTGCTGAGCCATTTGCCCGTCAAGATTGTCGTATCCACTCCTGATAGGGTCCGGTCACTAATGTGGAGAAGGCGTGTGCAAGCTGCTGGAAGGGCGGAACACGGTGAACCTCTCCATCTCAGCTTGAAAAACCTTCATGTCTTAGTAATCGATGAGGCAGACTGTATGTTGCGTCGGGACTACCACTCTAAGGTGCAGTTCATTTATCGGACTGCCATAGGCTGCAACTCTGGCGAGGAGAAAGCTGGAACTGGAGAAGGCCTCCGGGAATGTAGGAAGTCTCTCCAGCTTCTCTGCTTCAGCGCCGTATTGCCCCCAGACTTACTCGAAACCGTCGAGGTAGATTTTCCACACGCCGAAGTTCTAAACCTACTGAACGGTGCTAAGCATGGGGTACTTGGAGGGATTGATGGAAAGCGCCAAGCTCCAGCCGGGACGCTCCAAAACAAAAACGGTTCTCCAGGTTTGTGCAACTCGAAGGGTTGCATGCTTGTTCGGCGCGCCATCGTGCGTGTATGTCCTAATTATGATTGCGTATTCCTTGTGTCTCCCATGTGGACAGGCAGTGCAGTCGTAGGAGCTGGTGTAAGGCACCACATTTGCTACATACCCTCGTGGAGTGGCTCAAATGCTTCACAAGATACTATCTGCGACGGATCTAAGGCACTGGCAAAAAATGGTGGGCGACGGAGCGGCCAGATAGCGGAAGAAGTGCATATAGAGAAGGAGCGGAAGATGCTGGCCTTAGCCGAATCTTTAAGGGCATTCATTCCTCGTTGCATGCATGGCAGCCGCCGTTCCAACACATGCAATATGCACACCGGGAGCTTGGAGAATGAAGCGCGCCTCCCTGTAAATCGTGATGCGCCACACGAAAATGCATCTCAAAACACTCTAGAAAAGCATTCGGTCGGTACTGAAGGCGAAGAGCCGAACTCCGCAGCCAGTGTTCAGCCTCCAGCTGAAGGGAAATTTTCTAGGGAGGCAGAAAGCCATTCGGAAGAAGGGCCCCCACAGTGCATTGTCTTTGCCGACTCTCAAGAAGAGGTAAGGCCTCTCAGCTGGTTGACATGTTTCAGCGTTCTTTGCTTAGGTGAGTATCTGACATGCGCCTCTTGCTATCGAAGATCGGCATCTGTGATGCTTTGGGTAGGTGCGCTACATAAAGGCTCATCCGTTGCTAGACTCCTGGCGCATTGCTTCAGTTCATTCGCGCATGGACTCGCAGGATCGAGAGCGTTCAATACAAAGTTTTTTGGAAGGAGATGTAAGTCTTCTACGAGGCGGGGGGCCACTCGACCTTGTGTATGGAAGCTTCATTCCCACGTTGTCATGTGGTGGGACCTCAATCTCGAGTGCTTGTTGTTATTTTGTAGAGGATCCAGGGGAAGCAAAATGCGTGTCCATCGATATTGCGGCTTTTCAGGCATCCGTGCTTGTCAGCACCGATATAGCCGCTAGAGGATTCGACATCCCGTCTGTCATCCTTGTTGTCCATATGCACCCACCAAGTACTCCCGAAAACTACACGCACAGGTAGGAGACACAGGGAGCACCAGTCACAAGTGACACGGCTATATTCTTGCGTATTGAGGTGTTTCCCTAAGAGAGATTTTTTTCTGGTTTTCCTTGTGCTGCAGAGCAGGCCGCGCAGGGAGGGGCAGCACTCCAGGGGCATCAGTTGTGCTCTGTAGCAACCAGGAGTTGCATAAACTTCGGGATATCGCGCGTTTAGGGCATGTAAACTTTGAGCGTCGAGCACTTCCAGAAGCTGCCGACTGTCAGGAGCTCATGCTAAGGCAATTGACAGGTATGCCGGTAGCAGGGGCACGGTGCATTGGCTAGCGATACAAAGCTCATGCGATTTGTGCCTAATTTCTTATTTTGTGGCTTGGGTTTCTCCAGCGGATATGTTGAATGTCCCCTACTCACAGTATGCCCCGCTTTTAGACGTGGCGCAGCGCCTCCAGGAAAAGATGGGGGCTCAGGCGCTTGCGACGGTCTTGCTCAAACTGGGAGGGGCCGCTGCACATAGTACGCAGGGTTTGCCAAGCTCCGTGTCCCGATCAGTCCTCTCCGGAAGACAAGGTTTTGTGCCTCTTCTTCTGTACGACCCAACTCACGCGGTAAGCAGCGCAGGTCTAGAAATGCCCTAGTAATGGCCCTCCCTCCTCCATTGTTTTCATTTTGTGTGTGCACGCCATGAGCGAACGCAGCGCCTTCACGGTCTACTGGCTGCACGCCGACTTCTTCAAGGCATGTTGCCCGGAGGCGCAACTCCAGAGGTCAGCCAGAATAGCGCGTAGCACTCCACGTTTTCACTAACAAGCAGCGAAATTTTTTGCGCAGGAGCAAGATAACTCTCACTCATCCGTGCGCCAGCTCGTGACTTAATGCAGGCGGTGGGAAGGATTGTTAAGAGTGTCAATGGTTTCGTAGCCGACGTCTCCACGACTTACGCAGATCATATCTTGCAGAAAGGGAAGTGCAAAGAAATACATTCCAGCGAATCGTTGAGCAGAGAATGCTATACGTCCGCTAGTGACAATGGTTTTAAAGAATCGTGGGTTCCAATATTTCACTTGGATCAACTTCCTCGCCTTCTCAGTGGTGGGACTGCGAGGCGCAGACGCGGACGCCTGCCTTGGACGCGGATGAAGTAAGGGCATTTATTCACTGTTCATCAGGGGTGCGAAGTATAACTCTGCAGGCATTACATCGTTATCGCCAAATTCCTCACATGGTACGCTTGTTTGTGTGTGCTGGGCTGTTCGTTCACACGCTGTTCAGATTGTCTCTTGCACAGTCGAGGAAAGAGACGCGTCGGCAAGCTGTGCAGAAAGATCGAGTATTCAAGAGCGATTCTTTGCATATTCAAGCTCTCAAAAATATGAATCTTGGCAGCGCAAAGCGTCCCTGAGCGTTTGAGTATCCTTGGCGGCTCCACTGCTTCGTTGAATACGGGCAGCAAATGCAGAGCAAGCCAGTTTCAGTGGGCTTCGAGCTCCTATGCGATCAGTAGCCAAGGTGTAGGCATATGGGAATTAAGACTGGCGTAGAATCTTGTGAACAGATACATCCATGCCAATGTATGCAGTCACCGGGCGAGCGCAGATTGGTGCGGATTGCACGGATTTCAGCAACGTATGGGGGGGGATCAAGAACTCATTGCATCCCTGACAAAACACAAAACCATGTCTATGCCACCAGCAACCGGGCACTGCATATGATGAGTAGAGTGGTGGCATCTCAGGACGGGCGTCACGAGAAAACTTCCAGCTCGCAAATGAAATGGGCTCGAGGGCCATGATGGGTGTTGCAGCGTCTGTGGTAGTCGGCGCGTGAAAGGGAGACTCATCTTTTTGAAGAGCCATTTTACTATGTTTCCGGCGTTATTGCAACTCGCCACTGTGAAGATCATGAATGAAGTGCTCATGGCTGCTTTTCGGCCGTGTTCCAAACAGCTTCTAGTGGCATCACGTCATATGGCTTGTTGCATCCACCGCATTCGAAAACCTCTGTGAAGTGACGCCAAAATGCAGGCGTTCTCACTGACGCGCAGCCATACTGTGGAGCAGCTGCCCAATGTTATACTGCAAAGCGCTGGCAAGGAGATAAGCGCAATGATTATCTCCTGCACTAGTGTTTCTTTTGACCTTTCGATAACTCTCCCTCCAGCACCAATTAGTGGTATGGATTCCTGAGCTACACTGACACTTTCCCCGGGCCGTTGACTGTAACAATTCCGTGCGCAGATGGCTGCCTCTCTCCAAATTTGCTAGTCCCAGCGTGCTCGCTGTAGGTGGGTGAAGGTGGCGAGACGCTGCCTCCGGGTTCATTGCTTATCTAGGCTGATACTTACGCAGCAGTTGGCAGCTCTAGAACGCACTACGTGGGGACGTGTGGAGATTGCATTCACATGTAGCAGTTCCCTCCAGTACGCAATTTGCAGGCGCCGTCCTGAGAAAGAAGATCCCTGTTCCTCAAGTGCTTGCTACAACACAACATAAGAAGTCTTCTCTCTGCCGGCCATGCCATACTCGCATCGTGTAAGATATATTTTTACGGCTCAAATTGTATAGAAACCCTATTCCACATTGCTATAAAGGCATGCTAACTAAAATGACACTGCGTCATCTCCCTCCAAAGTGCAACCAACTACCTACCTCTACCTCCACCCACAATGCCACTGTGGCCATGAACGCATTGTGTTCATGGCCGAACTACTCTAACGACACAAGTCAGTCAGCAAGTGCAAACCTCCTGACTGAGGTGTGTTAAACAATCACGTTGAGAGCTGCCCGAGTATCGACTAGTGCATAAGCCGTTGCCTAGTACATACATACTCAGCCTTCAAGAACATTATAAAGTTGCTTTGGTAGGGGCTGTTGGCCACATCACCACACCCTAAAGTGCCTCTGGGAAGAAAAGAGGTGCATATTGTCCTGAAGAGCAGCGCCTTCCTGCCGAAAGGCTCTCAAAAACTACTGGGGATCCTTTTGGCCATATTCAGCGGCTGTATTGCCTCAACAATAAACGCCGCAACAAAACACGAGCGAAGATCAGAATGTCTGAATGAAATTTATGATATCGGACGTCTGTGCTAGATTTTTGAGAGCTGCTTGCAGGACGTGAAAATCCCCGTCGTTGTCCTGCGATGGAAGTATCAGTACTTACCCAACAAGGCTGTGAAGACCGGCAAATTACGTAAGCGTGACGGTACCTGCAGGTGGCCATAATGATTTTCAACCCCGCACCAGTCCCGCGCGCTGGCTCGGAGGTAGGTGGAGACGATAACGGGTGATGAACGTCTGGACAACCCGGCAGAGCTCGGCAGGCTGGTCCTCCTGCGGAAATGCGAGGCAAACAATACCATGCCAGAATTCGGCTCATGATCGCACAGCCTTGCCAACACACCTCTCTGTAAAGCAAAATGGTTGCACTTTATACCGTTGTTCCCGTTATACTGCTACACAGCTCTAGCAGGTACAGCTTCACGGGGCAAAACCCAAACATTCTCAAGGGGCTCACCTCAATAACATGGCCTGAGCCGCTGACAATCTGCACCTGAAACTTCCCCTGCGCAAAAAGGCGAACACACACTACAACCATATAACGTCTGCTTCCAACGCAAGTTTGGCAGAAGGCGCGATTGACAAAGTGCTTGTTGCAGGCAATGCAACCATTAGAGGGAATGCTGGGTTACCTGCATATGGGCTATCATCAACTCTTTGTCCAAGCGGTCGCTGCTAGAGCATATCAAAATTTTGACACAGCGGCTCGACAGAAACGCCTGCGACATCCCCCTAAACCATCCTGGAGAATCACACGAAAAATGGAGGCAGTTGTTACCGGATGAAACTCCAGTCACTAGATATTCGCAAAGGCGGCGAGCAAGGGGTTTAAACGCACCTTCCCAATATGGCTCAGTGGCCATCACGTCAACGCGCCATGTCCTACAGAGCCAAGTTACCACACTGACATGGCAGTTTTGCTTCCATCTGAAGCGTATACCACAAAGCCTTGCGCGTCAACCAAATACGGCAGAAAGTAGCAACAACGCATATCATCAGCACTCTCACCACACTTCTTCGTCAGGTGGTCCTTTCTCGGCGCCCTTATGGCTTGCGGGAAGTGCCCCCCGGGTGGTCTTCACCAGCTGGGAAGGAATCGAGATTGCAGCGCTGCTCTTGTTGCACAGCAGCCCAGCAAAAATGCTCCAATTCACGGCCTCTTTACAGCTCGTGAATAGGCTGGGGAATCGACTGACGAAAGCGGCCATCTGTGGCAAGGCTGCCAAAGCAGTCCCTGTAAAAACAGCATACCCCTGGATACTCAGCTAAAGTACACTGCACAAGCTTAAAAGTCGATGAAGAGCAGGAACTGTCCACACATAGCTGCACGCCTGCGTTGATTAAGGTTGCTGTGAAGATGCCAAAAAGTGTAGCAGCCGGAAGCTTGGCACTTTAACAGGGGCGTGATCTTCCGGGCAGCCTTACATACCTTCAACCACATCCAACACCATTAAACCATGAAGCTGCGGAACACGCCCTGATGCCGCCATCCTCGTGGCAATTGCTCCACCCATGCTGCATTAGCGAACCCTCGCAAACAAGACCGGCGCAAAAATGCATCGACGGTCCTCTAGGGTAGTCAACGAGCCTGCCAGAACACAGGGTTGCAGGGTGAGGCACGAACCTGTGGCCCACTAGAATTACAGATGGGAGTGAATCTGGGTCTCGCTGTGATCTGGAGTCTGCATCCGCTGCTCCATCCGTCCCGACGCTTTCCTTAGCTGGTTCGCCCTGTCGGGTACCGCCTGACGGCAGTTCTTCTTCCACCACACGGTTGAAAATGTACTGCACGATTGCAATACCGTCTTCCGTTAAGACTTCTGCTGACAAAGTCTTACTGTCGGCGCACGTGGTCGCACCGTGGCCTCTTGCATCATAAGCAAATACGCGCAGTGGCAATGAGCCCTCCCGTAATAGACGCTGAACGACAGTAGCCACAAGATCAATGGCGTAGTCCCCATCCAGCAAGAGGCGAGAGAGGTTTACATAAATGAGAAACAGCTCCCAGGCATTTATCTGCTCACCGTGAAGCATGCCCAGCTCAACGACGTATGGCCGGCTCCGTGAAGTAGGAAAAGAAGCGGCCCAGAGGATCCACTCGAATACACACGAAATGTCTACATACAAACATAAGACGTAACGCATCCCACATCAGACAATCGTTTGCACGGATGCAGCCAGAGCACGCCAGAATGAGATGAATACTGAGATGCACTAGCTCGAAGATGTGCGCCTCTCAAGTCTCCCGGTTGCTTGTGGATGAATAGCCTCGCGTGCGTGCCATCTAATTTCAAGCCGCCTCTCAGTACTCTTCATGCGGGCCAAAAAGCTTACTAAGGGGAAGGCTTACGTCACTGCTATCTGAAGGTCTAACATCCTCGCATTTCTCGAAGAATTCATCCCATGTGGGCAATGGTCCGCACGACCTGCGAACGAACCAACAAGGAAAAGTGTGCATACGAAAAGCCCAAACAAAGGCAGTCTCATAAGTTTCTCCAGACACTGGCGGTGAGAACCCACGCATTGCAGCTTGAGCGCCTGCTACTGCTGCCACTGTGTGGCGCCTGGAGATCTTGGTTTCGACCAGTGCGGTGTCGTGCAGATGAAGCTGGACGAGGCTGCCGCGAATTTTCCCTATGGCCGTCGGCTGCATCCCTCTCTGAATCCAGGTTAATGCGGCATGCAATTCCTTCCTCTCTGAGCCCTGCATCGGCTTGTTGTCGTTCCTCCTTCACTGTTCTCATGGAACAACCAGCTGATTTGCGGCGAGATTGATGTGGGCTGACTGATGGACTACCAACTCGGTCTGGATAGTTGCTGCTCCGGCCCCGAGTAATGGGGGGTAGTTCCTTGATATCTGGAGGCATTCGGGCAGGCTGCCTCGAGGAAATGGAGAACAACTCCGACGCGTCCATTGTCCGAACGCGGACAGCGCGCGGTTTTCTAGCGAGGTTCGCTTTGAAACAAATCCGAGCCAAAAAACTCCGCCGATGGTTTGTGAATCTACACCCAATCCGCAAAACAATTCAAAAGATTATCTGTGGCATGGCTGGCTGTGGAAAGCCTCATGTGCGTGACTGTTAGACAAGTAGGACTTGTCGGCCTGAGCGTGAATCGAATGCTTTACGATTCTCCCACGCTGAATATTCTGTGGAGATGCGTCCAGGAAGCAATGCGCAGACTCGCGTCTTAAATGCAGTGTGGGTGTGCACCGATCTCTAGCCACAGCGTTTTGATTAGAGCCTGTCCTCGATAGGGAAAGCCACTCTGTACGCAAAAATGCCCTGTGAGTCGGCTCCTTTAGCGCTTCTTTTGGAAAAAAACAGGACACTAGGGAAGCCACGAAGTGCGTGACATCCAGTTACAGGAGTCTGATGGCCGAATTGACAATACAAAATATCAGATCGTTAGCGAGTGAGTCCAGAAGAACTTAAAGAACTTTAGTGAAAGTTTCACTACAAATCAATGCCGAAGAAGAAGTGTGAACTCTACGCGGTTGTTAAGGCGCTGCACAGCAGCGGCACATGCAAGCACCGGCCGCCACGATCGGAACTGTAAAGGGCACCCACCTGATTACAGTTAACGTTTCTAGTACTCAATTGTATTTGCGGTTGTAAAGATTTTACGGATAAGTGCCACTGCTATGAGTAGCAGAAGCTTGGGAAACTGCACCGTTACATTGCTGAACTGACGCGCCTTCTCGTGCGACACCAACAGCCCTTGCCATACTGTGTGGTGATCTACCGGTGAAGGCGTAGAGCATGAAGTGAGTTATACATGCAGAGCATATGGGGCTGAAAATTGAAAATTAAGTGCCAGAAACGTGGGAGAATGAGACATTTTCCACAGCGTGGAGGCTTGCTTCACGCATTAGCCAAATGCAGGGAGTTTCGCAAAAACTATGCATTCTCCAACGTGTAGATTTCCTCTTACATTGGGCGGAACTCCGTTGCCAGCATTTCCAGGCCGTTTCCAGGCGTGAGAAAAAGCCGCTCTTAGCATAAAACCAGCAATGTAGGAATGAATATTGAGTGAGCTGCTGCAGCTCTCTGGTCACTGCGTTTGCCTTGCATACAGCTGCCAGCTGTAATGTTTCCCTATTCTTAAGTGAGTGGGCAGGCGAAACAGGTCACCACCCCTCCACTCCACCTCGTCCTTTAGTTGTTCCCCACTAGATCTGCTTCGCTATTTGCAAAGACAGATGTGTTTGCTGACTACAGCACGTTAAACCTCCACTGCAATTATAATGTTGAAAATATATTGTATCTTGGGGACTAAATCTGTAGTTCGATAAATATTTTGTCGCATCACGAAACGTGACACGCCTACGCAGCATCTCATGTGTTGTCATCTGGTGGGCAAGCTTTGGACTTTTTTGAAGCGCGACAGTCTCTTCCACGCTTCCACGTACAGCCCGCTTACTAGTCCCCAGGGAGGGCTTTGTTGTAACGCAAGAATGGACCTATGTTTTGCGTTTTGGGCTTGTGTATTGGACGGCTCAGCACCCGACAGGTAGACGTGGTAATGAGAGGGCTTACAACGCCTCAGGTAGAGGCAGTAGAGATGCTGATCTACCGCATCTAGCCAACGACCATGGACGCATCAAAAAAGCAGAGCCCGAGACGAAAGGAATTTAGACGTTGCTGTAAAAATGGTACTAAAGCATGTTGCTGTGGGCTTCCTACTCTGAGTAAAGCGGTTCTATAAACTTTTTTTCTGCAAACGTAGAGGAGTGGTTTCCTTATTCATGCATCAGTCGCCATTGTGAGCGCCACTCCCGCAAGAATCCAACGACGCTCCGAATCGTCGCCACTCATTCTGATCCAACAACAGCGTAAGGTGCCCATAGCCCCGCACAGCAACAGGCAATGCTCACCCAAGCAGCTGACTCTCATTCATGGCTAAAGGAAAGCACGCTTGACGGGCCTGCTGTGCCACTATATGCGAGGAGGCCTCCTACCAGTCAGACGACGCTGCTCACCTCAGATTTGCAGTGGTCACATATGTGGGCCCCCTTGCTGATGTGAGATAAACAGGGCAGCTGTACATTGCAGTGTTGTCGATTTCAGCAGTTGGTATGGCTTCCACTAAGAATACTGGCATCGGATACTGCAAGACTTTTGGCTGCGCTTGTGTCAGATTGCCTTCAACATCTCCCTTGCCCTCTTCCCAAGCTGCACCTTCTAAGAAAAGCCCATGGATGAGCACCCCAGTTTCCGGGGAAGACAGAGGCTGCTGCTGGCTTGCTCCTCCCTGCGCTCCTGCTACTGCAGCTCCATACCTTATGTTTGTCACTGTCCACCGCAAGCACATGCGGTCCAGAGCAAGAGATTCTGCTCGGGCACGCACCTAGTACCACAGGAGAAATGCACACGCCCAACAAACAGTATGTTACCGTTGGCAGACGACATTGGTCCTTGCAGGCGTGTTTCTATCAAGTTTCCTGAATGGTCGGGCTATTTTCATTTTGCATTTGTCACGTGTCTGCAACTTACTGGTGAGACCCACCTGCATGACAGCCGTTAGGAAGGACATCGGGTTAAAGAGACCGGAAATCCACAATGGGCAGGGAAGAGTAAAGTCTGTGCTCCACTCCTCCAATTGCTTCACTCGATGCAGCAAGTCGTTTACCCTAAGCTCGTAACCCCAAGTTTAGTGAGTGGATTTTCATGCAACCTCGTCTTCAACGCAGCAGTAAGCACAGGGAGCCTTAGGGAAGCGTAACTGTTGGACGTCTCCAATTTGACCGAACTCACCAAGGCCCTAGCTGCTTGCGCGATTCATAAGCGTAAGGCTTCCAAGCTTCAGGGACCCTGCTCATGTTAAGAGAAGCTTCCAGTTGCTCCATTGCGTCTGTCACGTTTAATGCACCCTGCCAACACACACGGTAAGGAATGTTCCTGCTCACTAGATACCTTGTAAGCTGTACACCCTCTTCCTTTTTATTGCTGTCAAAGCTTGTGATGATCAGCGCCAAGTGTGTGTGCTTGGCATTGCCAACATAAAGGGAACATGCCGCAGCATGGGTGCATCAGCGACCTCCAGGCCCTTCTTGAGTTGTTCCAGAGTTCGCCGTGCTTCGGCCAAAAGAACATTCATTCGCTCCACCTCCTGATTGAGCGCAGCACTTACCATTACAATCATGTGAGCCACCGGAAAATACATGAGAGCTGTTTGTAGAGTATTCCCTTTTTTCGTCAAACAGATGGTGCATAAATGTCAGAGATGTTCCCACGTTGCAGCTTTCTGAACTAACGGTAGCTCACTTGCAGACACACGACAGTTGCAGGATGAAATTCCCTAACTTTCGATCGGATGGCAGCTACATCAAATGGAATGGGCACTGTCCCCAGCAAAGAATCTACCATAGTCAACACAGTATCCTCCTTCCGACCTGTAGAACTTCCACTTCCAGCAACTCCAGAGACCTCCTGAGGGCAGATAACACGGGACTTTGGTTAGCATTTAGAGACAGATGTTGGCGTGAGAATGTCGAGTTCCGCGTTTCCTCCGTAGTAGGCAGGCCTTTATCCCAGTAACTACGGATGGAGCACCCTTGCTGCCAAACCGTTCTCTAGCCATACTTGTAGAGTAGTGAAGAGTTCGTCGCTTTGCGAGCTTAGGCAACCCAATTCAGCATTTGGATGCAGCCCAAAAACCTTCACAACAGCCACAAGTGCCCACAGTCATTACAAGTGATGCGCCCCCTTTTACAACAAGCAGCATATTATCTGCTTTGAGATGGATTGGTGGGGTGGCGGTGCAAAACCCAGCGGATATAGGACTCGCTTCTGCACAGGTGACAACTCATCGCGTTACGCAGATGCACCACACCTGAGGGTTCTCTGGCGGCGTCTTCTCCTCGACAAACTTTTGGTATGCAGCGAATTCAGTCTTGGCTGGGTCAGGCGTTCTGAAAGAAGGCCCGAGCTGAAAACTTTGGAGCACTTCAGGCAGAATCAAGTTTGCCAGGTAGGTGTTATTCAAACGCCGATCAAACCCATCCGTTATATGGCCTCCGTACATGATCTCTCCCAAAATGTACCGAATATCTTCGAAGGGAATTGTAGCGTACCTGAACAGCCACCAGCATGCACCAGGGATAGATGGTGCCTGATTTGCTCGGGGCAGTATATCTTGTGCCGGGCAATTAGAGCTGCGTCGTGATATGTGAACTCGCACTTATCCAAGTAGTTCTTTATGACGTTTCCGCATATTGTCAAATCGCCCTCGTTAAATGAGTAAGACCGGCTCCAACCCAGGAAACCAAACTTTTTGCGGCCAATAATAAGCGCGTGGAAGTAGCACAAGGAGAACAGAAGGGCCTTAAATTCCCGAGGGCGTGAACAGGAATCAACAACCTCCTGCAGCATCAGTCACATTTACTTGCTGTGGTATGCTTGGCCAGGTTGTGGAGGTCATGATCTTGGCATGCGCTTCGAAGAACGCAGCTGTGCTCCAGGTAAGACCGGCAGGTGCGATGCAGTCTTTTCTGCAATAGTCAGCCATGTTTTGCTCTCCAATAAAATCCCTAGCAGCGCTTTATTGCTTATTAGCCAATTGCCTATGTACTAACTTGAGAGAAGCAGTTGAGGGCTCTCCGGAGATTTGCTTTGAGATCTTGAGGAGCTTCGTCTGCTACCTTGATGCTCCGTTGTAGCAATGCCTCCGGAATTATTTGCATGTCTCGAAGAGGTGGGGGCTCAGAAGTCACGACGCACCTAAACTCGCGATGCGCAGTCGCGCTAACTTCTTCCAGAGTTCTCTGAAGGCGCTGAAGGTATTGCAGGTGAAAGGAAAATTCTGCCTTTTGAATGATCGACAGTGGCCACTGCGTATTGGCAAAATATAGTCGTGGCAACTTGAAAAAACAAAACAACTGTCGGTGCCCACATGCGACGTAACTTGGTTGTCAGGAATCGTCTACAACCAGATGCAACGACCTTATGTTTGCGCAGGAAATCAAATACTTGCTTGCCTTGAGCCACTCCTGCATGAGGTGCACGTTTTGCAGGACAACCCAACCACCCGACTGTGCTGCTTCCTGGACAGCGGCGAGCGCACGCTCTTCTTGGCCCTGGCCCATGGAGATATTAACAAATTTGCCATTGTCCTGATGAACACAGACCAGGGAAGAAAATCATCCCCCATGCAACAATTTTACGCCAGTCCTGCCGTACAGTATGGATTCGTTATCTCTACTTCACTGGCGCCTTGGAATGCGCCGAAATGCGGAGCACAGCATGATTAGACGCAGCTGCACTCCAACAGGCACAGTGAGTGGTAAACCGCATTTGGACGTTGCACGGTAGAGTTGTGCGCAATATATCCCCACATAGCGGAGGTTTAGCCCTCTAGTGAGCAACTGTGAACAACTAACAGCTGTGCATCCTTTGGATCTTGCGGTTATTTCTAGTACGGGTGTGGGGTCAACACCAGGAAACAGGACAATGAACAACGGAGTGAATTTGTCTGCCTCTTTTTCGATCTCTTGCAAGTCTGTGGTAGGAGGCTCCACAAAAAAGTGCCCCAGTTGCCCAGAGACAAACTGCTGCAGTGCAGAAATCATCCTATCTGGCCTAAGGTATCGCAAAAGAAGGAGCTTTTCAAATTCGCTGATTCCTTTGAATAGCCGTGGCAGATCAGCGTTTTCTGGAGTATCCTCAGCCATCCACCTGCGCAGCATACTCACACAGCATAGAGGTTACCCCTTACTGGCTGCAAATACGTGGTGAGCGAGCAGTGACGTTGACATTCAACGAACAGGCCTATGGAGGGAAACCATGAGCATCTGGGACCTGTTGCAGAGGAGCTGTAGTGGGTGAGACAGTGTTGAGCTGCTGCTTCCACACTGTCAGAGGTGACAAATCGACTCTTCCCTCCGTGTTGGCAGCTAGCGCGGCGTGCAACAAGCTAGGCGATGCTCACCTAGCCCATCCGAGAGAGTCTTGATCGAAGTTTTGTAACAAGGATATTTGGTTATTTTTGAATGACTTCAGTTGCTCCAAGGATCGACAGCAGGCCCACTGCGAACTGGAAAGCCATCCACGAGCAGCCTCTGGCATAGGAGGCGCCGTTGGGTCAGGGCGAACCTGAGACAGCAGACGAACCTCTTCCTCTGTGACCGAATTTTGCTCCTCCTGAAAAAGAAGCAAACGCACTTTGGGTTGTGCTATTGGCGGAGTTTTCTTCGGCGTACGCGGGTAAGGCATATCGTAAACCATCATTCAAGAAGACTAGAAGTGGAATGCTGCCCCGGGCCTGAGAGAATGGTTGCGCAAATTCAAGTGGGAGGCTTCAATGAGTATGCTAGCAACTTGCCATGATACGCAATGTAAGGAAAACAGCAACGGTTAGCTTGTGCTTGTCAAACAATCCCCTGTTGCACGATAAAAAGGTAAACTTCGTTATGACGTCCTTGAGCAGAGCTACACGCGACGCATCAGGGCTAACGTCCTTCTCGTCTTCTTCCTCAGCCTCTTCAGTTTTTCCATATTCGTCTGCAGCGCTTCGATCGGGAGATTCCAGCAGTTGATCTGCAGGCTGTACCTCTCCCTTGGGCCCTTCGGTTTCTTCGCCGTGTGCTTTGCCAGCGTCTGATGAGCTGGACTGACCATCCGACGGTGCATCTTGGCCTTCTGTCTCCCGAGTCGTAGTCTTTAAAATAAACTCAAACTCAAACAGATCCAGACTCCAGAATTCAAGACCATGAAAAAAGCAGCACTCTTTGTTCAACGGGGTGCTGTTCCCGCAAGGATACGTGGGACTGTTATCTCTGCACGCAGCTATGGATAAAATCTATGGCATACTTTTTCGTGATTCTCTTCTGTTGAATCATCTGTAGCAGCAGGGTCAGCACGGTCACAGGTTTGTTCTGCCGCAGGGTGGTTGGCACTCAGTTTGCTGTCGTCTGGTCCTGCTTCTGCGAGTACCGCTCCGTCCTTTGCGTCGGACTCGTCTTCGTCCTCCCCTCCCGTCTGGGGTTTCTGAAGATAGCACGAGTGCGCAACGATTATCTGTGATTCTAGTTATGTTACAGCCCGTAATGTGTCCTTCCACCAGTACTGTAAGCGATTCTTGGCGAGTACTTGCTGGCCAAGCAATTCTCGACCGAAGTTGCTCCGCACCTCTGAAATGGAGTCGATTGCCCTGTTTATCACTGCCACGAACGACTCCATAGAAAACAAGTAAAAACTGTGGATTTTGAAAAGCTGAGCTAACAAAAAGAATAGCCTGGCTCCTCGGCGCGCTACAGGCCTATACATTTCGGAAATCGCATTCAGTTTCTCTTCAGTTATTTTTGCGAGGGCAACCTTCTCAGAAACTTCTGTGGTGACTCGCTTCGTTTTCTCTAGGTTTTGAATTAGCTCAATGTTTTCCAAAACGTCCCCCTAAAGCACAGTAATGGACGTACACACGTTCGGCTCCCTAGATTTTCATATGTTTCCTGCACTGCTCTACCCACCGAAAGAATAATTCGCAGGAAGTAAGGGCCGGTGAGAATACGATACAAATGTAGTTATTGACACCTAGCGTACTTGCTACGCCATGAGAGCTCTAAGGAAGCACGCAAATGTCAACGAAGAGGTACTGTCCTTCCCACACCCCATTACCTATGCTGCTAAGATAATCAGGGTAAAATTGCATTGGCTGGGCAGATGTAAAGCTGCGGTAGGAACGGCCTCTTACTTCGGCAGATGATATATCCCTCAAAAGAGTATTTTCGAGCTCCGCGAGGAGAATAGTAAATTCATTTTGCTGCTGCACAAGGTGAATCCTCCTTTGGAAGAGCCTCGGCTGTTCCTTCTGCATCGTCAAGTCCAGAAGCTGGTCTTCCAGACCCTTCATGAGCAAACGCATGTGCAGCAGTCATATATATTGAGCAGAGCTTTCACTCCTTCTCCTTCCGTCGGAGCTGCAGTACCTCAGAGACCTGGTGCTCCGCAGTCTTCTGCAACTGGAGAGGGATTGGCAAACACCTTACTTTCTCAGTAACTGTAAAATTTATAAGCGTGCATTCAGCCTGAAGTTCAGGAGGATAGTGTGGATTAGACAGCCGTGTCTGCAGAATGAGCCTGAAATTGGCATTGTAAGAAACTTCCTTGTCCCCCAGTTTGAGATATTGAGACCGGCCTCTCCGGATGGTTTGGCGTCCTACAACAGGAGCCAGAACGGGGTCGACGGATGTCTCCAAGTTTTCAATCAGCACGCTGGTGCCTTGCTGAATTGCCATTTCTATCAAAGCTACCATTCGAGGAGTACTAAGGCGCAGCACCTGCAGTTGCACTTCATACACTGACAAAGTTGCTTTGGACACCTCCTTCACAGCGTTCATAATCTGCCTGCAACTTCACTGGGATACGTCTCCTCAGAAACAGCCTTCTCTGCTCATGTGGTAAAGGACACCCTCGCTGGTGCCTCCCTAATGTTGCATGCTTTGCAGGGCAGCTTGCTATTTTTGACACGCCTGCACCTTTTTCTACAACTGAAGGGGAACTCTGCCATGACTACAATGAAAAGATAGAGGGGAAAAACTACGTGCCTGGAGGCGGTTTCCCCTTTCTTTTTCTACTATCCATTTTCTCCCTTGCAGTTGAGGATCTATCATTAGGGGCCACCGCTCCGTCGAAGAGGCAATTGCGCCATTTTCTATGGACGTTGCATCAGATGGTAGCCCTTGGTTGTTCCAGCTGAGCGACAGTGCCACCCATTCGCTTCTGCCAGTTGGGATGTGCGCTAACCTCCCGGGTATTGCAATTGCTGGGGGGAGACTAGCAAACTTTTGTGCCTCCTTGGGAATTACCAAGGATCGTGCCTTATCTCGATAATTGGGCTTTGCAATTGAATGTGAGTAGCCACAAAACATTTGCGGCGGGGCACTCACAGAGCCATTTCAGCTTCATCTGTAAGCTGGGCAAGCACATCTGCCGGCTGGCGCAAGGGCACTCCACGATCGAATAAGAACGGCACCGCTTTTTCGTACATCAGCCAATCACGGTACTTCTTGCTAAAGACTCCAGCATATGCTACGAATGACGACGATAACAGCACATCGCCCACGGAAACCCGTCGCTGCGCACAATCATTCACAGCCAAAAAGGCGATTTCCAAGTTTCCATAGCCTCTAAATGTTTTTCCCTAAGGGTCATAGCCTCTAAATGTTTTTCCCTAAGGGTCATAGCCTCCATACACAATGTATGAATTCTCTCTTTCACAGAACCTGCAAGAAGCACATAGCGGTCGGGTACACTGTAACCTGATGCGAAAGCCGAGCTCGATGGCAAAAGTGACCCGTGGACTGACTTGTTCTTTTAGGTCGTCAATCGTCTGTCCCCAGCGAGCGCCTTCTGATCCCAAAGACCGCATCAGCCTCTGTGCGAGGTCCAATTTCCTCTGGCACTTCTCAGCCTCGGCTTCCACCGCATTTTTCTCGGCAATGGCAGAGTCGAATTCGGCAACAAGTTGACCTAGCTGAAGTAAAACAAGCCCATTCTTGGCCCCTCTCAGTTTCAAAAATCGTGCACTGCACACTGTTTGACGAGTTCTTCAAACGCAGTCTCTATGGTACTTTTCATTATAAATCCGAAAGCAACTGATTTCTGAGCGGTCACCCAGTGAGAGCCAAGCAAACGAGAGGCAGTGGATCATTACCTTTTCTTCAAGCTCCGCAACTAGTTTCTGCACCTCGACGAGCTTCTTGTTTGCGTCCTCGAGCTGTTGAGTGGCTTCGGCCAACGCTCGCCGTTTGGGCTCGACAGATACAACCACAGTATAGTATTGGTAAATGTTGACTACCCACTCTGCAAGGCCTGCCGCAGCTGTACTCTTCTTCTGAATAGCCTCGCGATTAAAATGTGGAAGAGCAAGCAACGGCTCCACGGCTTTGAAGTTCTGTTCGGGAACGCGCCCATCGTCAATGACACTCTTAAACTCCTTGAGCGTCTGCAAGAACTTTTCTGGATTGTTCATCATCTTCTGTGCACCCTTCCAGCTCTTGTCCTTCAGCTTCCCCTGCTTGTCTACCTGCATTCAGACTATCTCCGCACCTACACCCTTTTTCGGAGTCTAGAGGCAAGCTATGTGCACCTGCTGTTCAGCACGATAAATTTTTGAAAATTGTAAACGGAAGCATAGCTGTCGCCACAAATGATGCCGAAACGGTGCCATTTTCACTCAAGTGCTTGGAAATAAAACTTGGCAGCTCTTTTCTTATCGCCAAAGACGCATGTGGCAACTGGGTTTTCATTGGCCATACCTCAATGATTGGATCAACGGTTGCAAGCAAGTGCATGACGGCAGCGGTAATATCTTCAACGCCTGGCGGAGGCTTGTTGAGAGCTTTTGCCTCCTGAAAGTCCTTCTTGTTGAGTGTATTCAGCGCGGCTTCTGCCTGCTCCACGAGGGGGATGGCTTTTTCCAAATCAGCCTCGCAAGATGCCTAAAGAGCCATTTTAAACCTATATAATCCTGTCTTTGCAGTTCACGCTACACAAACGTTTCCATGTTCTCATTCAATGCTTGCAGTGGGCTTCCAAAACAGTCATTCAAGAGCAACCTCATCATGTGAGGAGCAGTCAAACACTGAAAAGCAAGCAGAGCCCTGATGTCGTTATCGAAGTCAGCGCCTCAGCTAAAGTATTGACTGCACGTAAGGCTACTTGCTACTTGCCTTGTACGAATGGCTGGCTCACCCGCTGTTCAGAAACGGACTTCTGTATTTCTGCGCACTTGAGGGCCTCAACATTGGCGTTTTCAGACTCAGCAGTGACCTTCGCCTTCTCTTCTCCCACCTTCTGCGCGAATTCCTCAGCGGCTGCCTTCTTCTCTTCAACTGCAACAGTTTTCTCCCTTAGGTCGTCCTCTAGTGCCGATACCTTTTCCTGAGTATCTAGAAGCTTCGAAAGGCCACTGCTCAATCGTTCGCTGTGCTCTTCTATAGAAGATATGCGTTTCAGTAGCATGGTTCGATAGAGCTTCATGGCCTCAATGAACGTCTTTGGTGTCACGTAAGCAAATCTGCGACCAATTGTAAGCACGCTCGTGTCTCTGCCGACTTGTCAAATTATTGCACCTTAGCTGATCCTTTTCAGACAGTGGCTTCCTGTAGTGGAACCACTGAGACTGAGCTGGCACTGTTTGTGATTACCTGCGTTCTAGTTCTAGGTATGTTTGTGCCGCATCGCTGACGGCATAAAACATGTAAGGCAGAAAATCCACAACTGAAGCACGAATGGAATCTGCATCCCCTGTCGGCAAGTCCGCGCAAAATTTGCTTGCCACCGAGTGTAACGCCTCATAAGGCCACGGCTGGAACCAATCTATAACAGTTGAGTTGACGAGGGCGGGGAACTTGCGAGCCCGAGTTCTGAGCCAAGAAGAAAAGCATTCGCATGGGTGTAGCCTTCGCGACCAATACACCCTTGCTCTGATGACCACTGCCGGAAGGTAATGGGGCGCTCGGTGAGCGCAGGTTTGAAAGTTGAATGTTGCCAGTTGCTTTGAACCAGGTGATTTCCCATCCTCACCTCAGGCCATCACCGACTGGAGACAAGCACAAAACAGCATGCAGGTTTCGCCTAATTTTGTCAATGAAGAAGGCCCAGCAACCTTCTCGCGAATCCGAAACTCCAGCAGCCTTCGCTAGTGGCCGAATGGAGTTCATCAGTTGCTCTTTGTCGTCTCCTTCGTATAAATCAGCAATATCCCCGGACGCTAGTAAGTCATTCACATAAACCAGAAATCTTTCATTTGCAATTTGTGCATCACTTAGCAAAAACACCACTCCCTCATCTTTTAGAGCTGCCCTGGAGTACATGCTCTGAGAAAAACAGGAAGCTCCAAACCACAACTACTTCCAATCTATATTCTAGACGGCCAGACGCATTAACATTCTTGGAAAACGCTACCATCACCAATATTGCCTACTAAGCAAAGGCATGAACAATGCATTGGGATGCTGACGATGCGCCGTTTACTTCGACATGCACGTCCATAGAAAACTTTAAAAAGTGCAAGAAAGTAATGCTCTGTCTGAGAGCTTGCTCGCCAGCGAGGGGTCATCGGGTCGCCCTACTCTAATATCATTTTTGAGATCCCGGATATCATATGTGGACGATATGCACAACTGATGAGTAGCAAAGCCACTAATGAATGACGATAGCCTGGTCAATGACTGTTTCCCCGATCCTCCGACTCCAACAACCAGAGCATGGCCAGCTCGATTGTTGATGACCCTACAGATTTTGCAGACATGCAGCATAGCGTCGTCGAACAACACCAGGTCCATTGCAGGGTTCAACTCATTGTAGTCATTCAGAGCTCCTCGAAGAATCGTTGCAAGTTCGTCCATTGAACCAACCCGGTCGTAGGCTGGGGCGCAAAACATAAAACCGATTAGTGTTCAAAATTCTCTAGCGCATCCAGCGCAACAATAGAGTGCTTATTTCTGTTTAAGGGTATGGGTCAATGCTTGGAGTCTCTAGTCAATGCTGCATGCGTTTGACCTCCCATCCCGTCTTTCCCAAAGCGAGCAAAAATGATCGCCTCCGGATTCTTCGCTTGTATGACCTTCCCGATGTTGAACTTCCCAAAGTTTCTTTTTGCACACTCAGCTGCAATTGCTCTGTATTTTTTCCCGTCTTCTGGAGTGACAAGGCGGTCACAAAACGTTCTCTCACACTCATGGAGCCAAAGAAGTACCAGCTTTTCTGGATCCTGCAAAGGCCGCCAATTCCACATATGCGCTGACAACACACTTCTGCGCAATGCTGTGAAAAAAAACCTCCCTCACTGTAAACTTGGGACTGTAATGAGTGTGCCCAGTTGTAAAAGCACGACCGGTGAGTCAAAGTGAGGCGTTTTGCTCTACAGCCAAGGAAACCCATCACCTGCATGTTTTGAGGAGGCATGGACAAAATTCCTTGAAAGACATTCGTCAGGTGCCGCATGTTGAACTCGTAGTGGAAGTTGACGGCGGTTTTCCGAAATGCTTGCACCACCTGAGCGTCAGTTGCTGAAGCAATAACCCTAGTTGCTGGGCAACAGGCCATGATGTGTACAAATTGGAAGCAAGTGGCCCACCACTCTCTAAATGCAGATACAAACGGTAAAAATCTCACCTCCGTATATATCCCCATGGTGGCTTTGATCACTGGCATTACTTGCTCCTTAACAGCCTTCCGGAAGTTTCCCACTTCGAAAAAGCCGTTCATGATCGAAGCGTAGATTGTGAAGAGGGACGTCAATTCAGGCATTGGTACGTTTAGTACCCAGAAGTGGCGGCTCAGGCGGGGGTTCACCACAAATGATCCTGCTGTAGGATTCATAGCGGCCAGGACTTGCGTGTTACTGATATCTTTCATTTGCATCTTGCTCCTGTCGAGCCAATGCTGATAGTCCATATGTTGCCTCAGCAGTGCTATAGCGCTTTGGGTGTTATAGGGGTCAAGCTGAGGCATGTTCAAGTCGTCGAGAAAGTAGACCAGGTGTACCCTGGGAAGCATGCAAGCATTCATTAAATGTCGGAAATACAATTAGTCTCGTGGAATGAACAGTCTCAACAGTATCTGAACGTCGAGTCCAATCAAAGCAAAACTTCAAAACTTACTTTCCCGGGGGGCCATATTGCCTGCCGGCCTTTTTTTCAAGGGGCTGCTCGAGAAGTGTTTGCAAGAGCGTGGAATCTGTGTAAAAGTTAAAGTTGATGGAAAAGGAAGAAAAGGTCTCGGAATCCAGAGCCGCCAGAGCTGTTTTACACAACTGGGTTTTGCCGCACCCCGCAGAACCAATGCACATAACCGGGGCATGAATCTTCAAGATAGTCTTGCAGAAGTGGAGCATTGAGACTGTTTCGGCCGTTGGAACTGATATGCTGTCAATGGCTTCCGTTCCTGTGAACTGCAAAGTGGGGACCTGTGATTCCCAGCTCTCAAATTTTGCCTGAATAAAACATCATTCTCTTGACTGCCCAGACCCTCTATGGCCTGCTCTAGTGATTATGATAATTTTGTATAGGATGCTACCAGCCAATTACCATAGCGGCGGAAACGGTTTGCACTGTGGTGAGCTCAAAGCTGTGGCCTTCTACTGCTAGCAATGAATGCGCAGCTTGAGCACTGTGATTGGCAACTCACGGTGTCAACGAAGTATTCAAAGATTGATCCCTTGCTCGGGAATTTGATGACCTTCCACTCTGATCTCCACCAGTTATTGAATTGCCTTCTATAATCGATTCCATCCTTCTCCTGTAGGCTACCGCCTGCAGCCCAGACAAGGCAAAAGACGAAAGCGAACTCAGGCGCCTGTGGCTCTTCTGGATAAAGCCCTTCAAGCTGAGAGCAGTCACAACCACATTTGTGCGCATACCAAGATGTTTCTTTGAAGCCCCCCGGCTAGTTTTCGGCTGCCTTCCGCAATTAACACTACCTGTCTCGTGGCATTGTAGGCCCCAGCTCCCAAACGCTCACCATGTTGCAGAGGGCAGCTATAATCTGCAGACTGTAAACTTGTACGCTAAGTTTGCATTGCCTTTCAACAAATTCAAGCGTAGCAGGGCAGTATTTATCAAATAGTTTAGCAACGTCTGCCTTGGTTGCCTCCGACCATCCTTGACGCTGCAACCAGCTCTGCACATAGCTCCTCCATTGCTCCCCTACACAGACAAACCAATTTTTATTCATAATGCGTACTGCATGTGCATATTCAAGCCTTCGGAGGTTGATAAGCTTGAGTCGGCCCCCAAGGTACAGTTACTAATGCTTAAGAGTAGCTCAGATGCACCTGACGAGTCACTGACGAAAATGATCCCTGCTCTGGAAACAGTAGCTGGCGAGGCGAAATTCAGATCTCGTATTTCAAAGATCATCCGCATATGAGGCTTCAGCGGAATACGTTCATTAGAAGCCAGAGTGAGGATTCGATTGTCGTCCATCACAGAGTTCATGGACTCGATCCAGTTGGCATCCAAATCGCCGTCCAACACTATCCACTTCGGCAGCGTATCAGGAATTTGCCCTAGTGAACGCATTGTTTTTGATAATATGCCGTCTTGCCACTCCCGAGTTGACATTTTTACATACCTGAAAGGGTGGGGGCAGCGCCTTCCTCCCAGCTTCATGCATATTCCCGGATATCAATCATGCTTGCATATTACCTGCAGCTTCAGTGCTTAATCTGGGCACTTATCAAGTTCCGCTCCTTTAAATGTGCAAAACGCAAGTTGGGCTCATGTGGTTCGAGCACAAACCCACACAGGATTCGTGCCCTACGTTATGGAAACTTTCGGCTGCATCAGGGGAAGGACATGTTGGCAGTTCTGCTTACCCATAAAGCTCATCTGTGTTCACAGACTTGGGATTGATGTCCACAATAGTTGTTTTGCTTCCAAGAGCATCTTGAGTCTTTGCGAGCACTTTCCAAACTGTGCTCTTCCCGGACGCTGGCCGCCCCATGACGAAGACACACATGCGAATGGCTAGAAGGTCTCTCATTTGCAGGGCTTTCAGCGCCAGGCCGTCGTTGACGGTCAACCCCATCTCGTTGCAGACTTTTACAACAGCCTCCGAGAAAACTGCGTCAGTCTGTGGAGGTGGCTCAACTCCAGGGAATAAGTCGCTCAAAAGTCCTGAAAGCGCCGCCATTGCAGGAACGATCCTGGTATTGCAGTGTGCATCACTGGCATAGCAGTGCATCCCCCTACTACCCTTGCTGGTGGAACCTAAATAAGTAGAATTTTCAAAGGATGAAAAGGTTCCTCGCTGTACCCTGGAAAATTTTTGCGTCATCCGCTACAATTTTGGCCAGGTTGGAATCTCTCAGTGCCTTCATGAGGATTGCCTGCTCAGATAGTTCAGGCATTTGTCTCTTGAAAGTCCCGGCTACAACCAATACGGATTTGATCGCTCGCAACCCCCAGTCATAGTGTGCTGCTCTTGATAGCAAGTCTTTACACAGGGCATACAGCCGAGTGAATTTTCTGGCTAGCTCCTTTGCCTCTACGAAGCCCTCAGCCATGAGCATGTTTTCGCAAATCAGCTCCAAATCGGGGACGACCACTGTGATTGGCCTGAACAAGGCTTTCAGCCCTTCAGGAAGTTCAGACCGACCCAAGTACCCGGGATTCATCTGGCGCATGGACGTTCCACAGAACAAGTACCCCGTGCTTTCTTTGTAAGGAGCAAACTGCAGAAGGCTGCTGTTGTACTAACAGGGTTTCTGAAGCCGGGTTTCTGAAGACTAGACTGCCTACTTACGGTGATAAACACTCCGCAGGTGCGGTCTAAAACCGTTTCATCTCCCTGGATAAAAAATTTTTCTGCATTTGCCTTGACAGCATCAACCACCGACTTAAACTGAACTGAGCACACGCTAAGGACTGCCGGCACGAGACGGTTGAATTCGTCAAAGCAACCCCAGGAACCAGAAGCAGCAAGCCCCTGAAGCCCGCATGCAGAACAAATGAGGCTTTCGGAATGGTGAAATTCGGATCTTTCATTAGCGCCAGCTGGCCCAATCTAACGAAAAAAGCAAATCCCTACCATCACTGTCCAGCCTTTGGTAAGCGTCACTGTTCCTTGCCACTTGCACGAACTCACCTTAAAAATATTTGCCATGGATTGGTAGTCCATTTGGTCCGAGCAGTTGAAAACATAGCACGCCTTGCCAAGAGCTGAAGCAAGGTCTTTCGTTGTCTCCGTTTTACCTGTCCCTGCTGGACCTGCTGGTGCGCATCCCATGGAGAGATGGAGCGCCTGGGTTGCAGTCACGTAAATTCTATCAGTCAAAGGAGTGACTACAAGACGAGGCCCGTTACCGAGGTACTCATACCCGTAGGCAAATGCTGCATCTGTAATCCGAATGGAAACCTCTTCCTGCGCGAGCGCTCAACTGAACGAACGAAGGAGACGACTTGCCTTTATTTGATTGGTACCACTGTGCATAGTGGAAGCTCTGTAAAATGATTAAAAGTTGGGGGAAAAGTGCATCACTGCTCAGAACAGCAGAAGCAGATAACCTGCACTAACCGTTTCTGCATCCCAGAAGTACTTAAGCTGGGACTGCCACTGGAAGCAGTCAACGGAGTTGGCGCGTTCATCCAGAAGACGCTGGATGATGTCTCGTCCGTGCGTGTCAATTGTGATTATGCACATTATCTTTTGTCTGAGTGCTGGAGTTAGAGAGCCTTGGACAAGCTTAATTGTTGATTTGAGCTCTTCTACATGCTTCTCCATGCACTCTTCCATTGCCGTAGGAGTCTAAATGAAAATACACAGTACAGCCAATGTCACCGTGCATGCGTGTGCGTGTGGAAGAAAATTAGTTGCACAATCTGCGTTCCGCTTTTGGGGATGTTTGACCTACCCCTTGCATTTTCGAAAATGCTTCTTCAACCTGCACAACCCACGAAGCCATGTTGACCAAAAGCGTAGCCTGAGCAGCTGGGTCAGCCTTTATCCAGTCGTCCTTTGATTCTGCTGTCCATCGACCAGTGAATGACATCTTGATGTAATGCCGGACTGTTTTTCGCATCACTGTTATGCAATCTTGGAGGTAGGACTCGACCTGCAATGCACGCCTTCAGCTCTATCGCTTCGATTATGAAGGGGCGGAAGCCGTTAAAATGAACTGGGCGAGTTTAACTTTAGATTTGAAGCGCAACTGACTTTTCCGACAAAGGCCATTTCTTCAGGAAGTACTAGTTGCTCGGTGCCGACACATGAGGTGATTCCCGTAGCAACAGGTCTACTTTGGTCTTTGTCAGTTGGCAAGGCAGCCCTCCAATCGAACTGTTGTATAGCTTGGAAGATTTTCGGCATGTGCACCATGACCGCTGGAGGGTCATTACCGTGAGAAAGAATGTCCAGCAGGTCAACGGATGATACAAAAAAGAATCGCGGGAAAGTTTTGCGCTTGGAATCCATAAATTCATTGAGTGCTTTTTCGCACAAAGAAAGCTGTTTCTGGAGCTCATCAATCTGAGTTGCTATGTCAGGCAGGACGCAAAAGTCCTTGATTTTTAAATGGGTTTCTCCTTTCCTTAAAACCTCCTTCATGTTCTCGTCGATAGTCACAAAACGTTCGGCTTCGTGTGGGAGCTCCCGTTTCACTTCTTCTGAACAGAGAAAGAGATTTTCTAGAAAGGTCCAAGACCGTTGAACGTCTCGCATCATCTGCGTAACATCCCCTATTGTGGCGAGAAGCTTCTGCCACTTTGTCACTTCAGTCTCAAACGTTGCGAAAAACCTGAGCTCCACACATTCATATGGCGTGCCGCAATCGCCGGATATACCATGAATGAGCGTCAGTTGCACTTTCCTTCAGCTGCAGTTGCCTTTGAGACCGCACATGTGGGAAGTCTACCAACGCATTGAGTCCAAAGATTTTTGCATAGACTAAAGCCCTCCGACATACTTGGAAACCATCATGTTTTGAACCAGCATCTGTTGTTCTTCTAGTAGCTCGCTGCTTTCCTCCGACAGCGATAACAAATTAACCTCAGGCTGCCTCGCGGGGGTCAGCACGAACAGGGCAGCGTCCCACGTTGTTGTAAGGAGAACCAGATTTTTTTCGATTGCTTCTTCTTGCTTTGCCTGTAACGCGCATGGATATATTGCGGTGCTGGTGATGAGCCCGTAGAGTACTCGTACTTGGCACCACCGTGGCTCTACAGGCCAACTAGCAGAATTGGCTCCAAGCTCTGCGGTGGCAAAGGTTGAAGCCCCCCTCACGTAGTTGTAGTAGAAATCACGCGGTATTTGGTCGCCCTACCTTGTCAGTAATCTCTTCAACAGCTCCTTGAAGCGCCAACAGATTAAGATCCTCGATTTGATGGAGCTTGGTTTGATCAGATATTTCAAGGGACTTTTGGGCAAGGCTGAGTAGCTCATTCCAGTGACGCTCCCGCATGTAGGGCCCACGGAGCTCTGTAATTAGTGGTGCAATTTGCACCCATGTTCTCAGCATGGCCAGCAATCCTTGATATGCGTCGCTCTTCTTGTCCATCTGCACAGAGGGTCACCCGCTATGCATCAAGGTCCATTGGTAGTCCTTTGTCAAAGTGCTGTGTGGCTGCCCGTTCCCTGACATGCATTGGAACTTGAATGGCTACGTATTAGGGATTCTCTGCAGATAGCTCGGCCTGACCTTTATATCTCTTTGCAAGCGTTTCTGCATCGCTTTTACAGCGATTTCAATTTGCACACCATCGACGTCATGCCACAGAAGATCCCGGAATTCTTCCACCTGGTGCAGCATCGACTCTGCAACATCCCAGAATTGCGTCACGTTCCGCAGCTCGTCTTCCATTGTAACAAGAATCTGGCGCGATGTACTTAGAAGCCCCGGAAAGTCAAAAGAGGCCGCTGGTACTTGTAATGCCTGAAGCACTTTCACATGGCTGAAGTTTTGGAAAAGCTAGTCAAGGATTCAGCAATAGAGCGCGTGTTCGTGGTGCAAAGACATAGTTTCAATCTGGGCCTCAATACTGTAGCTTTTGAGCCAACATGACCCACTTTTCTTCTTAATGGAACTCGTCCTTACCTCCATGGTGCGGAGCAATTCGCTGGTACGCTCTGAGGTCTCCTTTATTCTTGCCCTTGCTTCCGTTGGAGAAGTGCTGAAGGAGTAGAAGCACTCTGCCACCAGCGCCTGTTGGAGGGTATTAACTGCAGTGTCTAGCTCTTCTATTGCCCTTCGTGTCCTCGTTGCCTCTGCCTCGAACGCATCGGCCATTTCGTGACAGCGTTTCTCTGCAGAGGCCCTGTGTACATTCACAGAGAAATGTTGTGTATGATTGCGCACTAGCAACTAGGTTACTACTATATTTGCCTATAACAGAATGTGGATAGCTATACTAATACGCTGAAATGAACTTCGTAAGATACCGCTTGATGGATCTTTGACGCACTCGAGCGCTGCTCGCTTTTCTCCTATTTTTTTAAGTGCCCTATTGCTCGAATCGACGTTGGCTCCTAACTCCTGCAGCTTCTGCAAGGCAACCTGCAAGACTTCTATGTGCAGTTCGTGTTCAGTCCTCAGCGTCTCTACATTCTTGATGTGCTGTCGGACGTCTAGCAGGCTGCGACGGTCGTCATGCTTTACTTTCGCCTGAATGATTTCACGCTCACTCTGCAGGTGTAGAATAATTTGATCTTTTGTATGGCAGTCCTTCATTTCATGCCATCTGGGGATGCTCAAAGAGTGCACTGCGCGTTTTTTTACGACGTTCAAGATATTTTGAACCGCGTCGCACAACTTGCCTGCAGTCCCGCTTCTGTACGAAGGCAGAATTTCTCCAGCATATTCATTGTGTTTGCAATAAAGGTAGTAACTGTAGGTCCAGCAAAGTCATTTGCTCTTGGTCGTGGCTTTTCAACGAATGTGGCAGTGAAAGGCGAACCCCGGATTTCTTGAGGAGAAGTGCCGTCTTGCGCATCCAGTAGAACTGACACAGAGATTCTCGCTGGACGAGGAGCCGTGTATGTAGCCAAATACGTGCCATTCCCGTAGTCTTTCATGGATACTGGCAGGTACACGGGCGGCTCCACAGGTTTGGCCTCAACCTCCTCCACTTCGTCCCCCTCCCGTGGCGACTGTGACTGCTGGAACCGCATCAAATCAAACTTTACAGACTCAAAAGTTCCATTATTCGCTTCAGCCAAGCTCCGTTCTGTACGCACTGGGCATTTATTGCTGAAGTTAGAGTAGTGAGCAAGTGAGTACGCGATGCGGTGCGGCTTTCCTCGGGGAGTATAAAGGCCTTCACCAAAAACGTATCCCCTCCCGTTGTTCTCTTTCCATTTTGCGCGTTCCTTGCCTCAATAAAAAATGAAGTAGGCACGCCAGGTGCTCCATCCGAAAGCAAGCCAGGCCCCACAGCCAGACAGCATGACGCGCAAGAGTTCGCATAGAACTGAAATGAACAGAGAGAAGAAGTCAGGTCTTTGGCTCCAATTTTGACGCGAACGTCGCATGTCCTTGGGCCTGCACGCATATGACGAAATATGCTCAGTTCGGCTGAGTGTGAGCCTTGTCCAGCTCTATCGCGGGTCTGCTCTTCCGGCACCCTGAGGTAATCTACCTACTAGCGCATAAACAAAAGTGCTATTAACTCTGAACTATTTAGCCAAAACGTTTTTATTAGGAGCTGCCTTTTCGCCGCAAACTTGCCAAAAAACACTTCTTTGGAGTGTTTCGCTGTGGTTGTGAACAGTTGACCGGAACGAATGTTCGTAGGACATGGCGTTGTGGCGCTCAATGCTCTTTGGCAACTCACCCAGGGCAACCTTGACATTTGGTGTTACAGCATGAATTTCCGTTGAGGAAACAAAAGTGCCGGGGACGTCGGCGAAGAAATCTCCGACAGAGAATCGAACACTAATTGACCCTGTAGTAAATCCGGCACCTTTAAGGGTGATTGGTGTGCCTCCCGTCATTGGACCACACGGTGGGAACAGGTCCAGGACAGCATATGGAGGGCCGACGACAGAGGAGACGCAACATGTCCAGAGATCCCCAAGCCATTTTCCGCTCCTGAGAAGCATCGCATGGCTGCCTCATTACTACAGCCTAGGTGGAAACGGAAAAGAGGCACTATGGACAAGGAAGCGCTAACGGTGTGATGTAACCCACCAGCCGCCAAAAACAACCAAAGTCGAGTCCTCGGCAAAATAGGCCATCGTCGCACCCTCTCGAGGCACGGGAAGGTCTGCCGTCGCTGCTGGTGCCTGTGGCGAGGCGTTCGCAATGCTCCCTTGCCCCCTGCGTTTAAGTGGGCCAGGCCTTTCCACGGTCTCTCGTTGTTCGGCTACCGCTGCAGCAGCAGAGATTGTCGTGATGAAATCCCAGTGGCATTCTTCAGCAAGCGTTAGAACGCCAATATCCGAGCAAAGCTGTGTCTGAAACCTCCTGGGATTTTCAGACGCTTCACTTGACGCCCCTCCAAAAACGAAAAATTTTGTACTCGGTCTAGCGTGGACAAGCAACCCACACATGTTCCAGCGCGCACCACCACCGGGCCAAGGCGCGTCTACCTCACACCTGAAGTTGCAAACAGACGCTAGCATCCTGTATGCTTTTCGACTCAAATCGGTGGAGAGACTTCCTGGTTATCAATTCTCAAAAGAAAACGCAAGAAGAGCGTCTTGCACATTAACAGCTAGTGACACACGCTTCCACTATGTGCCAATCTGGATAATTGTGGCTAAGCATCCGCAGGTTTTTGTCTCAGACTCTTCAGGATATTGGTGTGTTTAATCAGAAGAAGGTAGTAGGTACACTACATCAAGTGCTGCCAAACCAATCGCGGTTTTCCAAGTCGTAGGCAAATAGGTCGTTGTAGTTCCCTTCATTGCTCCAACCTAGAAACAAAAGCACTTCCCAGGGCTAGTCTAGCCCTTCTTCAATTGCACCTCCTCGGTGCACATGTGGTTGCACACCTTTTCACTGGCTCATTTGTCGGGCTTATGATGGTTTGGAGTCTTACCGCCGAAGACAAACATCATGTTCCCTTTCACGACTGCGGAGTGTCCTTGCCTGCAAACGCACAAGGGCTCCGTCCAAACGTCCGCTATCCGCTTCCACCAGCCCCAAATAACAAATCAATTTACATTGCGTGAAGCTGGTAATGGCCCCAGCCACTCAAGCAGCCCCACCGAGGGGCAGGCGATGTGCCTGTAAACGTGTGTTGCTTCCAGGCCCAACTCTCGCAGTCCAAGGACCAAACATCAGCTAGCGCAGTTCTTTCGTATTTGAGTCCGCCACATCCTCCAAATACGACAACCTGTAGTCCAGTAGTTGATGCAACTTCATTATCGTGAAAATCGGCCTCTCCTTGTGAAAAAGAGGACTCCCACAGGCATGCAGAGTGGCCGCAACGTGCAACTGGTATTCCTTGACCTGCGCAGTTGGTGAAACCATTAGGAATATCTTACTTCCAGGAAAAGGTAATACAGCAAGATATGAAGGCTTGCCCCCATTAAGTGATTTATAGGGTAAGTAGCTACGCAAGAACACCGTCTGGCGCTGTGTCTTCACGTTGATAATTAGCCTTTAAATTACTTAGAGACAACATTTTTGCGTAGCTTATTCGGATGGTTTGGATTTACCACACGGTTTGCTGTCGACCTGCTCAAGAAGGAGAAGTTGCTGCAGCGCTACCTGAAACCCTGAGCGCTCGACCTGGACCAGTGAAGCACATCAATATGCGACAGTTCCTTGGTATGCAGCTAAATAAGCTGAAACTGGATTTGCTATAGGAGCTTTCGGGAGAAAGCTCCGCCTTAACAAATACAGTCAAAGAACCCAGCCATTACTTAACGTGCTTTTGATATGGCTTCGCTGTATAAGTCCTAAGGGAGAAAAAGTGTTGTCTTCGAGCATCGTTCACCTTATCGAGCGTATCAGCGATAGCCGCCACAGCGGTATCGCTGCAGGGGCATCAGCGCGTCAAACACATAAATGAGAAACGGCTCCGAGTTCCGCATGATGGTTGCATTTGCATACGTTCTACAAGGCTTACGCTGTTCTTTGGGAATTCCACCCCCTGCGAGAGGCGCACAGTAAAAAGGAAAATTGTGCGGATAAGCATGTCCATGCCTGTTTCCCAAGAGTTCCCAAAGGGAGCGGAGGTAGCCCGACTCATCCGGCTTGTTCTTAGTGCACTACGTGCGTACATCCCCAATCGCACTACACCACCACCTTTCGAGCGGCTCGTTGGTAAAAGCGTAGTTTTCGCCTCTTTATTGGTGGTAATGCTGGCGAAAAGGCCAGGAGAGGAATATTTTGAACTGAGATAGATGAGGGACTCAACTAGCATGTGCCAATGGGTGCCTACGTCTGAATTGCAGCATCTTCACTGTCCTGAGGAAACAAGGAACAATTGCGGATGTATTTGTGTACCTTCCAACGAGTTCTTTGGACTTGTGCTAGCCTGCAAAGCACGAGCTTCTATCTGGAGGTGGATGGAAGGCGAATTGGGGATGTGAATGAAATATGAGATCAGGCTTGCCTCTCTTTTTTCAGTGGCGTCTGCACCCGTCCTAGAAAATGCAACTTTCGAAAACCTTTGGTTTCCTGCAGATAGTGGTGAACGGCGAGCATGACTGCGTATGACCTATTCTTCTTTCCCGATGCGGCAATTTGCACCTTGGACAGGTACTGCTATCCGCTTTACACGTAGCTTAGCATTCCCCTTAAGCTCTGTCAGTATACAGAACGCTCACTCATATCCAATATCCAGGCTTCATTGGAGCAGACAAAAGGCCGATGGCTCAGGCATCCACCCCAAATTAAAATCCGAGAACCGCCGATAGAAGTTGCAGAGTGGAAACAACGGCCGGGTGGTTTCGCATTATCTGTCGGTTGTAGCTTGCACCAAGAGGCTCTAGCTGCAAGCGTGCAAGACATAGATTGAAAACAGCATACTGTGGGTGCGTGCACTTCACAACATGCGTTTTTGTTCTCTAAAAACATATGGCGTTACCCATGTGAGCCAGCGTGTGTTTCCGAAAGCTCTTCGTTGGAGACTGAATGTGATCCGGAACGTTGGCTTTTAGGGTTGTGTACAGGAGCTGACGGGGATTTGGGGCTTCGGAGGAAAGGGTCAAAATATAAGCATCATCTTTTGGCGCGGAGCTTGCATCGTCAACTTCCCCAGGCCCAATCCCTCCGTAAACAACGAACGACCCGTTGCATGCTGTAAGTGAATGCCCCCACCGGGGACTGGGTGCTCCTTCTGCAGTTAAGCGGTGCCATGCGCACCCGCGCGGCTGCGCACAAATTAGTACAAGCAGCATGCGTGACTTCAACGGGGGTGTCCAGCAGAATAATAACCTTGGCACATCCATAATATTCACGAAAAAATGATGTACCCCAGTGAAATGCAGCCATATCGGGAACCGTAGAGCAATGATTCCTGTACAAATTCCGCTGAGAAGGCGCTCAGCGCACAGATCTACTGCCATAACGAGTATGGAGAGAGTTGGAAAGCGGCCTAGCTTGGCAAGAAGAGTTATGCCCAGATGACTAGAGGGTACTCCGGTTACGCCGGTTCTTTTGCGTAGCTAACGTTCAGGCCTTCTACTTGTGATGATAAATTTTCCCACCATTTCTGCAAGACGTGCAATGGATGACAGGTAGGTCAGGTCCGCAGGCTTCCCGTCTCACTTCACTGATGGTAGACTCTAGGCTCTATTTTACGTGTGAAGTTGTCCCGAGTGTTGCCGGCGGCTTCCAGGCATTGTTCAGGCGGGGCAGCCTAAGTCACACAACTAGACCTGCGGTGGTGACCCGGGGTCACCAAGAGTTCCGTTTTGGGTTTCTGCCTGGCGCTAGAGGGAAACGGGGGCTTAGTTACCAGAATAGTCTTATATGTAATGAGTGCGACATACGCTACTTATTTTGGTGCAGTAGTAAATCTACCTCTAGCAGATCGAGCTGTAGTCAGCCCCGAACAGCGAGAGGTAGGCCCTCAGCAGGCCTTAGCAGCCACATGGTTTACAGCAACAGAAATGCTAAAAATTTTGTAGATGCAAAATACAATGCTACGCCTTGTTGCCGGCGTAATCCGCCTTTGGGAAGATATGGGGCTAGCGTCTGCCTGAACTTCAAGCCCAAGGCACTGGGATTATGGAGCCCTGCTCTCGCTCAGGGAGAGAAAAATAAACTGCATCTAACAACGTTTGTTCAAGTTTCTTCCGCATGCAAAGAATATACACATATCATGTTTCAACAAGTCGCAGTGGAGTCACAAGCAGATATATCTGCCACCAGAACAGCCAAGGGTACACATGTGTCTCCATAGTTGAGCCAGATTCAATGGCGAATTTGGCTGTTGCTTTGTCCATATATCCGGCGATAAGCTATCAAAATGACGTTTTCACGACGGCATCTCTTCCTTGCAAGGTTTTTTTGGCGCGCAGCCTTGCTCACGCTAGGCTCAGAGTCTATTTTTTCTGAACAAGTGTATGCTCCACTGGAAGGAGGAACTCCTTCCTGCCCTCAGCATCAGGTGGCGTCGGGTAGAACAGGTACACCAATGCTCTCTGAATTATTGCTTACACGCTTTTGGAGGATGCAAGCAAACGTGCTGGTTGTATGTAATGGAACAAAATAACTGATGCCCAACGGCTTGTGTTGCCATGAGGGGAAGGAAGGCTTGGGCCCATCTGAGTAACGACTACTCCAGGAGAACCGACGAATGATGGGCTGCATATGCCCTACCATTATGTCCACGCATACAACCCCAAATTACTCATTCTCAATCTCAACCATGATGCCGAAGTTGCTTTCACGACTCTGTATGCATCGACCCTTATGCGAGCCACTCAAGCAGTACATCGCATGCTGCTGTTTGTGCTCACCGGAAAGCCGAGCTCAGAAAGGTGCAGCGCACTGGCACTAGCGATGTATTGTACGAACGTGGGTTTGTATCCCTGCAGTCCTGTTAATAAGCTTATGCATGTAAGCTTGAATGTGCGTGTGTGTGTGTGTGTGTGTGTGTGTGTGTGTGTGTGTGTGTGTGTGTGTGAGCTAGTAGCATCGTTTCCAGTAGTGCGTCACCCCACTCGATCCCCTCGCCTTGTTCAACCTCCCATAGAATCCCGCCCCCTCTATACGTACTGCTGGTGCAGCAGAACACACACACGAATACCTGCACTTGCATGAGCCCGTCCTGGATGTGTGCTAAGGTTCTAGTGTGGAATGACATAGGCACATGCACGTGTGTCGTATTGCATGCCCCGTGCTTAGAAGCGGGTGGGTTGTAACTGTTAAGTCTTGCATCGACACTGCACCAAGACATTGTTGACACGCATCAGCAGACGCCAGAACAGGCAAGCCATGTACATGGGTTTGCCCATGTGCTGCCTTTCCTGAAGAAAATAGTCACTGCGCTGACACTGACGAGCATCCAGGGATAAAAAGGTACACCAGGTTTAGGGGAGGAAACAAATCCACTTAATGGAGATACCAGGGAGCAACGACCACTGGATCCCGGAGGCTCAATGCCTCTACAGCCTCGTAGCATTGCCACATTGTCACATTGTGGAAAGAGGATTCCTCCTGAGGGTCACCACTCTTTGGCAGGAACCCTCCCAGAGTGCATACACGCCAAGAAATCGTAATGGCGAGCGGTGCGACCAACAGTGGTTGCCCAGGAGAAATATGAACGAAACGTGCCGTGCAGAGAAATGGGATACTGCAGCATGCAGTTGAAGTGATAGCTTGCACGTGCCTGTGCTGAATGAGGAAAACATGCTTGTCCGCTGGGAAGTGAGGATTGTGAATAGCGACACCAAGATCTGCCTTCGAAATTTTGTACAATCCGAGCACCCAAGTACTTTACTGTAACAACAGCGCTTTTTCTGAATACTTCTCGTTATCAGCTTAGGTGGGATATAGCCAACTGAAGTGGGCAGAAGGCTGCGCGCTGTGCACTGCGCTCACGACAGTGGCGATTACCTGTAGCGTCCTTACCAAAAGATTTCGCTCTGGCGTAGTTACTCTGCCTGCGAACTCCTGCGTTTCGAGTGCATGCACTTGTTTTCGCTGGCCTTCTCCGTAGACGATTCGACAGCATTCATGTACGATGCGACCTCAAGCGCCTCCCTGTTGCTCCTGGTGTTTGCACAGGCAGAATGCAGCCCACAACAGTCAGACCAATATCGTCAACAAAATGTTCATTCCAAGAGCGAAAGCGCTCGAATAGACCCAAGCGCTTAAAGATCTGACGGTGCAAATATTTCATCCTTTGACTCAGCCTCATGGGTTAGTAGTATGCACATAAAAGGTAATGCATAGTCTGGAGCAGGCTTCAACTGTGCAATTCCGTGCAAGGTACGTCGCTCCATATACCTTGCCCTAGTGGTTCTTTTCAAACTAGCTAGTGAAACTTAAGGAATAATAGACTTAAAATAGTTGTGGGGTTTATCTCATCTCTGATATTCGCATTGATGTGGAAACTTTTACATCATGTTAAGTGACAATCATGGCAATGCAGATAGCTCTTGGAAGTGTTATGTTCTTCTTCGACCCGCTATATGATACAGAGAGCCAGTTAGCATCGCGTGTACAGTCCTTCTTTGCCGGCATCCTTAACCGGGAGTGCGGAATTCGGCATGTTGCCGAGTGAGAATATATCAATGTGCAAGTTGCTCACAGTCTAATAGCATAGGATATGGTCTACTATGAGGTGATGTAGCTGCCTTTCCTCTAGAGTACTGTGTACCTATGCTGACAGCTGGGATCAACTGCTCAAAAGACCAGCTCCTAGTTTTTGGGGTCGTCTCCCTCATGCCTGCCTCCAGTTTCAATCCTTCGAAAAAAAGGGGGTCTTTGCTGCATTACAGATCCATTGCAACCTGGCATTCGGAGCTTAAGGCGTTTAACTGTTGGACTGCTTCTCTCCAGTTCGCCAATCTGATCCTTGCACTCATTAGCGTTCTCTGGCAGTAGTCGCATTTGTTTTAATGCATGTTTTTGCCTTTGTATGGCGAGCACTGCAGCTTGATGCTGCAGCTACTCGCGATAAATTTATGTATTTCTCGCCTTTTAGCAACGCCACCAGTTGCTCCTTAAGAGGGCACTTCTCTACCACTACCCCGTCAGCGCAGCCTTTGTTCGTGGAGGCCAGCGCCTACCTTCTTCAGGTCTCGTATTTCTTTGTTGATGTGCGAAAACCTTAATTCAGAAGGGCAATCTGCTGCATTTGGGATTATCAGCCGCATAAATTCTGAAAGGGTCCCTAAGCTTAGTTGTGCCTAGCGTGGATCATCCTTGATGGCCAAGCAAAGCCCCACTGTCCTTCTCTACGTAAGCGTTCATCTCGTATCTCGTTAGCCGAAGCAAATGATGCTTTGGATGGCTTTAACGAGTCCTTTTGTCGTGCCTGTTCGGACGCTGAGCTCACTCGGCACAATACGGCGGGATATTGAACTAAGCTGAAACTGTTCCAGGCGAGTATGTGTAAAGGCATATCTAACTGGCTCTTAATTGCCTTTCTGATACCTCTACAGGAGAAAAAGTCTCTCCAGTCACCATTACTCAGCATTTCCCACTTTACACTGAATCCTGGGCGACTCCCCGGCAAGCGTGAGGCGCCGTAGCTGACCATCAGGATTTAATGTGGTCTACTGCCTAGTGTTTAAACAAATCTGTGGACGTTTCTAGCAAAATTCATTCTTTTACCTCCGCTCCTGAATAAACAGCGTAATCGATCCGTCACTCTCTCTCTCAGTGCTCGTGCTTTCATGTCGCCTCGCTCTTCCCGTCGCCCCAATCAATAGTTTACTTTCCAGATAAACACTAAAATATTATTCGATGTTACGTAAATCACCTGGTTTAATTACTTCATCAGTTCTCTCCGGCCGTTCAGGCAGGAACACTCAACACACGCAAGGAGCGATACGGCGCGACAGGCTCCGGAGATCTTACCCCTTGCTGAAGGACGCCGCAGGCGGTATGTACACTCTTGTTTGTGGTCGCATTTTGCCTGTATGTTAAGGAGTTGATTCGCAATATTCGTTTTGGGGAGAATACGCCCTCGTTTTTTACGCAAGAAGGTCGCCATTTGCCATGTGCATGCAGACGCAAGCCCTGGTCTTGCAAGGAACGGGGAAATTGAAGTTCATTCACTCGCAACAGAAGCCCCGCAGCATTGAATGACATCGGCTTCAATTTCTTCGCTTTCCGTACAGGGGTTCACTGTTTACGTTTCTGGGTTGCCAGGCGCTTCGCCCTGAGACATCCTGGACGGGACCCCAGGCGTGTGTGGAAAGTCTGGCAATTGTTTTCTGTTACAGACGAAGTATTAGTACGATAGAAGGGTAGGTGCGCGGGTTTGGCCTTTAACTTCAGGTCAAGGCATCCACCAGGAGACGCAGGACCATGCTCATCAAGTGAACTTGTGTGAGGACATCAAAAATGGGGCTAGCGGACTTCCCCTACCTAGTGCAACGGCGGATTCGTGCCGTTATCGAATGTTACAGGTCTACTAGCCTTTACTACAGGAATATAGGCTTCTTTGGTGTCGGCATTTTGTGGGGGAGTGTTTGGGGGTCATACAAAAGGAAGGCGAAGGATGCAACAAACGCAGACTGTTCGGCGGTTCACCTGACGTTCTATGACATCCCAACTGCACTGTCGCTGCAGCAGCAAGATTCTCAGCCTTCATGTGGGGAGCGCACTGACCGTCATTTGCCCCCTCAAAGGAAACGTGCATTTGAAAACCTTTGGGAAGAAGCAGCAAGGCTACTTCAGAGACAGCCTGGGTACACCTATACTCAGATGTTCCGCAGATTAATGCCGGATGAAGGGGTCGAAGATGCCAGTCTGGGTCATGTGGCAGATGCAGAACTGGAGCGTAATAGTAGTGGCCGTAAGGGCGTTGGTGCGGGTATTGAAACACCAACTGATTCTGAAGCCAACCAAGAGCAGCGAGTGGTGGATTATGTTGAATTGCGGGTGTGGGAAAATGAAGAGTCGCATAAAAATGCAGACATGGCGCAAGCGGCCCTTATAAAGAAAATACGTGAGCTGGGTGTTAAAATGGATACGGGGCTTTACAGACGTGTGTTTGACGACGCGTTTGTGCGCCTTATTCAGTGATTAGTGCGTCTTAGATTGCCTCATATAGGTGATAAATGGCATATATATATAATATATATATATATATATATGCTTTATAAATTTTTTATGTCGAACCCATCAACCTGACGCTCCACTTTTGGTTGAACGCGAACAAGGTTGCCACAGTCGAGTTCCTTCAAACCTCCTACTGGTTTCTACTTCTACAACTGCACAGTAGATCTGCAGAAATAAGAACCCTTTTATTTTCTCTAGGGGGGAATCAACACTAAATATTCTTAGGATGGCCCGTGGGGTGGTAACGCACAGTTCATCCTCCACAGCGGTAGTCTTGGCTCGAACGTGTCTATCTATTGGCACACTAAAGATAGGTTTCTCTGTGCTGCCGAAGTACTGGGCACGATTTTGGCAGTTGCCTCAAGTTTTGAACTTATTGAGCTTCCAAATGCACAATATGAAGCGAAGGGTGTAGCTGACGGGGGAAAAGGCTCGTCGACTTCAGAACATAGCAACTCAACTAGCACATGTAGAATTTATGCATGCATTGTAAGCGCAAAGCACGCTGTCTCTGCGTTCGAGCCCGCCGTGTAGCCTACGCAGTGAAGGGCGGCATCGGTCGAGTCACTGCCGGATGTTCGACTGCGGTGACGAGTGTGCGTCCTCGCTGTGGAAGAAGCATTGACATTTTCCAGTGGCAAGTTGTAGGATATTTATGCATAAACTTGTTGCGATAGGAGCATCAAACTTCCAAACAGCAACCTTTAGGGGATTTGCCTATGGCGGCTGGTGGGTCTGCAGTATCAGCGCAGGGTAGCCGTTGGACCACTACCGTAGTTGACGAAGGCTCCAGTGGCCGCATGGTCTCATCCAATATGGGTAGAGTCTTCACATGGATGAAGTATGGAAGTAAATGCCGTTTTCTAATTACAGCCGTTTGTGTTTTTCTTCTGGCTTTAGACGAGTGGGGAATGCGGGCTTCCTCAACCCCCCCACCGCCGACAGCCCTGGACACCGAAGGAGCCGAAGCCTCTGTGGCTGCGATCAAAATATCGCCTTGCAGTTTTTTCTCTGAGCTAATCTCTTAAAAATTTCGGGGGACCTTGAGAAGTTTCACCGTTCAGGTTTAACTTGCGGTGCTGCCGAGGCTGAAGAATGACATGTGAGTGGTCTCGCGAGCTCGACAATACCAGTGGATTTGAAACCGCTAGATTTTTTTTCAGCTTATGCTTTGAATACCCTAATCTCCAATTTGGATCACGCAGGCTTCTAAATATCTCGACGCTTTACGCTTCTGAGGCGCCAGCACGCCTGTTGGCGTGGCTCACCAGCCGCCCCCTTCCACTACACTACGGCGCGCCGAGAGGGAATCAGAGGCATTTCCTGGATATTTTCGAGCGTTTGGGGGGCCAGAAGTCCCCGCACGGGGAGGGCTACTGGCTTTGACATTGTGTCTCTGCATCTCGTTGGGCGGGCTATCTTCGACTCACAGTGTTCCCCAGAAGAGCCCTGCGTGGCTGCCTCCTTGACGAAGTTGTAAAAAATGAAGAGGCAGCATAGAAGTGTTTCGTTTTTTCAGCTGTCACTGCTGGCTTGGATCTTCCTTGTTATTGCCGCCTCAGTTTCAGCTTCTGCGCATGCAGATCGAAGGGCATTCCGCACACCAACTAGGACTAAACAAGAGCCTATACTGGCTCCTGATCAACCTACTTCCTTCACAGGAGAATTTGACGCAGGTATAAACGCGTCTCCACCTGCTGTTGACACACTTGCGAGTGAATTTGGTTTCGTGGAAATCTTCAAGAAACTATTTGGAGGGACAGGCGAGGAGCAGGAGGAAGCGCCCACCACCTCCGAGCAGCGTCGGAGTGCCTGGCAGGAAGAAGAAAGGCATGCTGAGTTCGCATTTTGCTCTGACGTGGGATTTAGAGGCCTTCATCCAGAGGAAGGTGGTGAAGAAGCGTGAGCGTCTTTGTATTGTTTGATCACAAACGGTCGTTGCGGGAGCAGCCCCCAGAAAAGTCCACAGCTAGGCCAGCAAACGTATGCGGTTGGACGTTTCTTACTCTTGTGTATGGATGCGTTGTTGAGTGTCCTTTCTATTACAGCGCATGTTGGAGTCGATGTGGCCGTGTTTGCGAAGGAGCCATGTTTCTTGCTGAGGACGGTAAGCCCTGAATACAGCTTCATTCCTTCCTCTATGGGTCTGTAATTAGGAGTCAGCTGCGGTTCGAGGCTTAGAACAGCCATATTCATTCGTGATGGGGACTACTTAATTGTGTCCTAGACAATATACGTCTTTTCACACAACAGCATTGGGATGGTCATCGCACTTTTGATTATGGGTGTCGATCAATGATGCAGCACTGCCGGAGTGGAGGCTTGTTCCCGTTGCGACAAGGACAAAGCCATGCAAAACTCCTGCTAAAAAATCTGCAGTTCAGGTAAGGAATCGATACTTTAGGGAGGCATACAGTCTATTGTATCTTGACGTTAGATTAGGTTCTCCCATCCACCTATGACTATGCTTAATGGGGGGAATACCAATTACTTGTGCGTGTTAATGTGTACTGTTTTGGGCGTTTTCTGATGCCTTTCCTGCAGATTTTGTGCAAGGCTATCAAGAAACCAACACATTACGACATCACTAGTGCTGTAAAGCAGGAGACAACGTTTGACGTTGAGGCGCAACAGCAGGAACAAATGCAGCAGCTGTCAAGGCAGCAAATGCTCCTACCCCACCAAACACCTTCGGCGCCTGCTTTTGCAGCAGCTCCCCCTGGTTACCTTCCGGGGGAGGCACAAGTAGCGCCTCAGACTTTTGCAGCTGCAGCGTATGGTCGAGAACGAAGCGCCTTCCCGCAGTGGGCTCTTTACCTCATCCTTATTGGGATTGCTCTGACATGTGCGCTTCTCTTATGCTGCTGCCTATGCTTCTGCCGGCGCTAATCATTTAACGTGCATGCGGACGAGAAAGGCCTTCACGAGGGTAAGTGTCTTTCTTGCTAGCGCAGGCCAAACACCCAGCTATCCAGCTCAGGTTTATCCGTCGGACTCCACGCCATTGAGGCTCTGTGAGTGCAGTCAATTGTATTTTTAACGGCCTGGCGTAATGTGATAACGCATTAATCGTATGATTCTCTTGACAGAGAAGTCAGAGGCCGCTGCATAATTGTTTGTCACATTTGAAACGGCTCCACTTTTTAAGTCGGCGAGGTGTTTTGGGTTTTGGCCATCTGCAGAGGTTTGGGCATTGGCTCCATTCAGAGGTGCATTTTAGCGCAGATCCTTTATAAACGCAGCCACTCCCAGAAATACTGCCCCCACACGAAGTGCTTCTCTAAATAACTGGCCGCTTTTCAATTGCCCCGAAGGCATCCAAAAGCACTGTTGAGATTGGTCTGCTAGTCACTTCGTTACTTCGTAGTATTTATTGCATTACCAGGCAGCTTAGGTTTGAAAGTTTCGGTGTTCACACCAGTTGAAATTGTTTCGTGCTACACTCAAGCACTCAAGCGGTAAAAGATGGGCGACCGATACACTGAAAAGCTTTATAGAGTGAATACGCTTCAAGGCGCGGAACTTTTTAATCACTTTTCTGCGTTTTTGTCAATGGAGCCCTGTGGGGCCGGCATGGCCACCACCGCTGGTTGCCCAGATTTTGAACGCGCTACAGGTTGCTTACACAAGCACTAGTCAAGGCCCTTCCCATTTCTGCAAAAAACTTATGCAGCTTAAATTAAAGTTTTTGAACGGTCTCTGAACTATCTCGAGGGTGGAAATTGCCCACAGTAATGCATGGTGCAAGTGGACCGCGGCCTCCTCGAGCTGCGGTCCACTAGCGCCCACGCGGTCTGCGCCCGAAAATAGGGGCTAATCTGTCTGTTAAAAACAATCACCTCCACATAAGAAGGCATATTTGGTCGGAAACCGTTGTATTTTATTGAGTTTCAGCTTATTTATCGAGCCCTAGCGTGTCGCGGAGTGATGCACCCGCCCGAATTGGCGACTGTCTCACTGGGTTGCAGGGAGGTAGCTGTCTTGACTTGCACGAGCCTGTTCCAGATAACCAGATTCCGCTCTCCAGAGTTAAGATATAAGCTTACCTATGCAAGAACTACTCTACCGCGCCTCCCCGGAAACCTGGCCTTCGGAGACCCACCAGGCCAGCAGTGCGGCTCGCTGACTCGCTGCCCGCGACTCAAGTGTTGCCAGATATTTCCACACCAATCCAAAGATAATCTTGCTTCTACTTAGCTAGATCTGCTGCTCTGGCGGAATCATATGGCATGATGGACAATCCGGAAGGGCAGTCTACCGAGTTAAAGGCCAGCCAGGATCCAGGAAAGGAGAGTCAGCCTTTGCTTCCTAGGAAGGCAAAAACCTCAACTACCTATAAGCAATTTTGCTGTTGTTCACTCGGAACATCTGTGACCATCTGGGCGGTCTTTCTTCTGGCATTTTCCACTTACGTCCTCTTTGACCCCAATGTTTCTGGTGCAGCATACACAGCTGGTGGGGTCGTAGGGATCATCACTGCAAGCCTACTACTCTCTGCTATAGGAAAGAGAAACGCTTTCCCCGCTTTTGTCGCAGTGTATACTCAAATCGCCTTGAACATCATTTGGGCTCTGCAGCTGGGCCTCACCATTTACCTTTACTGGCGAGTCCAGCAACATGCTAATGACAGATCAGCCTACACAATTGCTACAGCTGGCTGGCGGCAGCATGAAGACTTGGGACGACTGCCTGCAGCTCGCTTCTTTATTGTTGACCTACCACTGAGCTTCGTTCTGTGCGCTCGCATCGCCTTGCTGGGTACTCTTCTGCTCGTGTCTCATGCCAACCTACGGGTCCTATGGAGCTTTTACCGTGTTCTGCAAGCTGGAGGTACAACCTTCGAATATAAAACTGCAGAAGAAATCGAGGAGCAGACTCTGCAAGCTCAGCTTCCTGGCCTGCCCTCCGCCACACCGACGCCGCGGCCTTGGGGCGTTTCGGGTCAAGGGTCTTCCCGCTCCAGAGAGTTCGCTTCGACTTGGCAGGCATGAAATGTACAAAGGACTCTTCATGAAGGCTTTAGGATATTTTGCCCCAATAGGTACAAGCAAACGTGTTCATATTTGCACGGGGGAAGTAAATTCTTTTTCAGGTTTCAAATTATGTATCTATTGCAGCACTTGACAATACGCTGCCTCTATGCTGGAGAACCCCCAGCACCTCTCAAAGGTGCAACAAGTTCTCCCTTTAACTGAGCTGCATCTTTCGAATTGACTGTGCAGCTATGCCGGGATTTTACTGAACTGATGAGGCATAATCCGGCACTGACCAATACTAGGTTGTCTTTTTTGCAGTAGTCTGGTAGGAACCGCCCTCATAAGTCTATAGACCTCGAGGGCTGGAGCCTCCCAGGCTCCACGCGCAAACCCTATACCCGAGAACCTCATTCATGCAACGGGATATCGCTTATTCCAGCATGCTTACTTGCAAATGAAGAATCTATCTCTTGCTATTTTCTGCCGCCTGCTCCTTACATCGGACGGCGAGTTGCTGCGAGTCTCTAGACGGCATAGCAAAGCTGTTCAATGCTGGCATACCCGCATGCGTGCCTTCACAACATCCTCAGCCTTCATAAGCAAAGCCTCACGCGGAAAACAGCCATGGATTCAGAGTTGTCCATCGCCCGCACTCCCCGGGTTCATGCTCGTCCTTGCTGGGTATCGCTGGTTTGCCTCCCTTCGACAGACTTTGCAGGGGGCCACGCCGGCCAACGGAATGCCCCCAATGCCAATGCCTCTTGCGGCAGTTTCAAAGCAAAGCTCCTCTAAAAGCGCAGTTAAGAAAGCATCAAAAGAGGCGCGTATTTGTAGATAGCGCCAGAGTACCTCCGCCATCACCTTGAGTAATTCCCCGCCTACACGTTGTGCTGTGGCGCCTGCGTCACACTGTCCCCTACTGGGCATTGAGCTATAATCCAGCGCACCTAATACATTATGGAGGCAAAATGCCTGAAGGGAGCTTACCGCCCTCAACGAGTACGTGGTGAGTGCAATTAGCTCCGGGCAATCGCGCCTCTCTTCCTTAGCGTCAAAAACAGTCCTGAATGCAAATACAGATAGGAAAACAGCCTACTGCTCAGCTCAAACACCTCGATGTTCCAAAGCTGATAGGAAAAGAAGGAGGGGCTTCACGCATGGTAATTGAACGCCGCATACACCCAAAGTCGATAGGCCAACTGCCCTGCGGGAAAAGCATTCTCATCCTCAAATGCCTCGTCCAGAGAAACGCAAAATCCCAAAGAAGTGAACTGTTGTTCCCGAAGAACAGCTGGGATTCTGAACTCGCTCACCTGAAGAAGTGGATCAACAGACGCATTAAGTCAAGAAGCCTTTCAATTACGAAAAGCAAGGCATTGGGCACTAGGAAGATGGGTTGCACCATGCGCGAGCGGGCCTAGGCTAACCTATCGCGCAGTCACTACTGATCACTACAAGCGGGCACGGATCTAGCAAAAATGAGAATCTAAGCGCAAGCGACCCCTCACACAACCCCAGTGCACTATTCGACAGTACGCCTGAAAGTCGCTATGTGAAATATCATCATTCGAAGGCACATCCTGCGTGTGACTTGCCCCCTCTTGAATGAGGATGTTTGTCAGAAAGTCCCAGAGGGCATCCCACAACTTAATCTTGAGTGTTTCCAAACTCTGCATTTGCAACATCGTCCCCATCAGCGTCAGCGTGTCAATAGCTACCCCGCAATGCCTTCCTGAGCTGTTGCTTGATAAGCATCGGTGATTATCAAGATGAGGAAGTGCGCTGGGGACCTGAAAAAGTGGTTGCAACGAATGCAAATTTCTCTACTCACAGCTTTCTGAAGAGCGCAGTGAAGGGGCCATATGTGCAGAAGCAAAAAGTAGATGCGACTGTTGAAATCCGCCTGGCCTATTCCAAAGTCTGCAGCAAACAGCTCATCAGCACTACTTTATTTGCTACTGCCGCATACAATGCGGACAGCGGATTCATCGTATTATGCAGTGAGACAAGATCGTGGCCTGCGACGGCAAAAGCTCACACTGCGCAGTTAACACTGTGTCTTCATAACAGGGAATCACTGTGCGGAAAAGCTGCCGGCCGCCCTCTTCCAGCCCCCTTGGAGATAATACATAACTGCGGAAGCCACTGACAACAACTAGCTGCATTTCCTCCGAACAAATTCTTCGGCAAGTTCGGCTGTAATGCATCAACAAGGGACAGTGAGGACGCATAGAAGGCAATGACGCAGGGGCGTCACTGCTTTACCTCCAGAAATAACGTAGCCGCTGCAACAACGAAGGTTGCATGGCTTTTCCTTGTCCCTCTGGAGTAACCAAGCACTCGGCCACCTCCTCCGCTGTCACGGAACTCCAGGACGAGGCGATTATCTGGGCGCCACCAGGGAACAAACAGTTTAGAATGCACGCAACTGCTTCAGCATGGAATCCAGATGGGGGAAATCACTGTAAAGCGGCACGCCTTACCCGCTCGTGACATAATTTTAGCCGCGTTTCCTCCTCCGGCGACAAACAGAAGTCTATAAAGCGATCTTTGGTCTGCAAGAGTACACGCAGTAGACCCCATGTGCTCGTTCGAACAAGCCATCTTTAAAAAGTAACTGTCTATCTTCAGTGTTAACAATTACTCGCACTGCACTAAGTTGGCACGCAGCAGGGCGCCGAAAGTCCGCACCGAATTGAATGAGCAGCCACAGGTCTGTTCAGACTCGAAACGCACCGTGCGCCAGATGAACTTCCGGTCGCCGCCGTTAGATTCCCGTGGCTTCACATAAGGACCGCTAGTGGGTATCTCTGACTCTACTCTAGGTGCCTTTTTGTTGCACGTGCTGTGGTACCTCAAAGTGCGGCCACAATGCTCACTGGAACCACCTATGCAGAGCGCCGGTTTGAGATTGGCACCCAAGACGGGCGGAGTTGATCCAAGACAAGCAGTGAGGTCCTTGTCTGTTGGAGCAGGGGATACTGAATAACACTTGGTGGTGCTGAAAGCATATGTAGAAGCCCTACTGCATTCGGTTCGATTTCTCCCCACATGGCCTCCACATCGAGGTGAGAGGAGCAGAACTCTCGTTTTGCAGGCACACAGACTAAGCCCCTTCCACATTCTGAGTGAAACTGCTGCAAAAGAAGTACATGGCTTCATAGAGAAAATGCTCCAGCAGCTGGCCCTCAGAAGGGAGCATCGGCAGGGTATAGGGTGGATGGAAGTCGGAACTAGCCTCTATATATCCCAGTGACCCGCGAAACACAAGTCATAAAAACAGTAGTGAACCGCATTAGCAAAGATGCCATGCGAGACTGTGTGGATGAGGTGAGCCTCGTAAACTGTGCAGCTTCAACTACCGCGGCTTCATCTGCTGGGCAGTTCGATACATTAGCAGCGTCTAGGATGTTTACAGTCACAAAGAATCAGAAGTTCCAACGAAATGATTCCGCGCTAAATAGGAAGAAATCATTAAATGATGCTTAGCTTGGTTTCGCAGTGAATATGCCGAATGTATACCTGGGATCGCATGCGCATACGCAGCCCCGGGAGAAGACATAGCTCTGTCGGTATTTCCTACACTGCAGATATTACTTGTATTTTCTATTAGAGCACATTTAATTGTATTCATCATGGCATTGGAAGTGGAAGAAACCGATGGCCAAGTAGAAGGGAGCTCACGGGGTCGATCCAGATCTAATCGCGGTCGACCGACTTCCTTAACCACGTGCTTTGGGGAGGTTTTTTCCTTTCGACAAGCTGTTTGTTGAACTGAAAGGCTGCTGTTCTTTACGCTGGAGCAAGCATTTCTGAACCATTCCGCTACGGACAGCGCCTAAATCGTCTTTGGTCGGCGACGGGATAACTACACGGGGATTCAGAATTTCATAAACAGAGATGCAGCCACCTCTTGGAGGCCCTCCCCAGCTACAGGCTCCCCCTGCTCGGGATCCTGTAACCAAACTGCAAATCCTTTTAGGGAACTTGCTGAAGCACTTCACGGTCAGCCGCCATCCCGCCGTTCGTAGTACTGCCCTCACGACCAGGAGCCGATTCATTTTCGCTCATTCGTTCTGTGTGTTGTGCTTTACTGAGCATCAGGATGTGGTTGTGCATCTTTCTGAAGTTGCCCCGCCACGCTCCGTCTCTGGCAAGGTGGACGTGGACGGACCCCCCGAAATCGCAGAAGCATCCAGCTCAGCTGTTAGAACTACAATGACTGAGGAACAGCTAAATGAGTTTATTGTCAGCTGCGCTAAGGGGGTTGGCAACCTTGTGCATGTCATTGAAGAAGAAACAGAGAAGATTCCAGAGGGCATTCAGTCGCAAGTACGGCACGTTCATCCCCCCGTCGCACTGCATGGGTCTTGCTTGCATGCACGAGTCCATAGTACACAAGACTAGTTCTGGCATGGCTGTATAACTTTCAGACAAAATTGAACCTTGCCCTGCACAAAAAGATACCCTACTTACAGGCTATGTAAGTACGCCAATGCGGCGGATGACGGCCCATCAAATGGTGAAATGAGCATTTTTGTCTTATTTGGCGCAGGAAGAAGTCGAGAGCGAATTGCGGTACTTGGAGAGAGAGAACGAAGTGGCCGCAGCGGAATTGAAGGAGCTCGTGGCAGCCGTGCGCCACGTGCGGGAAGCAATTAGAGAAGCGTACAGGGATGCTGCCACAAATGGCACTCGCATTACTATAGACTAGAACGTGTGGGGGGCGCTGGAAAGTGGATCTCCGTGTGATATTGACAACTTCGAAAGCATATTCTATGAATGCAATACACACTGCTCTGCAACACTATGTATGCACGCACACGGTGCGAGCTTAACGGTGATCCACATGCACTTTTCAAACGTAGACACTCCTTCAACCTTTTTTTTTGTAACTCTCCGGTCCAGTTACATCGGAAAAAAGCAGTTTTCCCACTCGCCCGTAACTGCTTCTCTTGTGGGTTTCTGCAGTTGCCTACTGTTCTAACTTGCGGATGTCGCAGCTGATCCTTTTGAGCACAAGACCCAGAGAAGAACTGTTGCTCAATGAAAGTGGACAGTACTGCTACACAGTGCAAGAGAACCTGGTCCTACCATCCTTCCAGCCATCCTGGCGCCAGTGTTTGCTGTTGCTGCTGTCCTAATCCTACGAAATTTGTGATGCTGACAGAGGAGTTATCGTCTCCTTGGCCGCCTGCCTGCTTGCACTCATTGCAAGTGTTAGTGGGAAGGGAGGTCGGCTGCCCTTGTTCTTCTTCAGAAAGACGAAGCCCGAGCGCACTCTCTTCACTCGTACGCAAGGTCTCTGGACGACTTTGCGTATCTAATACAAACGACAATCTGTCTCCATGGCGCCGCATCGTCCAGCACCGCGCTACTGTTTTCTCTGTGCCATTTGTTTGTACGCGCGCGTGACTTTGCGTGTTATTTTCTCCGACGTCCGCTGATGAGCCTAGAGAAACTCTCTTAGATTTCGCCTGTTGTAAATGCTCACTTAAGCAGGCAGGCCGCTCAGTAGCGGACATGTTATTCTCTCCTCCTGCATACCGTTCCCGAATTGTCATCGTCGTCGTCGACTGCCCATTTAAAAGATACCGCATAGGGGGGAGCTCGAGTGTATGCCTTCCCAAATAACCCTGGGTAAAGTCGCTGAGTAAACGCTGCGCAGCCGCTCCCTCGTTGGAGTGATGCCTTTTTTCTGCCAGCTTAGGGAACAACACAAGCAGCGGCCATATACAAAAGCGCGAGTATGTATAGCTACCTCACTCTTCTGGTCCATCCAGCGCACCCCTTAACGCACCTCGCATACAGTTGCAGGGGAACATGTAACATTTCGGATAACGCATTGTCCATCCAACTTTCCAACCCGACCTCTCCCCCCCTCCGCTCACCGTCAGCAGCAGTTGCACTCCCATATTCATATCCTCTTTGAAGGCGCACTGGTCCATCTTGTAGCGGCTCATCACTCTGTCTAAGTCGCTCGCTGCTGGCAACAGTTTTCTGATGCGAAAAAAGGCGTTTCCCAAAGCCACTGCGGCTTCTTCAATCGTGAAGAGGCAACTATGAGGCAGCATGTGAAATGCCCCGAGTAGGGCCAGCTCGTCAGGAGATGGGTGCGGATGGGTGAAATCAAAGAATATCCCCAATTCCAGCTGTCCCTGCCGAGCACCTGTGCCAAGACGTTGCTGCAGTTGCTGCTGTAATGAAAGACTCAGCCGCCGTTTACTTTTACCTTTGCCGGGATGCACGGGAATGAACCCGGGGGTGTCTATTACATCGAAAAGCCGCGACATATCGCCCATTCGAGCCCAGGTAACTGGTTGTCTGTGCAGCTGCAAAGCACACGCAACTCGCATGCTACCCGTGAGTTGGTATTCGTTTCTCCTCCAGTTTGACACTCCTTGCAAAGGAAGTATTGGGTTGCTCTAAACAGAGACAATGGTGAGCAAGAAACTGCGTGTAAGTGGCTCACGTTGACAGACTGCGTGGTGCCGGGCCATCGGTAACTGCGTGCCACTTTCCTCCCCGCAAGACAGTTGGCAATTTTGCTCTTCCCTACATTTGGGACTCCAACAATAAGAATTCGAAGCGGCTTCTTTTTCTGGAGCGAAGCCTTTGTGAGTACTTCCCCCGCGCGTGTTCCTTCGTCGGTTGCTCCTTTGCGCGAGGCAACGAGCTGTGCGACTTGGACAGATGGCAAGGATGATTCCACTCTGCCTTCTGCAGCGGCTACTGCTGCTTGTTTACAAAGAGAACGAAATGCATCCAGTTCTTTCCTGTAGCGGCGGTGCCTCTTGACCAGACTACGCAGAAGCCGCTGCACTCGAACAACGGCTGCGGGCTCCCGAGCGTCAATAAAGAGGTATTGTAGCCGAGGAACCAATGGACATGCCTCGGACAATGCACGCAACAGTCCTGTTAGGAGGCGCCAGACGCAATATGGTCAACAAGTACAATGCGCTATGCATGTTAGGAGGAATGGGCAATATACAACGGAGTGTCGCATACGATGCTGCAGCTCGGTGCGGAGTGCGGAAACAGATCCCGTGCACCATTGCTGCAGTTACCTGATGCTCCCACTTGTTTGCGAGCTCTTGTGAGCTCTGCGTGAAGCTCCAATGCCGCTGCCTCTCGACTCTCACGCCGGAAGTACCGCTGCCAATGGCGAGTCGCCAATGGGCTAGCCTGCAAAAATAGAGAGTTTCGAAACGCATAAGACAGCTCCCCACGGTTCTATTTCGTTGTGTATAGCTGGAAAACACGACGTGAGTCTCTAGTGGTTGCCGCTTAGTGACCGCTTCCAATCCAGCGCAGATGGTCTCCCAGCGCAACAAACTAGAAATAGCAACGAACTAGACCACTGAGGAAAGTACAGCAACACGAGAACAAACATTTTGGGAGGCAGTCAAGTAGTAAAATACCAGCAGCTAGGCGCAGAGTCAGAGAAAAAAAAAACACTACAACAGAAGAGCAAGCACGTACCTGGTCCGCATGCGTTAAAATAACGGCCCTGGGTTTTGGAAGTTGCAAGACGCGCAGGTTGCATCTGGATAGCAGCGGCAATCGAGCATCCCTAACCTCAACAATGGCATCGCATCGTGAAGCTGCTTGCACCAGGGGAACCAGCGACCTCCTGGCGAAAGAAGGGAACCTGATGCGATGAGTAGCACAACATCTGAGTAAAGCCAGGACAATGCTCGCGCTGCAGAAGGCTTAATTCACTGTATACAGAGTCCAAGAGCAGCTATGGATTCAAATGCATGGGAAAGATGTAAGGCCGTACCAATGTGTCCGCCACCGCCTCACGGGTACTTCATCAACGAGAGGATCTTTCAGTCGCATTGCACGAAGGGCAAGTGCCTCCTCTGCACAATCATGTTTCCCCATTGCTGTTTCTATTGTTTCCTTTGCTGGTGGCAGCAACCCGCGCATTCTGTTCTTTCGGCTGGAACAAAGGAAGCGGATGTTGCGCCTGCGGATACGAAGCAGGCGCTTGGTACGCACTCCATTTCCAGTGAACACGCTGTTGATCGGCGAGGGGTCAAGCTTCCGCACAGTCTCAGCATGTCGTGTCCCAGATGAAAGATATGCGTGCAGAATTGTCCCCCCATTAGGCTCTTGAGTCCAAAGACGGTCCTGTGCTGCTCCTTCATCTACTGTCCACCCTATAGGCGAGGTTCTGAAGCAAGTCAATTTGTAATATGGTTGTGCAGAGATGCAGGGAGCCTTGGAAGCTGCTGGCTGTCCTGACGGAGCTTGCACGCTCTGGAGGAGCAGAGCAAAGAGATGAGGCCTACCTAGTAATTGCATACTACGAAGCCACCTGGCAGGCAGGTTGGATGAGCGGGACAAGCCTTCAGCCCACGTGACAAGAATGAAGCCCCCCGCAGAAGGAAATACTAGAAGAGACAGAAACAGCGATAGGGACTGCAGATGACGCTGCTGCAGCTGTCAAGGCAGAGCCTGCACGACCATTGAAGCTGGACTTACGGCGGCAGGGCGTCATCATGGATCGCGTGAGGCTGAAGCAGGCACATAATAATGGGGCAAAAGTAGAACTTCCTCTCAGAAAGTAGAGATAATCCCCAGGGAAGGGATCCAACAATTTTGGTACGTGTTGTTCGGAGCCCTTGTATGAACGACCGTGGGAGTGTGCTACCAGCAGTACGTCGTGAAGTTAAGCGAATACCGCTGGCAACGGGCTTGTTGTTTCATTGCAAAGCGGATGAAATGATGGCGAAAGTAAAATATACTTTGCGTCCTTGCACGGTTTCGCATGAATTAGGTGAGCCTTAACAGCTTGGGGCTCGGGACCCGCCCCAAACTACTTTGCTAATGCGGTGCACACATCTTAATCCCTGATATCCAATTTGTGTAGCTTTGGAGTTTATTTTCTCTCGTAATGTCATGAGGAAACCAAAGGGGCAGAGGTGCAGGACATGACTGCGACTGTCCCCGATTGTCAAACTGCAGCTATTGGTTGTACAAAGGCATACCTCATCGCGCAGAGGGAGGAGCGACAAACTGGCGGTGAGTCGGTTATTTTCGGCCAGGTTCTGTATGCCTCTGTGAGCAGTCGGCGGCTCCTGCGTTTCAATAACTGGTTTACCTCCGCCTGCAACAACGTGCATTGAACACTCTTCAGCGTTCTCAACTCTCAACAGGGATTACAAACGCATGAATTCAGGCGTCGAGGGGATAAGAACCGTAGCTTTTGCAATGAGTTCAACACGCTGACTACGTTTCTCGAGTCAGTACGCTTGTTTGCCAATGCCAATGCAATTCGCCAAAGCTGCACATACTTCACCTCACTGACTACGCTTCTCCAGCCAGTGTGCCTGCATGCCAGTACCGTCGGCACTGAACTGAAGACAGCGGCATAGTTCCGATAGAGGGGGACTCTAGAACAGACGTGAGCTCTCCGTTGGCGCCGAAGCTGATGAACCCGGCGAAGCATACCCAGGCATGGCCTACTCCTTGCATGCGAGGGTTTAGCCTTCCCTTAATTCCCCCATGAAGGTAATGTGCAACAGGGCATGAAGTACTGCCGGTGGGTTTGTCTAAGGTGCCAAGCCCGGGGTGTACCTCAGCGAGCGATTCAATGTTCGCCCCGTTGTAAGGAATTAGCACATCTTGCACCATGTGCAGAACGTGGCAGAGCTGTTAATTAATCGATGCATCATTCGCGGTGAAGAACAGCTGTGGTGCAGTAGTTCAGACGTTGGAAGGCACCGCATCCGTGTCCTCCCTGGCTCGAACTCTATTAAATCGACTACACACGGCCTTTCGAAGGTAACTGTAACGCAGCACTTTATCATCCTTTCCTCTCCAGTCTCTACAAAAGCGTGGTCAATGATGCCCTCATGCTGCCCTAAATGAAGTGTCGAGTTAACTGTTGGCATACCCCTTTCGCACCGGTGACAGGAGGTGGTGCACACTTGTCACCTGGGCCTCTGTGGAATTGCACGTGGTAGGAATAATGCTGGATAACTTTATCTTTTAGGCATGTTGGATAAAGATACACGCATTTAAAAAACTCGCCAACTCGTGCAGTCCTCAACCACCAGTCTGTCTAGCTGATGAGGTAAAATCTGAGCTCGCGCTGTTCATAGAACTGCCACAGAATTCATGAAACACGGGTTCGGCACTCGAAGGATGACTGCCGTGGTACAAGTCCACGCTGGTGGCAGTGAAGCTGCCAGCTGAAGAGCGAGGCGTGTCAGCTGTGGGGATAAGCATGCGGCGTATGGCTGATGCATCTTCCAGATCGCTGAGGTCCCAGGACGCCAATTCGCTGTGTTCAGAGTCACGCGTCAGCGAAGTCTGTGTATCGGGGTGAGATGGAGAAATGACAAATTCTGCATCGGTCTCATAGAAGCCATGTGGGTCCGCAGTCGGTTCAGAAGCGAAACGCACTTTCCTCCTTGCGCCTTCTGAGGCAAGATTTGATGACACTGCAGAAGGCAACGCGGCCTGCTGAGTGGCGTTGCGAGCCTTCTCCTTGTTTTGCACTGCCTCGGACCTCTGCAGTTCCACCCACCAAGCAGGTTGCGCCTCCTCTATGGGCGGCTCCTGAAAGACAAGCAAAAATGTACCAGGGATTTTGCGCGGTGCAGGCACTTCGTTGGCAGTACTAAGACGCCTTAGTTGGACCTCTTCTGTACGTTTCAGTGGATTTTGAAGGGAAAATTGCCTCACCGCACACACTCCCAGCCATCTGACTATCGTTAATGGGTCCATTTATGCGAACAACTCAGCTAGAGCCTGTGGTGCTAAATGGGAAGCCTCGTCCCTGGGAGAAGTCAGGGGAAATCAGGCTGAAATGTCAACCTTTAAAACTTTGAGAGCATTAGTGGATATTTCTTGTGTCGTAGTGCGTGTGCAATCTACTATCAAACCGAGCATTGCCGGCCAGCTTCCGAAGTAAGACCACAGAACATGCAGCAAGAACAAGGTGCCATCCGTCGGGTGCACTGCAACTTCAGCAAGGGAAGAAAATACCGCTTTCCACGCCGTGGGGCCTAGGTTCGGCTTCAATTCAGTTTGAGCTTGCAGAGCACTAGCTCCCGACCCCTTCGCTACCAGCCGGATAATATTTTAAGAAGGGATCCCAATAATCTCCATACGTCTCCCTTGAGATACTCCGAACTCCTCTATTTATCATAAGGACGCAAAAAAAACGAGAAAGCAGGGACACGATGATGTGGGAGCTCAGTCGTGCCCACTAGCCTGCTGTAGTCTGCTTTGTGGGTGCAATACTGTCCGCCAGAGCGCCACACACCCTCAAAACAATTTTTAGTGCTGAAATATGAGTGTTTTTGTGCCATTCAGGTAAAAGGATGAAAAACAACACGGCGAGGTGTCGTGAACGGCAGTCGGGGCGAACGGAGAAGCGCCTTTCGTCTGCTCAAAGCATTTCACAGCCTGTGTGCTTCGAAAATTAGAGAAAACATGAAGTAAACCCATTTCAAAAAGGCGTGGAAGGCTTCTAGTACAGCAGCCCAGGGAAGAAGGAGAGCCGCGTGCAGCAGCGCTCCTGTTGTTGAAAGTCGTGGGGCCCTCGGTCGCTGTACGCTGGTCCTTAAAATACTGAAAGTCGCCATCAAAACCTAACTTTATATTGCCAGATTAGTCAACAAGAATGCATAACAGCTCATGCAAGTGGAACTCTGCCCACCATGGGGACAGTCTCCCTGCATTACCCAGTGGACTGCCGCCAACTACATACTACTAGCATTTGGCATTGCCCTCTGAAATGGGGGAATCGCTACGGAACAATTGCAAGCTCATTTTTGGAATATCAGTATGAACTAGAGAGGAACCTATCTGAAGTGTTTTACTGGACGGACCGGGCTACATTCAGAACATCAAAATCATGCAAGGCGAATGGATACCGTACATGAAGTGGGAGGCAGCCGCTACACATTCATCACCTACCTCGAATTGTTTCTTGTCTGGAACTGCAGCTCTTTAATGGAACAATGATTTTTCCGAGGGTCTGTCCAGTTTCCAGCTTCGCTGCAAGAGGTTGGCGGAAGATGACGAGAGGGCGCCTTCCTCGGGCAGATCACTGTGGATGCAGGGTAGGAGAGGTTTGCTCTTTTCCTTGCGCCTATCTCACAAGCAAGCCTTTCGGCTCTTCATATCCCAATGAGCCCCCCCATTGAGTCCCTGCATAGGAACCCTAAAAGTGTTGTAGCAGAGACATTGGTACTGTACCATTCAAAACGCCCTAAAGCTAGCGTCGGATGGTTGTGTGTGCTGCAAGCACTCTCATATAGCACAGGAAATTATTTTATGTAATCAATCGATGACGAGGGCTTTGACAAAGAGACCCATGGAGCCATTCCTCCTACTCACGCGTGTTCGCAGGAGGCAAAGAAAACATGGTGGCGAAGAGAGTTGCATCGAAGGTAAAGCACTCCCCTTGTGGCTACATGTTCGCCTCACAACATATCAGCTCTATTTAACAAATGCTGCTTAGGTACACATGCAGACTATAGAACATTTGCCAAAGTTGAAAATACGTGCACAACCGCCGTCATTGAGAACGCCTCAAGCTAGCATTTCAGTCGCCTCTCTTAAGCCCCTGAGGGCTGGTCTTCCATAGAAAGGTATCCTCATCAAAGTTGTAATAAGTATCGTTCTGGACTCTTGCCTGCTCCCGTAGTTTTTGCTTCGCCAAGTATTGTATGGGCAAGAGATTGGCTAAATGCTGAATTGCCGGGCTCCTGGATGGACCGGACCAGCCCTCAGGGGTCTAAGAGAGGCGATCGCAGTGCTAGCTTGAGGCGTTCTCAATGACGACGGTTGTGCACGTATTTTCATCTTGAGTACCGAATGTTCTATAGTCTGCAAGTGTATCTCCTATGCTCGGCTGAGGTCTTGAGAGGATTTTGCAAGCAGCAAAATGATGGCTAAGCATCTATCTGTGCTGTTGCTTAATCAGCTGTCTTCGAGCAAGTTTTGGTACATCGCATAGTAGAACATTCTGCATCCCCTAAGGTCGCATCAAAATAGGGTTTTTCTTTTCTTCTGGGGGCGCGAGGAAGGGGAACGGTGCATTATGGTACAGCAGCTGTCAAACAGCGGCAGATGCGGCACTCCCTACAGAAAAGCAGGCATAGCAACTTGGTTTCTACCTGTGAAACCTCTTGTCGGCGGATAACATAAATGTTTCAGTTTGCAATCCAGTGCGAAGTTGGAGAAGTTGTAGCTGCCTGAACGTGCAATGAGTGCGTTAGGATGTCACTTTTTCATCCTATCCCTGCAGGCGTAGAATGGTTTTGCTCGGATTAAGCAGACTCTACATAATTTCACAATATCGTTGCATCTAATATGGCCTGATAGATTGTGCCTGCTCTGTCCAGCGAATCCGAGGGCTCAAAGAAGCTCGAACGGGAGCAGCCAAGTGTCCAGGCCGATACTTATTACAGCTTTGATGAGGATGCCCTTTTTTGGGAGAACGCCTTTACAATTTGAGCAAGCAGCCTGTTCCTATTTGGTTGGAAATTTCACCAACAGCGTGCGGCACAGTCTACGGATCCCAGGGCACCTACACCCGGGTGGCTGGGCCCTACAGAAATCTACTGTGTTGCATGAATCCGCCCCTAATATTTGTGATTTTATGCTAATTTTTGTGATTGGACCTCTGTGTGGTGCCGCTGTGTGGTCATGCAGCGAACCGGAGTCTCGATTGTGGCGAGTGGTCGCTAGCTCGGAGAGCTCGTGTCTCTGCAGATGTGCAATGAGAATTTCCATCCGTTATCGGAAATGTACTAAATATTTCATCAACTATAAGGTATTTTGTGCCATACATTGGCTGAGTTGGTAGAATAGCAGAGCTTTCTTCGAGCTCGTGGCGACCTGTGATTCCCGCTCGGCAGCGGTCACATGAAGACAGCTGATGGAACATCTGCTCGCCATGCACAACGACCTATGTACAATGGTGGCGTTTTGAATTCTTGGCGATTAGCTTAAAAGACTTTCAGCCAGAAACAACAGATGCGGCCCACCTGGATCTCAGGCGTCACTGCGTTTGCCGCATTTCCTCGCACCGAAGAGGGCAGATCGTCACGGTGCTCTTCTGGCACGGCTCCACCGGAAAATTTCGGTTTTTTCACCTTCTACCAGTAGTAACTCAGTTGGTATTTACACAGGCCAGTGAAAACCCCATAACTCAGGCTGCAAGCCCCTCGTTCGCCTTGTATTCGACGTTTATTCTCTCGGCAGCGGCAGCAACAGCACCTGCAACAGTGAATCTTCTTCCCCTCTTCATGTTTCACCATCGACCGCAGAGAACGTTTTGACTCATTCCCTTTTACTTCATTGCAGTGGTCTCAACAATGATGATCAGGCCGACGATGGTTGCCACGCAGAATCGGTGCATAGATTCGCCAGTCTGGGGGCGCACCTATTCGCCTGCAGACTTTCCGAAACCTGATCAGAGCAAGGCAGCCTCAGGAGGCCTACAGACAGGTGCTGACGGCAGTGTGCAGCTCAGAGCCAGTAATTCAATGCCATGTGGCTTCCCGTGGTACGGGTTTAAGCAAGAGCCGCCGCCTCACTGCCCGCCGCAACACGCGAACTCAGACGTCCTACCACAAGCATACATCCTTCAGGAGAGAGCTACACGAATGTGGAGGAGCCAGGGGAGTGTCTCTTCTCGAACTGGAGAAACTCCCTGTGCGTACGATGGGTACACCTCCCGATCAAGCGTTGTTTCATACGTTCCCCCCAAAGACGTTAGGAGGGCTTGTCGTGCCCATATTCTCAAGCAGACGTCCCTACCAGAAAGACCAATCATTTCTCAGAATTATAATCTCAGCGGCATATCAGTGGTTCCAGAAGCAACGGGGCCTGATAAGGTTGCTGGTCCTCCGGTCCGACGCGTTGAGCCACCGGTGTTATTCAGCTCCTTTTTCGACAGAATGCAACTTGATCACATAGTTGCGGCTAAGGACAAGATATTGAAGAAGGTCAAGAATCGGGATGTCGAAGGAGCTGCCAGTTTGGAAGCCTCATCCGACCCCAGCATATCTGACGACGTGCGTAGCATGCGAGACCCAGCGATGCAGTTCATGGGAGCAGTGGACCTTCGCAGTCTGTACAACAGATACCAGAAAAGTGAGGAAATCCGAGCATCGATGAGTGATAGAGAAACTTCGGCATCTCAAGTCACAGCGGAACCGTCCCCTCCCGCATCTGACTCAGAGATTGAGACTCATGTGCCAAGGGAGAAAGTTTTCCGGACTGAAGCCGCCGCCCGGCTTGCTGCCTCACCAGCGCCAGGTAAGATATCTTCGCATGCTGTTACTACTGCTGGGATGCGTGTTGTGAGCGCGTGGCCAAAGCCTGCTGAACAGCATCACTTGTCCAGACGCCAGATGTTGCAGAGGTCAGGAACCCAGCCACGGCAGTCAAGGTCCTCAAGTCGTCGTGTTTGCCGAATCACCTATCGACGTCGGGACGACGCAAAAAGCCCACCTCCTGACCTTCCCCGTCACGCGCTGAACCAAGTTGCAGTGGAAGGAACGTATACACACATGATTCCCGTTTCTGGAAACGGGAATATGAAGGGGCTGGTATCATGTACTCCGTATTCCTGGGTAGCCAAGGGTCGCCATCCAGAGCAAACGTCCGCTCGCGTCGTTGAGTCCATGGGCTACCGCTACTTTGTGTTCAATCTTCCGGAGAATGAGATGATTCGCAGCGTTGATTTCACTTTGAAATCGTGCATCAGCCAAGGCAGCTTTGGCACAGTATACAAGGCCGTCTGGAAGGGTGAAGTTGTGGCTGTAAAACAAGCCCACGGCAAAATGACGTTGGAAGCCATGAGATCAGTTGCGAGGGAAATAAACTCCTACCGCATGATTCAACACCCTTTTATTGTCCGTTATTACGGTGTCTGTATTGATCAGAACTTTGTGGGGTTAGTGACAGAGTATCTAGATGGGGGGAATATTTTCGACATTTTGTATGAGAACAAAGCAAACATTCCTGCGGATATTCGACTCAGAATGTGCAGGCAGCTTATAGAGGCGGTTCACTTCCTACATACGGAGAAACGCCTAGTCCACAGAGATCTTAAGACAGCTAATCTTGTTGTTGACAGCGAGGTAAGTATGAATTACTTTTGAGACATATCTCCTGCATCTCCGTATGTTGACTGCTAGCGAATATGGATTGGCCACTCGTACCTCATTGAGCTGCCATTTTAAGGGTTTTTCCTTTGACGTGGCCACTTAGTCCCTCACAGGTTAGCAACCGTGCTCGCCTCGTGGACTAAATTATCTTCCCTCTCGGTGGAAAACATCTGTGGTGCTCAATCTATTTGTGCAGTACAATATTCGGCTATGCGACTTCGGCAAGACAAGGTCATTAGAGCAACACGGGAAGCTCAAGCTGGAAGACAACGGAGGGTCACCCCGTTACATGGCTCCTGAATGCTTCGTGGAAGGAAATTACGTGGATGAGAAACTCGATCTTTGGGGACTGGCGTGCTGCCTTATTGAAATACTTGGGGGTCCGATTCCGTTTGAGGACATCCACTCCAACGAAGGTACGTTTTTTCCGTCGCAATCCAAATGAACAGTTGCACATGCCACAGGGAAGTTTGGGTAGAAACTGCTGCAAAAGCTGACTGATGCGCATGCTCAGGAGTCATACACGCGCTTTTGTACAACCGCCGGAAGCCGACCGTTCCAGCTTGGTTTCATCCAGTTGTACGCTCCACACTGGACAGCTGCTTTGCATGGAACCCATGGGAACGTCCTGATACTCTATATATTAAAGATGTGTTCTCCAAGTTGACACCTGGGGAACTCAACAAGTATGGCATGAATCTGAAGAGAGCATTTTGTTGAAAATACCAATATGAGCGCACCAGCGCGCGCTCGAATTTAATAACTCCCCCCATCTGGCTAGCTGAGCTGGCCCAATTCCAACTGTCAAAAGACATTTTTGATTTGCACTACAAGCTTTAGTACTTTAAAAGTGCGCTTGCTGCGATTCATCCCTCCCTAGAATTCAAGTACCCCACATCCTTAGCACCCTTCCAACGAAACCCCCCACCTCCAAACAGTAATGATAGGCATCCTTAGCATCACTCAAACGAAACCCCCCACCTCCAAATCCACCGGAACCCCTTCTGCCCCTAATATGCAGTTCTTCGACTATTCTGCTACGTGAAAGGGAGGTAAAAACTCGGCGTGCGATTACTAAAGCGGCATTGCAGCCCCCACCCCCCACTTCGTCGTCTGTAGAGGCGATACTGGTATATATGCAGTTGAATCCCGCACTGATCCATGGTGATGCTGGATGACTCTTCTATACAGGTACCTAGGCCACCGACGCACCCTCCCCAGCCTTATTCTACTGCTTAGTGCATCGAAAAGCACCAGTCCTGAGACCGGTCGCCAATACATAGTCGTCTGTACAGCGACGCACAACTATCTGCCAACAGTGCCACTGTGCTGCCTAGAAGCTAACCCGCATAATACTCTGGCCTCAGAGCAAATATCTGCGCACGCTTCCTACTCTCGTTCCCCCGCACGTTGTGATACATTCCTAGTCTGCTACAGGTGCACTGCTCCCTAAGCCTTGCACACAGCGCCTCCTAAGTCTATGTAGTTTCAACAACTGCGATGCGCATGCTCTCAAGTAGAGTTGGAAGGAACACGGGAAGCCAGCAGACTGAGCTTTGAGGGCCCCAACGTTGCCGTAAATGCACGGAGCGTCTCCCTAGCCCCTCGCTGCGTTTCGTGAAGCGCAACAATGCACGAACCAGCCTGCAAGGCTGCCAATAGAGGGGCTGCCACAGCTATTGCCACCCCCATCTTCCCACCATGCGGACAGCTAAGCTTGTAGCCAGAACCCCATCTCGCGAGGTCTTCATGGGTACAGGCGCTCTTAGCGCCTGCCTACAAAAGTCTCAACCCCGGACTTTCCTTCTGTAAGCTACTACTCAGTATGTCGCGCTCTGTCGAGCCCAGTTGGGGGGGCCCAACGCCAGGCAGCACACAAGAATGCGTTCATGTTGTGGCAATGTGGAATGGGTTGGCCGTGAAGAAGCTACGCAAGCTATCACCCGATATGTTACTGCGTCTAGAAGCACTTGCGGTGTACAATGCTCGGCCCAGATTCGTCGTACTCCTCCTTCGTGATCCACATCTGCTGGAAGGTGGAAAGGGAAGAAAGGATGGACCCTCCAATCCAGACGGAGTACTTACGTTCGGGCGGTGCGACCACCTTGATCTTCATCGTGGAAGGGGCCAAGGAGGTAAGCTCCTTTGTCAGACGTTCGCCAATCCCTTCGTACATGGTGGTACCGCCGGACAGCACAACGTTGCCATATAAATCTTTCCTGATGTCCACGTCGCACTTCATGATGGAGTCGAAGGTGGTGCGGTGAACACCAGAGGCCTCCTTGCCCAAAAAGGAAGGCTGGAACAGAGCCTCGGGGCAGCGGAAGCGCTCATTACCGACCGTAATAATGTTGCCATCAGGCAGCTCGTATGACTTCTCGATGTCACTCGAGTCCTCGGCATTCTGCAAAGGACACCAACGCACAACCAGCCAAATACAAAATAAACCGCCACTTCAAAAGTGCACGAGGGCAGTGGTCGAATGCCGTCATCAGCTGCCAGCTGCTCTGCACAACGCACCTTCATCTCCTCGTCGAAGTCGAGCGCAATATAGCACAACTTTTCCTTGATGTCGCGCACAATTTCCTTCTCTGCTGTGGTGGTGAAACCATACCCACGCTCATGAAGGATAGTCATCATGTACTCCGTCAAGTCACGACCGGCAAGGTCCAACCGCATCATCGCATGCGGCAGCGCATAACCCTCATAAATAGGGACAGTATGCGATACACCGTCGCCAGAATCAAGAACGATACCTGTTGTTCGACCCGAGGAGTACAGAGAGAGCACGGCCTGGATGGCGACATACATAGCGGGAACGTTGAAAGTCTCGAACATGATCTGAGTCATGCGCTCACGATTCGCCTTCGGATTGAGAGGTGCCTCAGTAAGGAGAACAGGGTGCTCCTCAGGTGCGACACGCAGCTCATTGTAGAAAGTGTGGTGCCATATCTTCTCCATATCATCCCAGTTGGTAACAATGCCGTGCTCGATGGGGTACTTCAGAGACAGAATGCCTCTCTTGCTTTGAGCCTCATCACCCACATAGCAGTCCTTCTCCTCCATACCAACCATAATACCAGGGTTCTTGGGGCGGCCAACTATTGAAGGGAACACTGCGCGAGGCGCATCATCACCTGCAACTCCGGCCTTCACATTTCCGGATCCGTTGTCCACGACGAGAGCTTGGACTTCCTCGTCCGCCATTTTCGCTCAAAAGGAAATTTTAAGAAGAGTTGTGGCTAAAGCACCCAAGCACACGTAGACAAAAACCTGCGCGGTTCCACAAAGCGCGCACACAGCAATACCGAATGGCGAGTCAAGAATGATGACCAACTCAACCTCCACTGCACTGACATATCGAAAGTACAACCAAAGCAAATATATTAAAAATATTCTACCCACGCAATATCCTTCGTTTTATTACCCACTGCTCACCAACCACGGGAAGCGCACACCAAGCGGAAGTGTCAGACCAGCATCCATGCAAACTGTGCGTGAGTGCAAGGAAGTGCAATTCTCTACTTACCTGCAGCACTAGTGCCCAGGGGAACGCAGATGTGCAAATGATGATGAGCAAAACCGTAGTAAAATGAAGCCACTTTCGTTGCGAAAGATGCAGATAGTTGATGGGGGAAGGTGTGCCTGCAGAACCGCCGCTAGGCGGGCCAGAGGGGCTGGTGTGCTGCTGCCAGCTGAGCACGCCGTACTGCCTGCTGCAGCTCGCTTGATGGCCATGACAGCTTTCACCGATTTAGTGGCTATTACTTAAGTGGATAATTATTTATACTTTTCGGCATGATTACTCCGTTTTTTAAACTCTTGTCCCTGGACCGATGAGCAAATGTTTGGCTCGCCTGGCGAATGAGACCGTAGATGGTGAGTTGCGAGCATTGGCGGCGGGAAGCCATGCTTTTCTACAGGGATGCGTGAGCTGAGTGGGTATAAATAGGAATTTATTTTATTTTCTGAAAGGCGCTCATAAAGAAAGCGGGTTTGGATGCTTCTGAAGCCCGCGTTTAGCGGTCTGCTGCACACTTCATGGCTATGTGTGTGGTGGTGCTGCTGGGCTTCCAGTGAAACCCCTTGCGGGGTTAACGCACACTGCAGCGAATTGGAGACTGAACGCTTCCTGCTACATTGGAAGAACATTATGGTTTACATGCTGATTGTGTGGCCTATACACTAGGAGGAAAGCAGGGTCGTCGATGATGCGGCGCAGTAGATAGCAAGATTCCTCGTCCGTAGCCATGGATTGTCATGAGCCGCATCAGACCCAAACGGTTTTTTAGAGAGAGTTCCCAAAAAGAATCTGATACCTTTTCCGTGCTCCAAGCCTCCTGTGCGCTGGAGCTGGTGAGGAAAGGAGGCGGCCCGCCAGGAGTTGCAGGACAGTCTGCTGCAACTCTTGCTGCAAGGCAGCCCCCACATGGAAGCACACCGAAGCCCACTTTTGTTCGTGCACTAACACTGCAAACAACTGTTTCACTTAGTTTGCCTTCACCGCATGGGTAGTGTCCAACGATAGTGCATGAACGCTTGGTTTGCCCTTGTAGGCAACCTACCACGGAAGCAGAAGTACAACTATTGTCTACTGCATTGGAACAGAAAGCAGTAGTGTGGTTGGTTATGCTTTCATGTGAATCGGCCTTGCAGCATTAGTTGCCTCAAGATGCGTCGCAACCCGTAGCCGCTGCGCTCAGAAGGTCTGTACAATAGGTTTGTTGGTTGAAGCCAGTTGATCGATTGCAGCGACGATCCTCACATAAGATTGCGGGCTCTAGTGATGGCGCGCAAGTAGAAGTGCTTGCAACAATTTCACGCAGATTATGCCCCGCCTCACGCCGCGCAGTGTACTCCGTCGTCGGCTTGGGTGCCAAACTAGAAAGGGGTGCATAGAAGAAAAGGAGGAAATCAAGGGAACAGCCGGAGCCTCAAGCGCAGAAAAGAATGACAAATGAACAAGGCGACCGGCATTTGCCGTTGCTGTATTTGCTCCTGCTGGCTCGCATCTCACTCCGCTGCCCGCCCGTTCCGGGGAGTTGGCACTAGTCAACCAAGGCAATGTGCTTCTTGTTCCTCAGCTAAGAATTGCATTTTATTGCATGCATCCCAGCCTAGTCACAAGTATGAAGTGGACCGCTGCACTCTGAGCGCAACATAAATGCACGTGCGAGCAAGGGTTTCGCTCAGCCCCCATAGTCCAAAAAAAGTGAAAGCATCGTCTTCCTTAGCTACGGGGCCGGGCTAGCAGCACGTGGGATTGGCGTACATCATACGCCAGAGAGAAAATAAAAACAGCGCGGGAGATCACATGGAGATGAGTAGGAGTTCCTTTGTAGGTGTGCCAGAGCCAATGCCTACACATACAGTCTCACTTTAGCTGCCCTGTGCATGTCCAGGCTGTACTCTCCTCCGCTGTCTAGGATGGCCCTTAGGTGCTCCTGAGGAATTTCTTCGCAGAAGCGATCCTCAAAAATCCACTGGTTATCGGTGTCATTCCATTCTAACGTAATCTTCACATGATTTGGGGCCTCTGCACGTCGTTACACATGTACCAGGCATGGCGTAGCAGGAGAGTATTTGTTGAGTTTGTCGAGTCCTCTGGTTAATGCGAGAGCGACCCCCCAATCGCTATCTCACTAGCTTGTCTGGGGAAGAAGGAGGATTCGTCGAATTTAGAAAGCGCAGCTCCTGGAGACGATGTAGTGTAGCTGGTGAGACTAGAGGCGGCATCTATCTAACGATGCTGTTTATCATTATTGAATAGTTCGTTTCTGTGGACGGCGCTGCGAGCAAGGGCGGTTAAAGTGGTAGTATTCCCTGCGATCAGTCGATTTCTTAGCGTCCGCGGAAGTGTACAGGGGAAAAGGGCACCCCCGAGTGGCCTATGGATTCGCCGAAACATTTTTTAACATCTGAATATGAATAAGAAGCCAAGCATTTTCATGACGAACGGATACTTTGGTGCTTCTGCGAACTCCTGCTCCTCATGCAACAGTCGCAGATGACGCCGCAGGCGCTGAAAGCGCTCCTGGGCATTTTGGCTTAATACAAGCCCACTGCTCATTGAGATAAGTCTCCAGACCCCATTGATTATTACCACACAATCGTCAATTGCCTGCCGCTGCAGTTCCGTAGGTGCATTCATGAGCCCAGAAGGCAAACAGGTGTAGCCTACGTTGCGGATGAAGGTATGGAACGCAGATTCGGGCCCTGCTTCATGGCTCAAAAACCGCGTCAGCGGAGCTAAATAATCTGCAGACTGCAAACCCTTGCAGAAGTGGCTCCAGTTTGCTGATCCGGGGCATCTCAAAGCTTTGCTTTAGAGTGGTTTTGTTGGGGGAAATGAACGCTGGTCAGACGCGTTGCCTTGATCTCCCTTTCTTTCTCATCCCCGGAACCGGACCGTGTTAAAAACTCTAGTTCACGATTAGGGGCTGCCATTGTTCAGCAGTTCATCTGCTTACCTCCACATACCTCCTTAAGATACGGAGCTGGTCACAATCCTTGGGGCTGCGCAGGGAACGAATTCAATGCGGTGCATTGGGCGTACAGTGGGGGGCAGGCCCCACAGAATCGGCAGAGAAGGAACCAGTTTTCATGAATTGTTTCCGTGTGTGTGTGAGGGAGCAGGTCCTTTTCCGACATCATTACTCGATAGGAGAAAAGGCTGAATTCTTTATCCAGGTCGGAAGAGGTCTATATGAGGGCACTTTCTTTTCCTCCGCAAGGCGCCTTTGCGCCTATTAGATTTGGCACATTTGCGCCTAATCTGTGATATATGCAGGGCTAAGCAGGTGTGGGTGTGGGTTTCGGAGCTACCGCCTCGTCCTGTACCCCCTGCGCTGCTACTGGGTGTGCTGGCACACCCTCGACACAAGATAAGTACCCCCGAGGGCTGCAAAAAAATCAACATAATTCAAATATTAGTTCTTGAAAAGGCAGCGTACCTCCTTTTTAGTCTGTAGGCATCCAGGGGCAGCAACGTAAGGATCCAGGGATGGAATGATGAGGACGCTGAAATACTTGAAATATGCAAAGGGCAAGGCAGCTCCAGGGAGATCCAATTCCCCCCTTTTGATGCTTGAAATAACGCTGCAAACCTTTGTTAAGCACTTACATGGCCCTCAGTAGCTACCTTGCGCGCAAGTAGAAATACGTGTTCCTGCTACACCAGCACCTCTAACACCCCTGGAAGATCGAATCAGCAGCTTCTCAGCACGTTGCTCAAATCGCCTTGCCCCTCTAGAGCAATGTTAACCTGATCCCACGTCTAAATACCCTTCAGTGTGGTATTGATGTCACTCTTCCATCACTGCCTCTCCACAAATGACCTCATTACAGTAACGAAAGAAAAATAAATTTGTCTACTAGTATTACAACATATTTTGCCTTTTGCCTTGATGCAGCTTTTACGAGAAATTCAAGAGGACGCAGATCCTATAGTAGCTCGCAAGGTGCGAGTTAACGCATAGCCCCTCACGAAGCAAACCTCTGAGCCCTGGACACTGTTTTCGTCCTAGTATATGGCGAAGCCATTTATTGCGTTCGCAAAATCTGGCATGTTTCGCCCCGTGCCAAACTTGAGCCGTTGTTCCTTTTCCTAAACGGGCACATTTCTGACATTCTTCAACAGCCAGATTCCGCACAGCCAATGAAAGATGGTTACAGCAATGCTTTGCTGTCCCTAGCCATCAAGAGTAGGTCATCTTGCGATCTGGAACGGTCTATCACAAGTAAGAGAGTTGTAATAACGGAGCGGCACAACCCATATGCTACCCACCGGGAGCTCTGGGGGAAGCGCATTGCTCAGGGCATTGCAGGTTCTTATTTTTCAGACTGGAAGGCCGCAGCTTCTATTCCGCTCATAATCCACAAGACCTCTCGTGGTTTACCTACGTAGGTGGCGATTCCTAAAGCAGGTGCAGAAATGAACAAACACTTGATGCCCGTCCACTTTAGTGCACACACAAGTTGTGCCTCTTCTCTATTGAACGACAGTGGCAGAAACCCTCCGCGCGAGCATGTTTTCGGGAGCATCTCTCAATTGGGATTTATTGCTAGTTGCATAGCTGGACCGAACAATTCTCATGAAGCAGCTTGCTTCGCTTATATTAACAATCATTTACCTCCCAGTCTCGCCAATCACTCAAGTTTGCCTCAGTCATTTACACTACAATTCCACAAATGGGCGTCATTTTGATATTCTTTGCTCACATAATCCGGGAATGTATACATACGCTTCAGGTTTGTGCGCCCCTTTTCTAAGCACTGTATTCTACCTGCACATTATTTTCACACTGAATATGGGTGCATGCTTGCTGTAGCGTATAAAGCATGACTGTTGCTGTCCCCTCCGACGTTGGGCAACCACTCTAAGAAGTGCAAAGAAAACCTAGTGTAGTGCGGCCAGATGGTACGTATGATCTTGGGGATGTTGGGCCCCTTGCACACCAGCTGATCTTCGCGTTTTTAAATAGGACGAAAGTACTAAAGGGTTTTGCGGAGCTGCTCTCCGTGTCAGCGAGGTAAAAAAAGTAGACTGCATCTGGGCATGCCTTATCTGGACAAAACGAATGCTGCCACTCCCGTCCTCGCCCGACCAGGGATGGCTTTATTGGCCACTACAGTTTTGGGCAGTTTACTTTTGCTCTCCTGGTAATATGTTGTGCCAACTGAAAAGAACATAAGCTATCATAGCCAGCTACCCTCCTGCGCGTAGGAAAAAGTGTTGTAACCTTTTTAAAAAGGACATTTATGGCACGAACGTTCCTTTTGAGCTTCCTGTTATCCGTGGAAATTGGTGACCCGCCACGCCGACGAGGTAGCCTGTCAATCGTAGACCTAATTAGATTTTTCAAGTTAAGAATAAAATATTTAATGGATATGCCTTACTAGCACAGTTTGTTTTCCACTGTGGGGCTGGCCTCCTCTTTGTGCTCTCCTTTAGTGCATAGCTGCTGACTGCTGTGTTTGTGCACAACTTTGGTGGATCCCCATCATTTTTAATGGTTCTCCTTCTAACTGATGTTTATTACATAGAATGTTTAATTAATGCGTTTTTTGGGCTAAACTGCAAGCTCATTTAACGTGGTAAGACCTGAGTAGGCCCCGGCTCTGTTGACAGATCTTACGGAACCACGGCCATGTGGGCCCCTCTAGCCAGCTCATTGGTTAACCCTAGCCTTTGTTAAGGCCTGCACGTATTCGCTGTCAAACTTATTCCCCAATCCGCATTTATCCCTTTGGGTGTAGTGCGTGCGTCGGGAGATTTCTGAGGCACTTGGGCAAGGGTGGCTGAATGGGCCCATGGCTGTGGCCTGGCCCTGTGCAGTCTTATCATTATCGCTTCCCTCGTAGCAATGGGAACGGCGTTAGTCAGCATACAGAACTTCTGCCAGTAGGATTAAGAATATCATTCTCCCCAAAGGGTGTGCGTGAATCTATCCTTAAGGCACCAACGTGTCCTGCGCCTTTTTAATTGCCCGCCATTTCCCAAGTCCCTTTGAACGTTCCGAAGAGAGTAGGTGAAAACATGGCGTATAGTCCATCTTGCAGGGATGCATATAAAGGCGGGCTTTGCCGTTTTTTGGCCTCGTCTCGTTTTGGAGCGACGTCCGCAAGTGTCGAGGCTGATGCAACACAGAGTGTTCCTAGATACGCTCTTCCTGAGGATACGCTTAAGCCAACTAGAAGCCTAGTCTCATCTTTTGTTGCCTGTGACATGCCACTTATCCCGTTCAGCAGCCCTGAGCACTCTCCAGCAGCCAGTACGATTCTATCACCTCCGGTGACCAGCCAGCATTCAACAGATAATATCTTATCTTCGGCTTCCGCCCCATGGTTCCAGAACCCAGCAGTTCCTTCAAGATATTGTGAAGGGCAGACACAAAAATACGGCTCCGAACATGACTCCAACTGCAAATCATCAATATTGCCGCCTTCTTCGTACGCGAAGAGCAGCTCGTATCCAGGGCAGAAACTTGTGCTACCCGCCCTAGCTGAGGCCTCTGCAGAAGAGTGCACCAGCGACTCATCTGTCTCCACAGCTGGAGAAGCTACAGACTGTGCCCCTAGCAGATGGCTCGAAAATATGTCCACTGAAAGTTCTCAAGACATCACTATCGAGAAAGAGTTATTTTCCCCCACAAAGTATCACAAAGTGGCAACCAAACGAATGGCATTGATGCAGATTGAGGAGTGTCCAACGAAAGCCAGCGCACGCTCTTTATTTTGGCCTCTGCGGAACTCCAATACCACGCAAGCCGCCTCACCTTCATGGACCTCTTCCTGTGAAAAGACGATTCCTGGCGGATTGCATAGCCAGTGGAATGTTATGGACCTATCTAGAGAACAAGTGGATTGCAATTCACTTGCAAAGTCGCCATCACTCTGTGAAAGCATTGAAACATTTGCCGCTAGTGCTAGACTGGCAAAGGGAGGAATAGGAATTCGCAGTGGGAGTGCTCTGCCATCTATGGAGTATCTAGACGATGCTGACGATGGACGGGCGTGGCTGGATCATCTAGAAAAGCTTCGTGGCGGTGCCCCGAAGGAAGAGTATAAAAGGGAGAGGTCGCGGGTAGTCGATGCGCTCATTCGAAGAGCAGCTACATACCCGAAAGTTTCCGGAATATACTTTGACAAACATCAGGTAAGCATTCACGCTTTTGAACCCGTGGGTACAAAAGCCGTTGGCAACAGTTGCCTGAAAAATGTCTGCTACTGATTTACCAGCATACGCGTCGTTAAATACTTCCGCAGGTTTTCAGGACGGCGGTACGTACTGCCGTATCATTGTCGATTATATTTCTTCGCAGCTCCGTTGGTCGGTTGGTTGGGCCCACAATGGCCGAAGAGCAGCAAAGTACTTTCCAGTTAAACTTTTCGGGATGCGTGAGGGATACGACATGGCTGTGAGCTTTAAATCCACTAAAACTGTACCTCTGGAGCCGTCAACACCACTTCTGACGAATTCAATACAAGCAGCAGACGGACCAGCCAGCACTGCAATGCGCAGTGAGAACGGGTCCACCAGGTCAATAATGGCAGGCGGTCCAGCAACTCGCGTGGAAAAGTCTTTGGTTTCTTTCACAGCCGATGCTCCGGTCGCTTTGTCTCTTCAGCCACAGCCAGAAATTGCAGGGGCCACAAGTCTGTGCAGCCGCACGTGGCAAGAAAAGTTTCGACTTTTCTCACCGTGCTATTCAGAGATACCCCTGGCTGCATCATGTCTCATGCTGACGCCGGACAGCCAGGCATCGTCGGATGGAAAAATTGCAGAAATTTCAGCCACCACAACTACTAGAACAGGCGTTCAAATTCCCAGCGGTAGACCTGAAAGAGTGATACCACCATCGCAACCAATTTCCTGCACTGCTGGCAGTGACAAGGAGGAAAATACTGGCCGAATGCCAGATGCTCACGCTTCAGCTCCCAGCTCTCCTGGCCGTACTGCTGACACCACGGTGCATAGTTTACCTTGTTTGCGGCCACCTCACTCACAGTGGCCGTTCACCTCAGTGTCTGAGATAGACCAACTTAAACTTTCGGCTCACTTCACTGCTACCGGTGGGAAAATGGGACCACAGTCAGTAGTGGAAGGCCGGTTTTTGACTTCAGACGTCTGCTGCATGGATAGCACACAGGAATCCATGCCACAAGTGGCGGGAGTGCTCATGACAGCTCCACCGTTTGCTCCTCAGCATCCACATGATTCAGGTCAAACCAGGGACGGTGAAAAGCCACTTTGCTGTCGAAACCCCCTGGAATTGTGCGGTGTTAACAATAGTACGGAGGCAAGTGTCTCAGTCGTATCAGCAGCTTCCACGGTTGGCAACCCAGAGAGCACAGCTGCAACAAGCGACTGCAGCCCTCAAACCTCGTCATCAGCCGCTTACGGACAGGTCCGAGGGGCATATAATTCCGCAGCACGCTTTCCCTTGGCACCTCATCCAAACCAAGTGGGTTCACGCACAACAGCATGGTAAATCTGCTCTCGGCAACAAATATAGAAATCAAGTCGGTGCACTTTTCATTTAATTTTGCTGGTGGATCTTGGCCGTAACAACAAAGCTTGTGTGCGTAAAATGATGCGTTGCCCAGGCAACAGTGAGATCGCGTGCAGCTTTCCCTTCGTTTGTTTCCTTCTCCTCCTAACCAGCTCGTAGCCAGGTGTCCTTAGCATTCATGGCCTCAAACTACTCGACAATATCATGCCTGCCTCGTTCTTGAGTATATGGCACGTCGACGTATTTGCCTATCTTCAGGGTGGAACAGCGGGCTGGCCTAGTTGGCAGTCGCACGAACTTAATGAGCTAGGTGGGCTCAATGGGGAAGGGCCCTCTCAAGATGATGCCCCAGCTGTTGACCTTCCAGCAGCAATGAAAATGCTTCGACCCCCTTGCAATTCTATCCACGGTGTTAGTCCCTGTCACAGGGCACAGGTGCCAAGCCAACCGGTTATGAACGACCGAAAGGATGTGCTTCCATACCATCAGAATGTGTTGACCGGAAACTTTCAAGAGAGGGAGCTTCTCTTAGGAACAACTGTCAGATACGAGCGCCTACGGATGCACCACATTCAGCAGATCCACCACACGCCAGGTATCCATTTTGACAAGCACTCCCTCAGGTGGAAGGCAACGTGGTATGACATATCGGGGCACAGAAAGGCCAAGTACTTCCCCATAGGTGAGCTCCAAAAAGAGCCTCAGTACCCTCAGCCACCCTTCTCAGTAACCAAAATTCCTTGCAGCATTGAAGCTGAGCCTGCTTTTGTTGAAACTGAGGCAAACAACCGAAAACTCCTACTACAAGGCTACTAACATCAGATGTGCCTCCGCGTTACTTCAGCACGATACGGCTTTGATCGTGCGAGACTGCTGGCAATACATACGCGCCTGACAAACCACATACCGAGGGGATCCAGGTATAAGGAAAAGACCATCTCAGAAAGCCTGACGCTCCCAGTGGTTCCTCAGAAAGGGTCTGACATTCCATTCGGACAGAGTTCATCGTGCATCCCAGCTGCTGACTCATTCCCAGAAAGCAATACTGCTGTCGATTTGCCCTTGGGAAAGCAAGCCAATACACAGCACGACAGAATTGTACCCCGCAGCGCACTCGCATTGCCCAACTGTGAGCCTTCAAGAAACAGGGAATGCACGCAGGGGTTCATTGTTGAAAGCACTTGGGCGCAATTGCCTTTAGAAGATATAGTTTGTGTACATCTCGAAAGAGTGTCGAAAATGTCATGGTACTGGCTGCCATTTATTCCACTGCAGCAATTGGAACGATGCCAGACTCATCAGCCGACCGGCAGCTCAGTGTGCTCCAATCACTGACAGACAGTGGATATGACGAAGAAAGGGACAAGCGTCTGTCAAAGGCGGTAAGGACCAGAAACCTCCAATGATGACCCAGGACTAAATAGCAGTTCCTTTGATTTTGTTATGGAGCCCTGCTCTTGCAAAACGGGCAATGTACGAGCTAAGCAAGCAGCACACTGTTGTGGAGCACTTATTTCAGCCTTCACGAGTGCTCATACGTCACGCTTCCAGACTTACGCGTGTACCTGGTATCTGGTTCGACAAGAAGCAACTGCGATGGGCCTGCACATTTACAGATGCCCAGGTAGTGCGTACTATTATATGTATGCCGTTGACGAACTGGTAAATTCTAATGGCAGAACAGCATGCTGACCGGAGCTCACGTGGTGCTTTCGGTGGCAGGGGTTGGCGAAGCATGCTGTGCTACTGCTTTCTGCGCAGTCCGGAAAACGTCGAGCAGAGTATTTCCCAATTCGCCACTTTGGATTTCTGGGAGCTCGCCTATTAGCTGTGAACGCTCGTAGAAAAATGGAAAAATTCTGTTCACAGGCCAGCGTCGGCGACGACGCAAATGAAAAATTCAAAAAGAAAACCCTTAGCCAGCATGATTTATCAGGTGTTGGTGAAGGCGCCACGGAGGAGGTGGACAGCTTTGAAAGCCACACAGCTAAAGAAGCCTGTGTACAGGATCTGTGGAACAAATATGTAGTTGAGACACTACATCGCAAAGACGTTCCAAAGAGTCGCCATTTTTCCACAACCGGGGATACCTTTTTCAGTCTTGCGGGTGGCCTTCGAGCAGCCGAGGAACAAATAGGTGGCGAAGCCAGCTGGGTACGCTCACCCCTTAAAGCGGTGGTAACGTTTCCATGCATCAGTAGGCTTTGCCTATTTGTGTAGCAGCAGGCATTGACAAAACTGATTCCAACCCAACGCGCCCACCACCGTGTTTTGTTCAGGTGGACACAAATTGTAAGACAGCAGATGCCAGCCCCCATGCAGATGAAGCGGAGAGCAAGCCTCTATCCAGCCAAGACGAAAAGGTACGCATTCTATTAAAAGTTAGTGTTCTGCTATTGACTAAATACAGTTGTCAACTGCAAAAAATTGAATACATAAGACTTGGCTGAATGTGTGCCGAAACGAAGCAGCCCAGTTACACAATTCTCTCAGTATTTTTTCGTTTGGATTGTTCCGGAGAAATTCCAGTTTCGTTCGGGCCGCATTGGTATTGTTGCGTGCAGCACAGAGGCGGTCTGCTGAAAACACATCCCGAAACTATTCTTTCTCTCGGGAGGGAGGCTATCCGCTTCCTGCTATGCGACTTGCGGACACACTGTCTTAACGGTCTTGCTTCAAGGTTGTCGCCAAGAGAATCTATTTTCCACATGACCGTGCTACACCAGCATGCACTGTGGGTTGATAAAGCCGAACACTGTCAAAGCCTTGAGCAGTACTTGACTATCTTTGCCAGCTGCATCAAGCACATGAAGTTGCCTAGCCACCTTTGCCAAGCGGAACAGAGACGGCTACTAACAAGTATTGCCTCTCTCGCAATACCTCCTTGCACACATTAGTAATTTACCATACTAAAAGAATTGATGCTCTTTTTCCGCTCTGAAGGATGTGTATTGAACAAAATGCCGATAAAGGCAGGCCACGGAATCCAGGTTAGATCGCAAGGCTTTCCAATTACTTGCGGATAATTGCACTCCCTGCGACAAGACAACAGTACAAACTATGCAGCAACAATATACTTTGGGTGCATCTTCTCTTGCATTTACCCAATCGCAGCTCTTTCCCACCCAAAAGCGAAACATCTGCACTTTTGACTCTACTCCCAGCTCGTCGGTCTCGAATTAAACTCCCATTATCACTGCAATAGAGGCAAATATAGTGCCACCGAAGTTCTGCATGCTGCCCTAGGCCTGCTGCAAGCATGGATTTGTGGTCATTCAAATGGAAAGCCGCAACATATCTAGGGTGGCAAACCGAAGTGAAGTGCCCTGAGAACTACAGTCTTCCAGACTTCTATACATTTTGGCGTATATTAGGGGTCCAAGAGCGACTCGCCAGTAGGACCTGCCTGGTCTTGCCAAGAAAGCGTTACTCACTTTACTTCTAGGCTTGTGGTTTGGATTGTAGTTGGGTCTTGCAACATAGCCCAGCGTAGTGGCCTAGCTTGCGATAAAATACGCCCGGCGGACCCGGCAGGGGACATGCGCTCTAATACATTCTTCTGCCGCTATGCCTCACTCCAAACAAGCGAATGAGTGAGAAAGCTCCGGACGCTCGCCACGGCTTTCCTTATGAGCGCGTCTCTTCAGGCAGGTCATGAATGCCCCCCCGAAGGGCTCGTTGCCCGTTTCTGGTTTTCCAGTCAGGCCAGGCGTGGGGGAGCCGCCATCCGCCTTCCGCAGATATTCCCTCCACTACGTTCTTCATCACAAATCCAGCATTATCTAAGAGGGTGTGGGGCATCACAGCATGATCATTATTTGCCTTCTTACTATTCCAAAGGCAGACATAAGGTTTCACCGGCTTGGTGAACGAAATGTTTTGCCCTTTCGCCTTTAGCTCTTTAAGAAACCGTGCTCACGATGGGCTGACGAGAGATTGTTCACTTTGGCTGGCTGCAAAACGCGACGCAGCTGGAACGAAATCGAAATTCCACAAAACTCGCTTACAAATAGGGGTTGTTACTCCGTCTCCCATCTATACGGAGAATCTGATGTCAGCTCAGGGATTCAAGTTTGGTACTCGGCAAATTGAAACTCACCTAGTCTCAGCCGTAAACAACAGTTTCCGTTGACGCTGCTATAATTATCCAAACAGTAGTAGAAGAGGAGTGAAAAATGAATATACCCCTACAGTCGCTGCGTCATTCCAACCTGACAAGAGAGAAGGAAGGCGGCAGAGGTCGCCCGACCTCTGCGTATTAGAACGGACAGTGGAAAGCTAAGAGCCCCTGCTTAGCCTGTTCAATCCATTGACACCTTATTGTACAGTCGTGCGCATTGAATAATCAGAGCTGTTGGACTCTCCGCAGTCCAAGTCATGTCGTCGAGGTTTGGTTGCTTCAATCCGCCTAACCAGCGCAATTAAAATAAGCTGCAGGGGGCAGCCCTGTTGAAGCACCTAGAAGGCACCCCACTGTTTGGCAGCCCACTGCCTCAAAGAGCAATTGCATAAACAAGCCAAGTAACTGGTATCCACTTCCAGGTATCATTCGCTATGCTCATGTTCGTTTAGCCTGCCATGGCAGCCTCTGAGCTATATCTCTCACTACGAGCGAGGACACGATAATCCACCAGTTACAGTGGATTTTGTTTTACATAGCGCATTTTAAGCTAGCCAACAGCTTGGGCCCCGCTTCTACAGACCATGCACGCATTCATCCCAGGAGGATTTGCTTCCGCGTGACTCCAAAGTTTGGTGGTCATCTATCCGTCAGCGATCCATACAAATCCCTCAACTATGACAGAACACGGTACTATACCACCTAGTTCTGCAGACACAGGACAATACTGCATTATCATTCATCGGCGCGTTGTCTAACACATGGATCTCCACTTTCTTAAAAGTCATGCATTTGCCAATGCGTACGCGCAGCCTCTTGTACAGCGTATTGTTTAGTAAGAACTACCATCAGCTCCCACTGCACTGCTGCGGAGATAAATGGGCTTTTTGCATTGCACCCTTGCATCAGATGTACTAGTGACCACTGGCATGCTCGCTGGCCAGAGCCGGCTGTACCACGTTATTCATCCCAACACTGTTAACATCTGCACCAGAGACCCTTGGGCTGCTCCATGGGTATAGCAAAGATTATTTGAGTCCACGTGGGTCAAAACGTCGGCTATTCTAGACCCTACTCACAATCCAAGACAGTACGTGAAGCAGTCTGCAGCCGTCGCACCTCCGCGACCACTAGACAGGTAGAAATTTGCCCACCCATCCCCAGTCGACCAACCAAATTATCTATTTCTATTTGCGCGTGAGTTAAGATAAATTCATCTGGAGATATACATTGGCATGTGCTGAGGCAAGCGGAAGCCTCCCTTGGAAAGATGCCAAATCGTCGACATGGTCTCAACACACGAGCGGCCAAGAAGCAGTTGACACAATGTTTAAGCGCACAATCCGTGTAAATGTGACGCAAGTTGCAAGTCCGCTTTCTTTTGTGGACTAACCTTCCAGCTTGGTGCTGAGCACACTGGGACACCAAAGCTCGTTGGGGCTGAGCCGCAGCCCCGTCGAGAAAGCACACGCGAGAAACACAGGCACTGACATCTACAAAAAAAGCTGCAGCAAGCACAGATGGCCGCAGATGGTTGTTAGTTTTTGGTACTGGAAGAACCTCAACTACTTTACGGCGCAAGTCTGTTTCGTCGAAACACAGTTTGCAGGGCGTGGTTAGACTAGCCAGCCAACCCTGCAGTGAACGGGGATTCAAAATTCACGCATTTCGTAGAGCCTCACTGAGCTCACTTTCTCGTAGCCGTCTCTTTACTTCTCAAAGTGAAATGTAAACTGATGATATGCGGCGTAGTAAACCCTTGTTGCTGTGTAGGTGCAGTATAGGCTCTTGAGATAGGCTGGTCTGTGTACACTTTTCGCATGATTCAAAATCCGCATTATTCACTTTTCATTAAATCAAAGAATAAGGCCAAGGCGAAAATCAGGATCTTCAGCTGAATACCATTCGTGGCGTCGGACTCCCTCTCTGGGGTGAGCTTCCCTGCCCTACGTTGTCCCACGGAAGACGGGAAAGCAAGACTAACGGCGCCTGCTGCGTCCATCACGGCAACTCCAAGCAGTCTGTAGACGTGTCGGCACTAAATATTATCTGTGCAGAGAGTTACAGCAGTGCTATATATCGGAGGTTCCTTTGGGCTGCTTAGACCTTGCGGAATGCCGTGTTTTGCCTCCTCCAGCCCAATAGTCCATTATTCACCACTTGAACTTTGTCTCACAGTTATCCCATCTAGCCTGGCAGTATAACCATTTGTCAACATTTGTGGCAGGCATTCGGAGCAGGCCACAGTATTCCCTTGCACTTAGTTCCATTCAGTGCTTCTGTATAGCACTACATACCGAGCAAGCCAATCTGCAAAACGGTGGTCCTCGTCGTTGCACCCCTCAAGTCACCAAACAGTGCCCGGTGGAACTGCTAGCTGTGAATCTAGGCATCACCAAATAAGAGAGTTCACCTGAGGCCGTACTTCACTTCTCTCGTTCTTGCCTCAGCTTCCAGCCGAGAAGCCCTCCGTATTCGAACTCACCAGGTGTTTTGTGAACCTGACCACCATGTAGATAGTTCTTCCAAGAATAACAGTTTACTGCAAGCCCTATAACCTTTTATTTATCGCTGACGCCACTCCTTAGCAACGCTGGAGATCTGTGCTGCCCGAACTCGCTCTACCTTCATTCGGCTAAGTGGAAGAGCCTGTCGCTTTCTTTGCTCGTTCCTCTGCGGCTTACATACAAAGAGAGATGTTTTTCCAGACTCTTCCTTCGGCTTGTAACGTCGCCGAGAGGAACGTTAGTAACCTTTTTCCCTTCGTCGACTAGCATCGGTGGCTTTGGATGGTGAGTAAGGGTCAGCCTGACAGACGACTCCTTTAAGTACAGAGCCAGCTCATGGCTTGAGGCTGGCCGAGATGGGGCAACAAGAATTTTCAGCCTAAAAAGTCCTATACTTTCCTCGGCACTTCCTGCTAATTCTTCGAACTGCGACTCTGTATCGTTGTGCGTATGCAGCCGGAACGAATCATTTGCTGTCCATTGTTTTTTCTATGTGGGGCTCTACCACCTCTCCTCCTCACTGGAGGCACTCAGTTGAGGGCCCCACAACAATAGACTGCGAGGAATCACACTTTATAGGTTCCTCGGACGACTCGCTACTTCTTCAAGGCCCCATTCGGTTGGGATCTGGGGAAGAAGACGTACTCCAAACGGAGAAGGCAGAGAGTGATGCCGAAGAGGAATATACTGAAGGAACTGTAATACCTGTTCCAGCTGAAACAACGACTGACGGCAACAACAATTGTGACACGGGCAGCAGCACGAATTGCTTTCCGCTTGTGAGAATTGTCAAGCCTAAGCGGGAACTGGCTCTCCCGCTCGGTGCGCAGAATGAGGGACTGTTGGTGTGCCAAGACTCCAGCTCGACTGCCGACGGGCTTTCTGAAAGCTCCCGCCTGGTAGACGACAATGCAACGCTTCCTCAGAAGCTAAAAATCTCCTCCACTGCCGCCAACGGAGGACCCCAATGCCCTCCACCGGTTACTGCTACTGAGACTTCCCCTTCCTGTAGCTCTTCCCCAAACATCTTGTCTACAACACCAGTCCTACCGTATGCAGCTCCTGTGGGCACCTCTGGGAGTATGGGTGTGGGAACTTCAGGGGGCCGCTCCTGGGCATGCAGCGCACCAAGGCTACCGGTGGTCTCTACTGGAGGAGAAACTCGGATGCCTTCTATAGGAAGTGTCGGATGCTTTTTTTCCTCAGTTTTTCTCGGAACGAATAGTCATACCCCTCTCCTCCCAGGCAGTGCAGCTGTTGCTTCATCTGCCCTTCCGGGAGCTGTGGGTCACCGCTTTTCAGGCCTCGGAGGCAGCTCACTTATTCCTTCTGCTTTTTCTTCGGGAGGAAATACTAGTGGCCTCAGTGCGTTGCCTCAGCATTCCAAACAACAGCAGCAGCAAGCAGTGTGCCTGAGGCCTCATTTAGTACCTACAGTGGGCGCACGACCGAGTGGAAACATGGCTGTAATTCTCACAGCCCTGCGTAGGCACCTTCGGTCACTAATCCGCATTATGTATAATAAGCAACATGGAAGGACGCAAGCTAGCAATTCTGCTGTGCAAGAAGAATCTAACCTTCAAAAGGAGCAAGATCCTTTATTGTATGGCCGTGAAACGGGTGGCGGATCCGGCGTTTCAGTAAGCCTCAATGAGGAACATACCACTGCTTCATGCTCTCTAAAGGGGCTCATCAACGGGAGCCAAGCTGAATACGCACAGTGCTCCCCCCCTGTGGAAATGCCAGAACTTCCATCAACCTTGAAGTATAAGGCTCAGGACGGATCGTTAATGGCAGCCTCCGAAGAAGGTAATAAAGTAAGGTCGCCAGCAGTTAACCCTCAACTGCGCCATCCATCCCCGCAGGACGGAGGGACGGAGTCTCAGGACGACTCATCTGAGGCCAGTGCTCTCTCAGGCATAGCGAACAGAGTTACAGCAACGATGCAACTTGTTGGCAGCTCGAGAGACTCAACGTTGTCACCTTTGGGCAGTGTTGATGGAGCTTCAGAGAGTTGGGAAGGGCAACGATATTTCCACGAGGAGCACCTGGATGCCTGCTCCTTGAGTGAACTCAGTGAATACCTCCAGATTTTTTCTTCTTTCTTGTCTCTATCCCTTTCTGAGGTCTCTAGACAGGAGCCAGCCACTGTGCAGCACGTCAGGCTTCAGCTGTTGCTGCTCCGGAACAGTCATCAGCAACGACCAAACCGATATCGTCAAGTAAAACAAATCACCCACCGTTCTCCTCCACTCGTACAGTCGTCCGCTGTTGGAGGACCTGATGCGGACGACGATGTAACTTCCTTGAACAGCTGTGCGGAAACAGCGACCTCATCAGCGGACGCTTGCCTGCACAACACGACATCTGAAGCCTCCCGCCCGTCGATGCCGTTTAGCAGTACTAACTTATCCTTTCTTTCATCATTTTCCTCATCGCCCAGTTTGCAGGTCGATGTTGACGCCCCATCTATAGCCACTGCCAACATCTCTGGGGAGAAGGCACCAAGTAGCGATGCTGGTCCCACAGGTAAGAACGACTCAAAACCTTGGATACCGTTTTTGGTTTAACCATGAATGCCGAAATTGAGACATCTCTGTGTATTTTTTTCCCACAGGAGAATGTGAAATGGGCCCCGAGTCAACGGGAGTAAGAAACGCAGAATTTCCCTCGTCTTCAGTGGACGCATTCACCGTGGACGGACCTCCAAACACCAGCACCAACGGAGCTACCATAGGTACACCTGCCGCAGTGGCATACTGTCCAGTCCCGTCCCCAGTCCCTACTACATTTGTTGCTGCAGCAACAAACGACCCTCCTGGCGGTGCATCAGGGCTTCCTCCGTGCAAGGACAAGCTGCCGCTGCCGTGGAGTTCTGATTGTGGTGGCACAGCAGGGGCAGTAGCACCACCAGCTGGAGGGTTTAGATGGTCCCACCTGTCGGGAACCGCCATTGGCATAAGACTGCAAAGTCTGATTGGAGGAACGTCACTGGGTCTGGGTAATACCCTTTCCTTGTCTGGAAGTTCCGGGGGAGGAGCGATTCAACATAGTACAGACACGCCTAGTGGGGCATCCCTTGCTGCAAACGGCAGCTGCGGGGTAGGCGCACTTTTGGATGGAGGAGCAGCTAGTCTAGCACTTTCTCCTGGGCCGCTAGAGTGGATTCGGGACGGTACAACTAGTGCGGCAAGCAACCAACCGATGGGAGTTCCCGTATCCCCTTATGTATTTTTTAGTAACGGGCATTGCCAGAACCCTGACAATGCCTTACCATACATGAAGACGGCGCATAGTATTCGAGGCTCCTCTAGCGGATGCCCCACAAGCCCAGCAGAGTTAGGGCTAGTCATATCGGCAGATGGGCTTGGCCAGGGAAGGGTGCAAAGAGGCAATGTGCAGGTGACCTTCTCCCCGCAGATGGGAGCCTGGGTGGTTTGCTGTGCACGAGGTTTGCTACAGCAAAGCAGAGCGTTTTCCGTAGCAGCGTTAGGCTTTGAGGGGGCGAAAAAGACTGCTCAACAATATGCAACGCACTGTACGTTAACCTCGCAGTCTTGCAGTCAAGTCGTCCTAAATGGCTTTACCTAACTAAACTCGCCCATCTATTTTAAGGGGCAACTTCTCGGAGGCATGCAAAATATCACTGTTGTGGTCCACAAATTGTCTCACAATTTTGCTTATGCTTTTACCACAGGCCGCCGGCAGTGCTCCTCCAAGCGTGCATCTGACCGGGGCGGCAAAGGGAAGGGCGGTGAGGCAAAAGAAGACGCCACAAGAGGTGGATCGCGAGGTTCTAAGGATGCCAGCAAAAAACCAGGCAGCGCTGTTACACCAATTCCCCAAGTTACTATAGGGCTTGCTGGGCCTCCAGGAGGAGCTTTCAATTTGGCAAAAAGCACCAACCAGGAGTTTATTCTTCCCAAGAGCGTAAGCAAATTCGTTGCTGATCCTTGTAATGCAAGCTGTTTGTGGCGTGCTTCTTGGATAAATCCTGCAATTATCCCACAGCTGTTCCTATGAAAATTACTTTTGTCCCCTGGTTCTGCGATGCGATGCTTGTCCTTGTGTAGCTCCAGTCTTCTTTCTCCGTTTCGTAGAGTTGTGCTTCATTCGGTGCATGCGTACTTTGCAACGTTCGGCGAAAAAACCGGTAGTTCCTTCTTTGACTCTATTTCTGTAGGACTTTTCAGCTAGCCGTGTCGCGCGCCTAAGCCGCAGAGCGATGGAACTACCATACGTCCACGGTGTTCGTTTTGAGGCTGCAAATTTTGCCTGGGTAGCTCAAATGCGAGGAGAGGCCCGGAGATTCCTAGTTAAGAAACACGGGTTCGTAAAAAGCAGGCTGTGCGCTATCGAGAAGATTGAGATGTGGAGAGCAGCGCTGTCTCCAGAGGCGCTTGCAAGTGAACTCAAAGGTACAAGCACAGAAACTTATTCAAGCTGTTTCTTGCATGCCTATCTCAACCTCACTGTACAAATAAGCCTCTCCTCTGTTGTTCTCCTGCCCGCATATGCCTTAGCTTTCCGTCCTCCGTGTTCCGTTTTTCGTGCACTCCTTGTGTGAGAAATGTGCTTGCGAACTTCTCGGCATCCAAAATGAAGTGGACAGTATTGCCAGCTTCAAATGATCAATGTTACAAAGTTTGCGTCTTTTCACTTATTGTCCAGCTGAACAGGACGTTTTGGCCATGGTTCCAAACATGTGCCCTGAGGAGGCCGACCCCGAGGCAATGCAGGCTGTAGAGGAGTCTCTGCGGCTGAAGTTCCAACGAGGAACCATAATGTCATGTCGGTCCAATAGCGGTTCTTCTATAGGGTTCAAAAGACAACGAAATCTTTGTATAGACACTGAGCGAGATGCATCCAGGACCAACCGTTCTCATGATACTTTTCCCGAGCATCTCCTGCTACACCAGCAGCATGTGATGGCAGCGCAACACTTGATTTCACAACCTAGCACTCATCCGGACGGACACCGGCACCAATTCCAGTTTCCGCAACCCCATTTCTTGCACATCACCCAGCAGCAGCTCGTTGAGAACTCCCAGCAACAGCTGGCGGCGCAGGAGCATCTGCTACGACCCATGGCGTCACCAGCGTCAAATGCAGATCCCACATCAGCTGCTGATGCGGTGGAACAGCCACAACAACACCAAATGGTTCCGTTGCTCCAGGGATTGCGTACGAGAGGGCAACAGCAGCACCCCCTACTGTCGCATCAATTTTCCTCAGTACTCCCTACGCTGCCGGAGATGCGCCTCCAGAACCACACAATAGGCGCAAATAGTCAACCAGCCAGAACAGCTCCTGAATAAATATAGTGTGCATCCGGCCGAGCCCTCTCTATGTCGGATTGAGTCATGGACAAAACTACATGACTAATCTGATTTTCCTGTGCATGAGCTTTAAGGGAGACGCAAGACTTTTTTTTGGAAGAAGCTTTCGCAGTGCAAACTTGTAGCCTGTTGAAGAAAGAAAACAAACACAATACTTCTAGTAGTGGGAGGTGTGCAAATTAACGGAGGTAAATACTCTGAAGGTGCATAAGCCCAGTGGCCGAAAACGCAATACAATGATTTTCTCATATTATCAACCTTCTGCTCACCTAATAAATGCGAAGCCAATCATTTATGCAGCTTCAATGTGGAGTTCAATCAATGTGCAGCCTTTATTCTCTTAATCCAGTTTCTGCTCGGGCTAACAAGTGGTACATTGCATTGTTATCCGTGGAGGACATCTACACACTGGAAATGCATGACGCAGAGCTTCTGAGAATCCGATAACTAGAGTTTTCCGGTCAATTAGGCGGCCAACGCAATACGTCTTCACAGACAAGTACAAAAAGCTTCCATCATAAGCGCGCCTCAAAGTGAAAGCTAAATTCGGTTTGGGGCCCAGGGTATGTGAGAGTCTGGGCCTCACTGCCATTAAGGAACCGAACCCAGTAGGCCTTCTAGGCCTTCTGCAGCCCTTCCTAAGCGACTTGGGCCTCTACAGACAACGCATTGTTACAAGTGATTTCGTTGGTGACTTCACGTGGGTTCCCGCGTCTTCTCAGACGATGGGATGGCAAAGGACTGGAACAAAGGTGAGCCGAACTGGCGGCAAGAAGAAATCTTACTGGTGAACGGCCAAACAAACCTTCTGTACGGCTTTCGCCTGCACTCAAATCGATTATAAAAAGCCTGCCAAACCTTAGCAAGGACTTATTGAAGCCTAACTGATTTCTCCACTTCCTTCTTGTCCTCAGGTGTCATGGGCAGAGCACCTCAAGCGTCTGGTTGAACAAGGGAATACCTCACGCTGCAGTGCTCCTTGTTGTAACTATTGTTGCCCGACTCATACGTGCAACACCGGCGAGCTTCCCTCTGTCAGTGCTAACACTCTGAGCAGTTGCTAAACACATGGTTCGCCCTTACTTCGCCTCCCGCATGGGAATTGAAGTACACGTACTGACACGGTGAAGAGCATGGTACAGGAACCAATCCAACGAGCATGGCTGCACGCATGGCAATTAAGGTCTTGTTTCTACTGACAATTCACCACAGGCATCACTAATGCGTCCGCTGACGCACTCTGCACTCTCCCCACACCCAGCGAGTCAAACACTACCCTCTTCGTTCGCACTGAATTGTCATCCTGTTACCTGTTAGATATTGAGGAGGCTACGACTTTTGCGAAGCTTAACGACGGGAGACGGGCATCATAATAGACGGTGTTCTTGGATGGGGGTAGACGAGGCCTGGACTATATGTGTTGCATCTCCTAGGCATCCTACGTCTACAGTTTCTGTGCAAGGGAGGAGCTCATGCTTGAGCTACCCATGGCAGTGTCAATATAACAGTAGGTGTGGTGGGCGGGCCCTTTGATTCGAGAGGCTGGAAACTCAGCGAAGCATTATGCCCTCACCTGTCCACCGTGTTGGCAGTCGGGCTGGAGCGACGCTGTCGAACTCAGGCAGGGTTTCCAAGATCTACAAGGATTTGGACAGTCGCCCTTCTGTATGCCGGTTCAACACGTGTAAGGCACTCTGACACCATCTAAACTGACGTGGATAGCCTCAGCCAATATACCCAGTTCATTCCATGTTGTAATTTACTCATAGTAAACAGTAATCAAATTGTTGATTCGTCACGGAAACCCCATATTTCCCTCCAAACCCTTCCTGGCACCGATGGCCGCTTCATGATAGCCTGCTGGCAAAAATTATTTTTGCGGCTCAGCATGGATCACCGAACAATTCGGACGTTAACAGTGAAACGGCAAGGACAAAAAACACTCTTGTTCAGTATTGGCGATTCTGTAATTAATGGAATTTGCTCAACCTTGTTCTCCCCCCCTTCGCCCCAAAACACCTGAGAAAGCGCAACAAACGCTTCGCCTGCAAAGACGGCACTAACCCTTTCCGGATATGCGAACTGTGACTGGGATGGGTGGCTGGAAACCCATAACAGAAATTCCTTGTTTCTAAAGCATTAGTGAGATGGTTGACATGCCGGAGCAGTAAATAACACGCCTGATACGGGGACTTATGGGAAAGTCAGGAGTGATGTCAACTTCAGTCTCTGGTCATGCATGGGAGAGCCTATGCTTGGAAGCTGAGCTGTTGTCGGCGCCGCCAACAGCAGCGGTTAAGTGGGTGTCAGCACGCAGTCCTGGACGCTGCTTAGATGAAAAGAGGAAGAAGAATAGCTAAAGCTATGCTACGTGAGGCATATTCACAAGAATCGCATTGTTTATTTTAGAGGAAAGTTCACGAAAAAACATGGGATATCCGGTGTGCATAGGTGGCGCTAAAACCATCAACGACCAACTCCCACGTGAAGGAAGACAATACTAGAGGCGTGCTAGTTGCCCTGTCATTGTCATATACTCCTGCAGAGATATGTTGGTGAAAAACTATAGCCCGAGCAGGACGCCGAGTAGGCGATCACGTCAACGATCCCACCTAACCGTCTGCGGGTGTTACTGCTGCCTAGAGGCTGACATTCTTCACTGGTCGCAACTGCCTAGTGCCATAGGCACTGTTGGCAAGCGCGCTTGCTCTAGGCAGTTGAGAAAAACGATATAGCGCAACCGAATTCGCCTAGCAGCGTCGCATTATTACGCCCATCTTTGAGTGAGTGGGAAGCCCTGGGGAGTGGTCATAGTGACGCGACGGTGGGGCGGCCGTTTAGTCAACGCGGGTAATGCTAAGTTATGTAGGCGCGTAAACTGTATTTGGGCAGGGCCATGGGAGCGAATAGCCAGTGTTTGGAACACTCGACTTTTACGCGGCTATGAAAGGAGTGTAAAGCTTCCGTGCGCGCCGGTGACCTGGAGTTGCTCGTGCACTCAAAGGTCGAGTGCACAGGGTAGATTCAGGAGCAGGATCCCTGACGAAACAGGCTCCGCACATGCGTAAAGGAATGCTTGCGCCTTTCTGAAACTAATCGCAGGAGGTGTCGGCTGAAATGCATGCCATCCTACGCACGGTGTAACCATGCCGCTGGGACCAGGTAGGCACCCACCACCTACTGGGCCTCACTCTGATGTGGCCCAGCAAGGCAGAATGTCGCAAATAGAGCCGACAGTGCTATCTGTTTTATACGTTTGCTTGCCTTCTCCTTTTTGCATTTACTCTGGACTACGCACACTCCAGGACTTTTGCCCCACCCAGTTCTTTCCTATTGCGATTAGCATATGGTAGAGCCTCCTTGTGCCTGCACTCGTTTTGCCTTGTTAGGCGCTCTGAGTATTGCTTCAAGGACTTGCCTGTTTAGAAGCCTCCCCAATGCCCAGCTTCTGCTAGCCATGAAGCCCATTGGCGAATTACTGCTTTGCCGTGGGGGTTGAAGGAAGTTTGCAGCAACCCACACCCGCGTGCCGCCTACTTCCAATGCTTTCCCTGCTTCTATCATGCTAGGCACGTTGGGTGTTTTGAGGATTGCTGGATCTTTCAGACATCCCCTGGGATGCTGCTGCAGTGAGGAGTTCTTGGGGTAGCACCAGCTGCCGCTAAAGCCAGGTCCACTAGTGGCAGTTGCCATTCGTTGCTTGAAAGCCAGTGTGGACTTTTCGACAGCGCCTAAGACATCAACTGCGGGACCTCCTCATACAAATCCTCAACATTTTGGTAAATCCTTTCTGGCGCATGCTCCAGTCTTTACACTGGAGTAGTGGTAGCCATTTACAAGAAAAAGCGCCCTGCAAGTATGCATAGAAACTGGATGAGATATGCATTTCCTATGGCTCCTTCGTATTGCGTTAACGCCGAAGTCTTCGCACCTTGTAAATTAGTACAGATACATACTTATCGAGGTAGGTGAGCTTGAGCTAAGTTCAGTTTGCATTCGTACTGCCAGTAGGTGGTATTTTTCGATTTTCAAGTGTGAGAAATGTGCGTCAATATGTTAGCAGGGGCGGTCGGCGTCCGCAGGACCTCACAGGCCTATACACTGTTTAAACAATAAATAACTTCTTTAGTACAATTTTAAAAATTATAACTAATATTCATTAAAATTTTACGTATTAATTTATTTGAATTAGAATGAAAATTATTTATATAAATATGCTCTCCACCTTCAGCAACTTCCTTCTCACGAGTTCTTTCTTCATTGGCAGCCTGATGCGGGACCTGGGGACAAGTAGCTAGGATGCCAGCGAGCAGTTTGTGAATGATCCTGTTCTTCCGTTGCTTCAGAATAAATGAGCTTGTAAAGAGATGACTACAGTGCCAGTGGATTCCCAAAACAGGACTCTTGTCTCGTCATCTTTCCCTGACTGTCTGGCGCACATTTTCAGGACATACTGCTAGTTATTTTGGCCTGGCGAGCAATCCTTGTCTCCTCGCCGCAACTTGCAACTACCCAAGCTCTGCAGGCTAGACCTGCGTAATTCGTTGGCAAAGCGGACGACCCAGAAACCCTAAGGTTGTATAGAGACCATCCAAGAGCTGCCCTTCCGCCCAATCCGTAGCAGTAACGGAAGTCTGCCATCGTATCACAGCACGGCTGTTAGCTACACGAGATTCAAAATATGAGATTAGCGCGAGAACAGTTGCTCTTTCATCCTCCCCCCAAAAGTGCTCAGACAGGAAGGCACAATTGCTGAGGGTTTGCGGAGAGGACCCGACCTCACATAATTTGCACCGAACGTGGCAGCAAGCCGTCTCTTGTCAGGCAACACCGCATGGAGGCACAGTTAAGTCAGCCTTGCTGAATGGTCAACGCTACAGCCATTTTCTAAGCACATATATTGCCCTGAGTAGCCAGTATTCAACTGAACAGAAGCACCTATCAACTTCGTACAGACCACCCTACCCGAACATGCAGCG